TGATGTCATATAGGGCAGTCTGTGCACAAACATCACCCTCCCTCAGCATTTCGCTTGGGAGATCATCTCTGCCTGGCGCCTTTCCTAGTCTCAGACTCCGGATCGCCTTCAGTACTTCCTCAACAGATGGCACCTCAGCCAGCCACTCACAGGGGGTGACTTCCTCCAATATTTGAGGCACCGCAGCCTCAGCAGGGTCATCCCCACTTTGTGCCACGATGTTTTCCTGGCTGAGGGATTTCCCATCCCCCAGGACCTCACAGAAATGCTCAGAAAATCTGCAAACCTGTTCCTGGGGGTCGGAGATTGGATCACCGTTTTTTCCCCTAATGATGGTAATAGGTGTGGCGCTGCAGGTTACTTTTTTGATGGACAGACTCCATCTCCTCAGCAACCCGCGATCACACGCACACCCCCTTGTACACAAACACAGCAGCAGCTATACAGCAAGACAACAACAACAACACACATTCTCACTTAATAAACAAAATAGGTGATGGAATAAACCGCGTCTATTTAATTTATAATCCTCCATTGATTAATCTTTAACAATAGAGTTTGTGCATTTCGTTTTCACCAAGACATTCCATAGTGACCCCATTCCCTGCCATATTTAATCAATTAAGTTTACGATATACGTTTAAAAAAACAACGGCTGTTGTTCATAAAAGTTGAAGGCGGTATAGTACTATAGTAATAGAGCAAGTGCACAATCACTGAACCGGAATTGATATCTTGAAAGCATTTAGCACGGGGCCCTTGAAAGTGCGGGACCTGCAGCATGTGTGGCTGCTTTGGCTACTGGGAGAATCCGCCACTGCAAGAGCCCGCAATGCAACGTGGTAACGAGACGGCGTGGTCCTCGATAAGTAACGTCACGAAGCGGTCCTTTAAAGAGCCACCGCATGCGGCTCTCAAGGGCCGCAGGTTGCCGGCCCCTGAACGAAGAGCCGCATCTGATGAGTGGCATGACCAGGACCAGATTATGTTTGGGGGGGGCGGGGGGGGGGCGGTACGGGGCTGTTTAAATCTTTGAGAGGGGCTCCTCTTTGCATATTCATTTCCTTCCCTTCACTGTTTAACGGGCGCACTTCGTTACACTCACTGCAGAGCTACGTCAAAGTTAGGACGAATTGTAACAACCAAGCCATTTTTATTTCGGCACACGACTGGTGCAGTCGTAGTAGTAGTAGTATAACGAGCAAAGTGATGCTGCGGCTTTAATTACTACAGAAGCTATAGGATGTTTCAGAGTGCTACAGGATTGAGTTTCAGCCGTTATGAAGCCCATAAGCACTTCTCCTGCGTTATGCCAATTAACGATGTTCAATTTCGCCTAGATGACGATACAGTAGAGTATTGTGTTCAGTGTAACACGAACTCACTTAACTGTCCGGCCACGGGAAGGCTACCGTGTCCCCATTCACCGTCTCTCCCTGAATGGAAAAATCAAAGACACAGGCCGCCTCTGTAGTCCGATTGTGACAGTGCAACCGAAACTAATGGACCATATAGTGGACCGATGTGGCCCTGCGCTCCTTCAACAGAGGAATGGAATCGAATAACTGCACGAGACATCTCTCCCCAAGCGCTCTCGTGGCTAGCAGGCCTCAACGTTGGCATTCAGCTCCCGAACACGTTTGCCATCGTACGTACGAATTGAATGCGACCGTAAAGTCCATGACATTGCATAGTTTGCTTGACTAAATGTGGTTCTTTCCACTTCACTTTTTTTCGTGATGTCATCACACATTTCTAATTTTTGATTTGAAGCTTTCGTGACTGCAGGAATCCATACTCTTTTATTTTTTCTTTACCATTTTCGCCTTTAATCGGTTTAAACAACCTCGGCAAAAACACGTGTGACGATGTACCCGCGCAATAGTGCCAACACGAGCAAGGGCAGCGTTTTACGAATTAATTCGTAGATTTGTCAATGAAATGCTTTTTTCATAGCGATTGTGATCAGAGAAATGAACATGCACAGTGTGGGTTGATACATTACGCACATGAATGGTCTTATGGAAATGAGTCAGGCTGTATATACATTTGAAATCTACTCCTAATCTTCTCAGCTTTTTTTTGGTCTGGGTATAAGAGGCCAAACAATATCAAGGAATATTTTAACATGCATAAGAGCAACTTCACGTGACTGATTTGATAATGTTGAAGTTCTGTGCAAAACTAGCTACTACTGGCCAAGATTAATTAGAGAATCTATCGAAATTTAAAGAAATAACAATTATTTCAACCGTTCGGATAGCTACCGACTTAGTGCTGCGTGGAAGCGAATCATCAAATAATACATTGTTTAAATGCATGCTTATACAGGCCACTATACTTCCATAGGGATTACCGTTGGTAGGGCTATTTTAAATTTCGATTTAAAGCTTTCGTGACTGCAGGGATTCATATTCTTGGTTCTTTCGGTAAAGTCACGTAAAAACGAAGGAGGATAGCGCTCTCCTCCTCCCACCCAGCTTAAAATACGCTGCCAAGCTTAGCAGTGTTCATTAGGACGCTGTCTTTCCAGCAGCTCTGTTCTTCACCTGAGGACGGCTGCTTGCGTTGTGGCCGAAACGTCGTGATAATTTTTATTTTATTATGTTTTTTTTTACTTCCCTTCTACGTGACTTTACCGAAAGAACCAAGAATAGGGCTATTTTAATAAACACAATAGACAGGAAGGGCAAGTTCAAAGAGTTTGCATAATGCACATGCATAATGTACGTTGTCTCAGTAATCCCTCCCCCCCCCCACATTGTGCAAGAGCGCAGAAGCGTGGTCACCACATCTACGCCTCAATATAAGGATCAAAACAGGTGGACTTCTCCACAAATCTGGCTGTCGCCTGATGAAGCTAGTTGTAATTACTGGCAAAACGTCGTACTCAGATTGTAAATGTTGTGGCTTGGCTCTCCAACACACCGGTGTGCTGTACCATTTACGAATTGGCCACGTTCTGTTCACGTGACAACTCTTACCAGTTGTTTGCGTCGGGTGGTGGCGGGTTTTAACGACACATTTATATATTTACTCGATCTAACAAACAAAAAAACCCCTCTACTATGGATAACTTCACGTGATGAAAAATCTAAGAAGAGGCTTTCTGGCAATAAATTGGGAGGAGTCAAGGTGTTCAAACACCGAATAGGTACCCTTTTGCAAGGCATCAAGTCTGGATTAGCCACACGCAGGGGCCGAGCCACAGGGGGGCTGGGGGGGGGGCTTAGCCCCCCCCCTGAAATTTTGGGAAAGTCAGTAATCGGGATAACCGGATATCTGGCTGCTGCAAAATTCTGCAGGCTGCCACCTTGTACTGCCCTGCAGGCTGCCACCTTGTGTGCTGCCCTGCAGGCTGCCACCTTGTGCTGCCCTGCAGGCTGCCACCTTGTGCTGCCCTGCAGGCTGCCACCTTGTGCTGCCCTGCAGGCTGCCACCTCGTGTGCTGCCCTGCAGGCTGCCACCTTGTGCTGTCACCTTGTGCTGCCCTGCAGGCTGCCACCTTGTGCTGCCCAGCAGGCTGCCACCTTGTGCTGCCCAGCAGGCTGCCACCTTGTGTGCTGCCCTGCAGGCTGCCACCTTGTGCTGCCCTGCAGGCTGCCACCTTGTGCTGCCCTGCAGGCTGCCACCTTGTGTGCTGCCCTGCAGGCTGCCACCTTGTGCTGTCACCTCGTGCTACCCTGCAGGCTGCCACCTTGTGTGCTGCCCTGCAGGCTGCCACCTTGTGTGCTGCCCTGCAGGCTGCCACCTTGTGCTGCCCTGCAGGCTGCCACCTTGTGTGCTGCCCTGCAGGCTGCCACCTTGTGCTGCCCTGCAGGCTGCCACCTTGTGTGCTGCCCTGCAGGCTGCTTGAGCGGCAGCCTTTCGAACTTATCGAACTTATTAGCCACATCAGCGGCTCCGACCTATTAATAAACTCCGCGTTCAAATCCAATAAAATTTGTTTTATACATTTGTGGCGCCCATTGGAAAACATAAACACACTGGATATCTCAGAATATTGAAGTCAGCCCCCCCCCACAGTCAAAATCCTGGCTCCGTCCCTGGCCACACGTACTTGTGGCAAATCATGCAAACACACGTGCTGTAATAATTCAAGGCATTGCCTTTTCTTATACTTCTCAGAATTTTGATACCGGCAAAAAGGTCCCGCAGATATAACTTCACGTGTTCAAATATTCCGGTTCATACTCTTGCCGGGAATGCCGCCGTGCTGTTAATGGTCATCATACCGGACGAGCAATCCAGAGATCGCCGCGATTCAAGCTCATCACTCGACAGTTGAAACCACGTGCAATGCTTCATGAATACCTCTTGCCTCCCCAGCCAGTGCACGTGTAATGTACGCACGTATGTTGAACTTCTTTCGCACCGTACGTAGCCGACGGCGCTAATTAATCGGAGGCGCGGTATATAAGTGGGTACAACGCAGTCGCTCGATCGTAAGGTCGCACGCGGTGGGGTAGAGTACTTCCCCCACCTCTTCCAAAGACATCCGAGGCAGCGTGGAACGGCAGGCCGAAAATACCCTCGCAGAGGAGCTCTTGTCGAGTGGAGGTCCTTCTGGCAGCAATATGCATGTGTGTTGAACTTCTTTCGCACCATACGTAGCCAACCGCTCTAATCGGAGGTGCTGGGGAACGACAACAAACCAAACGCGAAAAGGAGTTCTAAAGAAAATCGTTTTTCAATCTCGATGATTTAAAAGTGCATAGCTCCTAATGGCTTCCTAATATTGTAAGGAAGAGCGTTCCAGACGGCCGCTCAAAGTGTACATGGTGTGTATGCGAGCGTGAGTGCGTATGCGCGAGTGAGCGTGCGAGGGTGAGTGTCTGAAAGGTGAGTTGCGGACGGAAAGCGGTGGCACAACCGGACAATTGCAGGGCCTACACCATCACCCTGTGTAAGTAGTTGACCTACAAGGGGAGACTTCAGTCGTTGCAACGTTTGCCCCTCTCACGTTGTTTGTTTGTCGCTTGCGGTTCCTTTATTCACAGGTTCTTGAGAAGGCCCCCCTCGCTGGGTGGCCGTAATGAGGGGAGCGGGCGACCTCCTCCTCGTGGCTCTGGTATCACAGCTGACCCTGCGTGCCCTGTCCACGTCGGCAAAGGGTAGGTCCACCGACTTTATCACGTTTACTCTCAGGACATTCAAATTGGTCGGTTTTGGCTCTGAACGGCACCACTCCAAATTTGCACCCCACGGTCCGTGTTCTCCTTACCTTGGCGTGATTTCTAAAGCGCCTCTAATCAAGGCGCTTTACGGATAATTAGTAAACGGTGCAACGTGTAGTAATGTAATGGGTGGAGATGAGGTGAATGAAATAGATGAGAGGAAGCAAATGTGGGGGGGGAGGGGGGGCATAATCTGTGATGCGTAAATTCGGTGAAAAGTAAACCGGTGACGGTAAATGATGCTGATTGGATTGAATGAATGGGTTTAATGAGTGATAACCATATAACGAGAATATGAAGAAGGAACAGTAGCAGTGGTGGTTATGAGGGAGAGATTAAAGGGGGGGTCGTGGGGTGAGCTAGGGAACAATGAGGGAGTTTTGAGTGAGGAGCGGAAAAACTAGCGAGCGAAGGATCCTGAAGAACACCGCCTTTTGGGAAAAATCGCGTTGTAATAAATAACAATACAGGGGTAAAGCACAGTCGGCGATAACGTGTGAGATGCGTACGCAGGCCGAACAAAGACTGAGGCGCGTGGGTAGCGTCTAGAAGCATCCAGCAGCATCCCGCCTTGTGTGACGCTACGTCGAGGCAGCCGTACGACCGCTCGTTTCCTGCTCGCGCGACGTAGTTCCGTTCACTCGATCGCGTTATATCCAAATTCGCATCCGCGTTCATAAAAACGTCTTTTCCTTAACACATTCCTTGCGTTATATCCAATTGGCGTTCTGCAAACACGTGTGGTGTTATAGGAGAACTGACATTCTCGTCACGCCGTTCTTTTTCGCTCCTGTCTCTTTCTTAGTTACATTCACCAGCCCTGCGAATGAGTTTTGTTGGTGTTGTTCTGAAACTTCATACGGATTTGAGCGAGTGATAAATTGTACGAAAAAAAATCACTTCTAAGCGATTGATTTAAGATCCACAATAATAGTACCGTCCGTTCTGCGAAATATCATCGCGTCGTGATATAACGTTGCTCGTTTAAAAGTTATTACATGTTTAACTTCCTCATGAATATTAACGATCGTTTAAACTTCACAAGAATAATTCGAGCTCTAAAAAAATATTAACTATGGCCCCTTAAATTAGTGCTTTGTAAAACGTTTTCCAGAATAATAATATAATTGACGTGGCGATTAAATGACATGATTTTCTGACAGCGCTCGCGTAAGAAGCGTTATAGTTTGTAAAGTTACAATGATTTGAATAACCATGGCAGGCTTCTGCTGAGTTAACTGCAGTGGAGTAGCTTTTGAGCAATCTTCATTCATATTTCGAGTACAGTACATCAACAGCACAACATCAGGATGACAGAAATTTGAAATACAGTTACGAAGTTAAGGTAAAATAATATCTCCGTCGTCACCATGTCGTGAAACGTAACGTTGTGTCGTCAAAGATTAAATCATGGCAGCCCTATGAGTAACTTAACCCAGAATGTGAAAACCACACCAACCGGTGGACGATTTATTGTTGTTGATTTTTAGATTTGTTTTCAATCTTGACTTACAGCTTTCGTGACTGCAGGAATTCATATTCTTTGGGTCTTTCGGTAAAGTCACATAGATAGGTTCAAATTAATAAAAATGTATTTGAATTAGTTTTGGCGTAGTTATTTTGTTTAATTTCTTTTTATCAATTTGAACCTATCTACGTGACTTTTACCGAAAGACCCAAACAATATTTGTTTTCAATCGTAACAACAATAAATACATCAACAAAAGGTGTCAACTACAATTTTCTCACTTTTGTCATAATAAATTGATTTATATTTTACGAGGCCTTTGTCAATCTACTGCTGTTTGCAGGCCTCTTCCCACACCCAGTTGGTAATGTTGGTTGTTTGGTTGAGGGTCGAGACCCAGGATCGGTTCACACATCATTCGCTACTGATGTTGTCTCTGCCCAGGAATCAAACTCAGGTCACCTTGGCTCCATGGTGCAGTCTGCTAAGCACCACCACCACCACCACACCCCCCTCCTCCAATAAATATATTACGTGCAAATGTTTGACTGCATATTCCAATTCCTGATACAGTTTTAACGTAACATTTTGCACTTCGATCTGCCAGTCGTGAGGCACGCGTGCGTGCGTGCTCTACTGGTGGAACGGTGGTGCAGTGGTTAGCGCGCAGCGCTACGAAGCCATACACCTGAGTTAGATTCACGGCCACGGCTAACACGGGTGGACGAATGATATCAAAACCGGTGTCGGGTCTTTCCTTCCCCTGGTTGATTCAGTCTTCAACGTAGTATCTGGCGTGGCGTGTATAAAACATAAGCGCTGGGGGTAGACGATGCATCTGGCGGCGTGGTTTTTCGGCCACGCCAACGCCCCGGTGTTGCGCTGCTCGTAAACAGAACGAGCCTCAAACCAGCCCGCTGACGGCTACGCGGGGAGCGAGATCGACGGGGGAATCTGTGTCGTGCGCCCTTGTCGTTGTGTGACCTCCAGGCCACGAGGGTGTGCACGCAACACACGTGTCGTGTTCGTCTGAAAATGTCAACTTGACCTGGGATGCCCGGTGCACGTGGACACCGGGACGTGACGCCAAAGCATCGAACGTCACGTACAGAGTCTCCTTTTTAGACCATCGAAGGTAAAAAGGGAGTGCATTTAATTATAATGTGTGCCCTGTATTCATGAATTGCACCATTTGAAGTTGCGGCGATCGTTTCAGCATTTTGCTCCCACTGGCGTTCCAATCTGTTACGTGGAAATCAACGTGAAATTGGCAACCTGCTGACCTCTCTTTGGCTACGTTGAAATGATCATTTAGACCTTATCCCCCAAACCTTGCACATCACGAGCTTTCAATTGACTCCTCGTCCATTGCAATCGCTCGAACAGACTAGGAAGAGTCCTCTCTCGATAAAGAAGCATAATGTTAATATATTTACAGTAGACTCTTGATTATCCGCGTGCGGTTTATCCGATTTGCGGACAAAACCGCACACCTGACATTTTAACATAAATGAATAACTCATGGATTTTCACTTAAGCTCAAATTAATAATCTAAAAACAGTTAAACATTGTTATTCTTCGAAATGTTTATTACAACTCTCGTGCTTAAACAGAACAAATATGTGCTCTGGTAAATCCGAAATCCACGTGATTGCCGCTACAGTACAGTAGTTGCATATCTCTACAACAGTGGGCGGAGTTTGATTGACGTTGATTGGCGTGGCTCTGCTGTCATCCACTTAGTGGACCGAGTCTTTTGCGCGGGCGAAGGAAAGTGTCATCACTGAGCACGCGCATCGATCGCCCGATCGCCAGTATTTGTTCATTAACAAACTCAAATTTTTCAACGTGAACATGTCAACCTATATTCGTGGTTTTTGGCATAGAGATCCGTGTAAAATGTTTTTTTTAATTATCCGCGATTTTGAATTATCCGTGGACGTTCTCACCGACATTATAACGGATAATCGAGAGTCTGCTGTTTTTTGAATTAAGAGCGTCATTTCCATACTGGAATGTCACAGTTTTACTGCCATACGTGAATACGACGTTATTGAGGAAGTATACTCGCACGTTCTCGTTCATTCCGCTCACCCCTCCGTCCTTTAAGGAAAGCGATCCTCTCGTGCAAGTGCGAAGATGATGCGTCTGTGGCCGGCGGCAATAAGGGCTGCTGGGACCACTGCCAAATCAGCAAATATAATGGAAGTTCCAGCTCAATAGAATTCGTGAGCGTGGCGCCTTGGAGCAATGGAGCGAGCGAGAAGCAGCTGGACGGTGACAGTGACCACCCCTTCAACCTATGCAGATACAGTGGGTACCGTTCACTCATTTTATAGCTTATATACGCATCTGTGTACGCATGTTGAGCTTCTTTCGCGCCGTACGTAGCCAACCGTGCTAGTCGGGAGGTGCGCAGGGGGAAGAACAACAAAATATACGCGATAAACTGTTTTAAAGAAATGAGTTTTAAATCTAGATTTAAAAGTGCATAGCTCCAGTGGCTTCCTAATATACGAGGGAAGAGCGTTCCAGACGGCCGCAGAAGCGCACCCGAAAATGCGCGATGCGGTAACCGTCTTTGTTCGATGGCAGCCCAAAAGCCGCTGCTGCTGCGAGGATGACCGGATGATCACTCATCGTATCTGCCTGAACTTTACAATTCTTATGCGTTTGGCGTGTTTTGTCTGGGCTAATTCCCCAATAGCAACACAACTCTATGCTACTCCTTGCTGAAGTTGTTTGCGTCTTTGACCGTCTTGACATGAGTCATAGTCCCTCTCCCCCCACCTGTAATGTCCGGACGCACAGAGAAAGTTTGAGCATGCTCTCAGCCTTATTTGAAAAGCTTAATAAAGTATGTCGAACGTTTGGTGAACGATGTGACGTGCGACAGGCTGCGTGTGCATGTCGAGATTCTAATGCGGGAATATTCAATTTCATTGCAGTCATTCCGAGCTCCCCAACTGGTTTACGAGTGGAAAAAACCGACAACATGATGTACAGAGTGTCATGGAATGAAAAACAGGGGTTACATGTCCCTCATAATTATGAGGTCAGCTACCAAGAGGCCCCAAACGGGAAGTGGAAGGTAAACAACTACAAGTACTCACACTGTCAATGGCTGTGGTACGATGAACACCTGTTTAATTACTGACGGTTACTCTGCAATCGATCGGTGGCTTGCTTCTGGTTGGGTGTAAAAGTGTGGCCGCTCACACCTCTTTTAAGAATATCCGGCCAACGTAGAAGAGTAGGCCAAACACCGCTCGGGAGAGAAAGGGACGTTTTTGTTTTAGAGCTCCCTGCTGTGGGACAGCCCTTCTACCCAGCAGCGCTGCGAATGAGCAATTGCAGGGCTGCGCCTTGTGATATTAAAAACCCTTTGGCCCGATTTTGTTTTCATCCATCGCCCGTTGCGGTCTCTCGGCACGTGCATCCCTCGTCCCGTCGTGCAGTCTGAAAGTTTGTTTAGGATCTTTTGGATTGTTCGCGACATCGATTCCAAGTCGCCCGCGTACATGATAGGAACAACTGACGAGGAACGTCGCCCCCCCCCCCTCCTCCACCCTCCTCGTACAGGCAGGATAATGTCCACTTGCCAGGGACGGCGCTGCATACGGTGAGGGAAAAAAGTAATTGATCCTCTGTTGATTTTGTACGTTTGCCCACTGACAAGGAAATGATCAGTCTATAATTTTCATGGTAGGTTTATTTGAACAGTGAGAGACAGAATAACAACAAAAAAATCCAGAAAAACGCATTTCAAAAATGTTATAAATTGATTTGCATTTTAATGAGGGAAATAAGTATTTGACCCCTCTGCAAAACATGACTTAGTACTTGGTGGCAAAACCCTTGTTGGCAATCACAGAGGTCAGACGTTTCTTGTAGTTGGCCACCAGGTTTGCACACATCTCAGGAGGGATTTTGTCCCATTCTTTGCAGATCTTCTCCAAGTCATTAAGGTTTCAAGGCTGATGTTTGGCAACTCGAACCCTCAGCTCCCTCCACAGATTTTCTATGGGATTAAGGTCTGGAGACTGGCTAGGCCACTCCAGGACCTTAATGTGCTTCTTCTTGAGCCACTCCTTTGTTGCCTTGGCCGTGTGTTTTGGGTCATTGTCATGCTGGAATACCCATCCACGACCCATTTTCAATGCCCTGGCTGAGGGAAGGAGGTTCTCACCCAATATTTGACAGTACATGGCCCCATCCATCGTCCCTTTAATGCGGTGAAGTTGTCCTGTCCCCTTAGCAGAAAAACACCCCCAAAGCATAATGTTTCCACCTCCATGTTTGATGGTGGGGATGGTGTTCTTGGGGTCACAGGCAGCATTCCTCCTCCTCCAAACACGGCGAGTTGAGTTGATGCCAAAGAGCTCCATTTTGGTCTCATCTGACCACAACACTTTCACCCAGTTGTCCTCTGAATCATTCAGATGTTCATTGGCAAACTTCAGACGGGCATGTATATGTGCTTTCTTGAGCAGGGGGACCTTGCGGGCGCTGCAGGATTTCAGTCCTTCACGGCATAGTGTGTTACCAATTGTTTTTTTGGTGACTATGGTCCCAGCTGCCTTGAGATCATTGACTAGATCCTCCCGTGTAGTTCTGGGCTGATTCCTCACCATTCTTCTGATCATTGCAACTCCACGAGGAGAGATCTTGCATGGAACCCCAGGCCGAGGGAGATTGACAGTTCTTTTGTGTTTCTTCCATTTGCGAATAATCGCACCAACTGTTGTCATCTTCTCACCAAGCTGCTTGGCAATGGTCTTGTAGCCCATTCCAGCCTTGTGTAGGTCTACAATCTTGTCCCTGACATCCTTGGAGAGCTCTTTGGTCTTGGCCATTGTGGAGAGTTTGGAATCTGATTGATTGATTGCTTATGTGGACAGGTGTCTTTTATACAGGTAACAAGCTGAGATTAGGAGCACTCCCTTTAAGAGTGTGCTCCTAATCTCAGCTCGTTACCTGTATAAAAGACACCTGGGAGCCAGAAATCTTTCTGATTGAGAGGGGGTCAAATACTTATTTCCCTCATTAAAATACAAATCAATTTATAACATTTTTGACATGCATTTTTCTGGATTTTTCTTGTTGTTATTCTGTCTCTCACTGTTCAAATAAACCTACCATTAAAATTATAGACTGATCATTTCTTTGTCAGTGGGCAAACGTACAAAATCAGCAGGGGATCAAATACTTTTTATCCCTCACTGTATCCCTTGCGTAGGGACAAGCTGCCATTCGGCGTCCCCTAGGGTCCCCCCCAGGGTCCCCCCCAGGGTCCCATAGGGTCCTCCCCCTAGGACCCCCCCCCCAGGCTCCCCTAGGGTCCCCCCCCAGGGTCCCCTAGGGTCCCCCCCAGGGTCCCCCCCAGGGTCCCCTAGGGTCCTCCCCCTAGGGTCCCCTAGAGTCCTCCCCCTAGCCCCCCCCCAGGGATCCCCTAGGGTCCTCCCCCTACGGTCCAGGAGGGGGGGGGGAGTCCCCCTGGCTAGATTAATTGTGGCCGTTTTTGCGTCCGGGATCTTTTACGGGGGTTGTCGAGAGCGGGGCTCGGGATTGTGCGACTACACTCTCTCCGAGGAGTCGTGCCACGTTACGGACGCGCGGCATAAATGCGGTTCTTGTCGCACGGTTCCGCCGTATATTCATTCAAACATCATTGCCGCGTCTGTGACTTGTCGAATGCAGACGATGCGCGAGACCGACATGGGCTACCTGATGTTTAAAAAGAAGCATCTCGGGAGCGGTGGCGACTTCAACTTGCGAGTCCGAGCAGGAATAAGGAACACAACGTTGTACACTGGGCATTGGGGCCCGTGGAGCGCTGTGGTCCAGTTTCAAGGTGATCTCTTTTTAATGATCTATATTAAGAACCCATTTCTTTAGAAATGGGTTTTTGTGTTTAGCTTGTTGTCCTTTTCCCCCACGCCACACACCTCCTATTAGCACGGATGGCTACGTACTGTGAGAAAGAAGTTCAAAATACATACATACAAACCGCACCTCCATGCTAGATTTAATGTGAAATGTACACACTCCGCTACCTTCACTGAAATATTCCCTTTCAAATGCGTGACGATGAGACGTCAAAGTGCCCTGAGATGTCCCTGCGTATCGGGAAAGCGTTATATTCAAAACAAACCGTTATCAATCATCGTGGTGAAGTATGGGCAAAGTACCACCATGATGAGGCCCTCGTACAGCAGTGGATTGATAATGGACTGAAAAATGTGTCATTATCGTGAAGATTACTGTGTGATCATCGCTGTGAAGGCGTAAACATGGCTTAATGTGATATTTTGGTATGTAAATTGCAGTGCCACCTTGCCTTGAGGGTCATTGAGAATTTTGGAAAGTTATAATAGACATCGTCACGAACAAATGCATATGAATAATCTGCATAGTAAGCGGCTGATGTGTATGCATGTTTTTTTTTTCATATTATCATTATCACGTTCTGACCCCGTGCCCCTACTGGACATCTGTGAAAAAAGAGCTTTATAGCTAATCGGATTCCTCCTGTACAAATAGATATTCTGATTCGCATTACCTTTTAATGGTGACATCACCGTCTCCCTTTTGCTCACTTTGTGCCAAGCATTATTTATGAATGTCTGTTTTGTTCGTTTGCCCACTGTTATCCTTCTTACACATTTATACTCATTTGGGTAAAAAACATTTCGCAACATCGCCTCCCTCCCCCCACCTCCTACCGTGAAACTCCTGCAGACGACACCCCGCCTGTGAATCACGTCGCCTCGCTTCCTGAGAGCCTCGCTCTACACTGATGGCGCGATAACCAGTGCCGGATGAAGCCAGTGCGGGGATCTGTAGCATATGATGTTATAAAGGGGCCCTAAATAAAAAAAAACGCACGTAAATATTAAAGCACACATTTTTTGTTACTTGCATAGTATAATAATTGTATTGTTTAATTTGCTATACAGCCAGACAATACGACAAATCGCGAACATTAAACACCCAGTCGTTCATAAAAGTTGAAGGTGGTATAGTACTATAGTAATAGAGCAAGTGCAGAATCACTGAACCGGAATTGATAGCTCGAAAGCATTTAGCGCGGGGCCCTCGAAAGTGCGGGGCCTCGTAGCTACTAAATGTGTAGCTACTTTTGCTACTAGGATAATCCGGCACTGGCGATAACCAACGTGCACTCATTGCATCTTTTGATTTGTTTGCGGTGTGTGCTCAGTCCCGGTTACTGATGAAGGCTCGCCGTTTGCTTTGGTGATTACCATCTTCGCCTGCCTCATCGTCCTCGGAGTATTGTCGGTGATGTGTCTCGTTTCTCGCAAGAGGTAAGAAGAAGCGGTGGCACAGATGCCAAGACTGACGATTTTTGTGCAAAAAAACCCTTTTAAGCCAGTACCGATTTTCAAATAGAAAATTGTGTCGTGGCATTTCTTTCCCCCAAAGGTTTTATTTTTATTTCATAATTAGCCTACTGCGTAAATAGGTAGGCTTGGCAAGTGTGCCACAGTGCAGTGGTGCTGGGTCTGATTGTGACTGTTTAATATGAGCCCATAACATTTTTGCTCATGTCCATTTGAATGTGGCTGATGATGACTCTTGAACAAAGTCAGTAAATGCCCTCACGAACAACTTTTCTATGAACAACACACCCATATAGCTAAATCAGCTCAAGCCTCCCGTAAATCACGTGACTACTGCGTGGCCACCCCCACTCTGAACCCCTCTCCCCGCCCACTGTGAAAATGGACGCTGCTCCGTACAGCAGCAGCAGCAGAAGCGCCGATGCCCTGATGCAGCCTCTCCCTCCTCCCTTTGCTCTCATTTCTCTGTTCCTTTCCCTCTCGTCCCCCGTTCCTCCTCTTCTTCTCTCTTCTCTCTCCCGTTCCTTTCTCTTTTTCCATGACAATATATTGTTGACTCTACCTCCCCTTCCCGTGGTGTGACATGGGTAACAAGTAGTAGCTAGTTAATACCATGTGTTTGGACTTCGTTATACCCTTGATCAACCATCAGCAATGCGCCCTTTTGCGACGCTCCCCGTCGTTAACCCCACACTGAGCAGCGCGGTGAAAAATTGTCGAATAACCTCACACGGCTCATATGGCCCTCATCCGGCAGTGACACAAGGTCTACGCATGCATTTGCACCTTGTACTGCAGAATAAAGTGTATACTGCATAAACTACACGTGCAGCACTTCCTTAGTTATATTTCACCAATGTGACGGACAAAATCATTCCTGTGCAAGCACATGGCAGTTATTATGCGCAGTAAGTGTATTCAGTGGCAACACTCATTCGGAATCCGCAGCATGCTTTGCATTTCAGGATGTGCATCACCGTTCTTGCACGTTCCGCACATGGCCTTGCGATGGTCACCACATACCGAAGTGCCTGCCACAGAGTCGGCACTCTCCGATTAGCACGGTTGCCTGCGTACAGAGCGAAAGAAGTTCAACGTACATATATACAGGACCGGTTCAGATAATCATCACTGGTGGTGGCTGTGAGCGTGAATCGAACTTGGGTCATCGGGTTCGTAGCGCAGCGCGCTAACCGCTGCAGCACCACCGCTTCCCACACACGTGCACGCATGCGGGCGCGTGTGTGCACGTGTGTTCTTGCGTATATACCGCACACGCTATCCAACGCAGATGTTTTACTGCTCGACACGAATCTGGATCCGTCTCTCCCTCCACATCCATCTCCGCCATCTGTGTTCGTCCACAGGCTGAAGAAGGAGTTTTGGCCGAATATCCCCAACTTCGAACCGTTCATCACGAACATCTTGGAAGGCGACGATCTCCGTTTTCAGGTAACTGGAGCGCGACGGCTCATCTTCACTCGTGCCGTCATTTTTTGCTTTTGCCGAATGGCACCCCCTCTCTCTCTCTCTCTCTTGAGGATACCCTGGCACGCTTTGGCGCTGCCTGCCTGCACTGACTGTCCCTGGGGCTCGCCACAGGGGCGAACTGTTAACTACATTGGCTGCTATGCAGGAGGTCGTGGGTCCATACCGAACGCTGAAGCCTCTTTATTTGGAGTTTGCGTGTTCTCCCATTGGTTGCGTAAAAATGTATCCGGATCCTCCGGTTTTTCCCTCCACATTTAGAATCGACGTGCGGATTTGGCTGCGATAACTTTACACGTGATGATGAGCCACTTCGTTGAGCTATCATTTGTGATAGCCAGGTCGCATCTGAAAAAGAGCTGTAAAGTGGGCCTTACCTGGTAAAATAAAATAGTTTTTTAAATAGCTTACTATAATAACAATGTCAACTTGTAGCGCGTTGCCACACAGTATTCCCTTGCTCTCGAAGAGAGGGAGGGAGGGAGAGCGACTTGGAGGCACGAGGAATCACAGACAAGTGGGAAAGGCAGCAGCCAGGCGGTGAGCCGGCGCTACCAACAATTGTCCAAGCTCTATGGTCCTCTACATATTTTTTAAAATAATTTCGGCCAATTAATGAGTGTTCGCACGTGGGGGGGGGGGGGGGGGGGGGGGGGAAATCAGAGCACCCGGAGAAATCCCACGCATGCGAGGGGGCAACGCTCTATCCCGGTGCTGATGGAGACAGGGGTGACACCCATCATTTTCCGTGCCGCCTTGTCCTGGCGTGCCAGCGAACGGTGCCTCGACGCCCACGGGAAGGAGGCAGTTTGGCAGCATCGGTGCGATCCACCAACCCCCTCCCGCCTTCACAGGCGTTCGCCATCGGTTGCTGCATCCCGGGCTGTGCCACGGCGTTCCGTCTCTCTCTCTCTGCAGCGTTAACCTGCCCTGACCCCTCCGTCCCTAATTCCCCTTCTACCCGAATGTACAATGTGGTCCGCATGACTTGTGACCCACAATTAATTGACTCCCCCCCCCCCCCGCCCACAATTTTTTTTCCCCCTTCGCTTATTGATTTCTGCTTTCACATCCGTTGGTATGTGAAAATATTAAGAAGTTTTGGAGAACTAAACGGGGGTCACAACACATCTGGACCACCCTGCACTTTGCTCCGATTGCGTGTCGATGCTGCGAACGTTGGCCCTGTCGCTGCGACGTCTCACGAGCTTCAGCTGGGCTTGCCATCGCTTTTATTTAACGGCGTTTGAGCGGCGGTGAGAACGGTTCGCCATTGTGACTCTTGCAGCTCTCTCTCATTCCGTAGCTCTTCCAGCATAAGAAGCCTCAAGGCTGGATCGTTGAAGACCAGGCCCCAAGTAAAGTGGAAGTGGTCTCGGAGGTGGAAGTGAACGGTGCGGAGAAGCTGTCCGGTCTCCCGGTGCCTCTGCCTCACCACCTCAGTCATCTCCAACATATACAAGTCCGATACAGCAGCATCGCGCGCCCTAAAAAGACAATGCCGCTCTTCACCATCGTGCCGCGCCTATTGGAAAAGGACATCGCCGGTCCGCCGGGGGGGTGGCTTCACTGCGCTGCCGAAGCGACTCTGCTGGACGGCACCGGGCAGCGTCGTCCGCTCGCCGCCACGGCCCCCGACGGGGAACGGAAGCGCGCCTCCCTTCTGCGGCACGTGCCAGAGCACCGACCGTTTCCAGCGGCCTCGCGCGAGTCAAACTATGCCGGCGGCGGCGACACCGACGACGACACCGACGACGACGACGACGCGACGCCGTACTTTGGCCGCGCCGACGACAAGCTCCCGTTCCTCGACGGCACGCGAGCGGCGCCGTCTCGGGCCGCCGCCCTGGCCGCGCACGGGATCGCCCCGCCGCAGGGGTTTCTGCTGCGCAGCGTTGGCCGGGCGCAAGCCTACGACAGGCTCCTGGACGGAGGGGGCTCGCGAGGAGGAGGAGGAGGCTACTCCGTGAGCGGCGCGAGTGGCGCCGACGACTACGTCTCCCCCTCGGCGCTTTGGAGGGAAGACGTTCGACCGATTCTCGGCTTCGGCGACGCGGGCGCTGCCGGCCTCGTCGTCTCGGTAAGCGCGGCTGCGTCGTCTGAAATGGCAACCGCTGTGGAGGGTAATGGCGCAAACGGCGGGTTAAAATACGTGACCTTGATTCACAACTTGATGCCCTTGAGTAGCGACGGACGGCTTGATCGCCGCTCTGGCTGCGTGGAATTTGAAGAGCGGCTTTCATCGTCCGATTACTGCAGGGAAGCTTTCCTGTCTGGCCCAGAATGCAAAATGACAAACTGTGGCAGCGAGCTTTGCCAAAGCGTCAAGGATGACATTGCGGCTGAAATAAGAACCGCAACGTCAAATTACCACGAGCGGCAAAGGTTGCCACCGCTTGAAGAGGTGGCCAGCAGCGGACAGGTTGAATCGTGCGCCTTCAGTTACGGCGTCGAAATGCACAACGGGTACGTTTCGGAGGCGGCAGCGTTTGACTGCGCTTCGGGAATCGTGCGAGCGGGCGACGCCCCGCAGTACATCCGCATGGAGACGGCGCCACGGCTCGAAACGGGGCAGCTCGCGCCCGGACGCGCGGACGGCGGCGTCGAGGAGCTCGCCGGAGGTCGCCCGGCGCTCGCCTCCGACGACCCCAAGGGCCTCGCCGCGTCGGAGGAGTTCGGCGCCGGCTCCGCGCTGCTCCCTCTGGGCGGCTACGCGTGCGGCTCATTTGCCGCCTCGTTGACTCGGCTCGGCTGCCCCGCGCCGAGTGCGGCGCCCGCGGCGGCTGCGGCGGCACCGCCGCCGCAGCCGCCCGCAGCGACCGCCGCCCAGTTGTACGCCGACGCGGTGGCGATGCAGAGCTACGCGAGTGTGCTGGTGGCGGAATATCCCGGCGCGCACCGCCTTCCGTTTAGGTGTACGGAACAGGCGATGGGCGACTGGGTACCAGGGAATCCCCAGCAGGCTCTGTGCGGCGCCGTCGCATGTTCGGGCGCGCTCCCTCTGGCTCGCGCAGGAGCTGTTGCCACGTGTGGCTACGTCACGCTGCCGTGACTGACGTGACGGATGTTTTTTTTCTCCGGCCCTTTTAGCCACTGTGCTCAGGGAGATTGCCTGTGGAATATCGCAACGGGGAATGGCACGCCGAAATAGACGCTTCGATATAAAACATCGATGTGGAAATTTTTTTTATAGGACCAAAAACAATGATGTCTTTTGTTTCGGTGTCTTTTTTTTCCTACATTAAATATTTACAGCAAAGAGCAGTCTAAAATTAATACCCGAGACGGAATAGCCCAGCCGGACTGCTCATTGTCGAAGCTTGTGGGACAGACGGTGGGCGAGCGGGCACCGGACCTTGCCCGTGAGCCCTAGGGCGGTGCCAGTCGCCGATTCAACTGACCCAGGTCACTCGTGCAAATAAGACGCTGCTGGTCTCTCGAGTTCTCACCTGGCTACATGGCGAGATGTTAGCTACCTCGCCTGGTATACAAGAGGTCGTGGATTCGACCCCGACCCTGACACCAGTATATTTGGAGATTGCAGGGTCTCTCTTCCCGTGGTCGTGTGGATTTTTCTCCGGATCCTCCGGTTTTTCCCTCCGTATTTAGAACCAACATCACGCGTTGAGAGTATTTGGCCCCTAGAAATTTCCACGCGATAAGCCACTCCGTTGAGCTATCATTTGTGGCCAGGTCACTTCTGAAAAAGAGCTAAGTGGGTCTTTATTCTTTGGTTCTTTCGGTAAAGTCACGTAGGTGAAAAAATAAAATGAAACTACCGAAAGAACCAAAGAATATGGATCCTTGCAGTCACGAAAAACTTTAAATCTAGAATAAGTGGGTCTTACCTGGTAAAATGAAAAAAGTTTAGTTTACATGACCTGGTGGCGTATGTTGCTCCTGTCACATGGCCTACAATTATTTAATTTGCATAGCCCTTGATCCAGTGCTGGATAAAGGCTAATCCTGGACAATTCTGTCACGGGGTTGCGTGGTAAATCACAACGCTCGTCAGTGCGGGTATTTGGTGACCAGGGGATTGCCCTGGAATGGTTTAAATATTGACTTGCTGCTACAGGTGTTAGCCGTGGCCGGAAATCCAATTCGGGGTTGTTTGTTCAGTTCATAGTGCAGTGTAGAGCAGAAGGTAATGTCAACTTTAAATAAGCATGCTCAGGCAGCAAGAATGTGGACACATTTGCTCGTGGGAATAGTGAAACTAAATATTACGCATCGCATTGCATCTTATGTTCTGTACCGAACTGCAAATATGACATTCATATATTTTATTGTAAATAACAGTGTTGTTCTGTATGAGTGTCTTCTGTTAACACCACACCACACCATTGATAAGGTTTGCGTTTTACATTGAAATAACTGTTTAGCAGTTCTCTGTGTCTATAAACACATCATTGCATACGGCACTGTATGTCTGTGTCCAAATATATATTTTACTTTTTAACATTCCAGTAATCGGTGCTTGATTGTTGTATATGTACTGTAGTCCTGTATTTAAATGTGCATTATATTATTCTATGAATAAAGAACAGATTAGCAGTGCTATACAAGAGTGAATGGTGTACAATCCACGAATATATTTCTATTTGCTGTACAGACCAAACAACAATAAGAGATGCATCAAGACTTTATATTTTGTCATTTTATTTACACATTTCTTCCAAAGTCAGAATATTTACAACAATAAAAATTAAAGATCTTGTCGCCGTCCACAGCCATCGCAGTCGTGGTGGCGCTAAATCCCCTAACACTGGGGGCACGTGGTCCAGCCGCTAGTGTGATGGTGGTGGGGCAGGTTGCGGTTGCTCTGGCAGTACCAGCGATGACGGTGCTTGTGCCACTCACCGCAGCAGGTTGGGCCCCCACACGATGGCCAGGTTCACGCTCGTCACGCCGGTGTTGTCTACATGCGACACCAGGCGCGACAGGTGCCTCATCAGGTACTCCAGGGTCCTGCAACATCAAGAAGCGCATGCCACATTGCCTATGTTAGCGCTTGTGCTGTGTCACGTTCATATGGATCATCCTGCATGTGTGTGTGTGTTGGTTGATAGGGATTTGTTGCGTGTGTGTGAGTTAGTTGCTGGGACTTGCGTGTATCTGTGTGTGTCCATTGATGGGGAGCGGTAGTGTAGCGGTTAGCGCGCTGCGCTATGAACCTGGCGACCCAGGTTCGATTCCCGCTCACGGCCAACACCAGTGACGATTATCTGAACCGGTCCTGGGCCTCCCCTAGGTCGACTCAGTCTCAAATGACTACCTGGCGGTCGGGCGTGGTGCTGGCAACCCACCACCTCGTGTACCGTTCCGGCCTTCATAGGTGCTCGCTAACAGCACTTGCCCCTATAGTCTGTTAAGGCTATACGGGGGATGTTTGTCTTTGTCATTGATGGTGCACGTGTGCTAGTGCATGAAGGATGTAACTGGGCAGCTGGAGGCAATTGCCCTCCAACAACAACGAGGGGAGCGTCGTGCGGCTAGAATGCAGCAAATTGGCACAGTAGGGGGCACAGCTGGTGCATCTGCCCAGCAATCTCAGTCAACCCATGGCACATGGGTCTCTCCCGTGATCTCCTGCCAGCAGCAAGCCTTCGACACTTCATGTAACGGCCTCAAAGTGCACCTGGCTAGCATTGTACAGGTGCCATGGTAATGTCACCGCCACTTCAATGGCCAATGGTGGCTGCTGTTGTTGTTGTTGTACCTGTAGTTCGGTGACCTCCTGTATCAAGATGAGTTTGTCCTCCGTCAGGGCCGTCATCACCCCCTGCGCCGACGCACGAAACGCTCGCCACCCATGGGAAACGCGAACGGCAGCGTCGCAACGCAGCAGCGCGCTAGTCTGTGGTTAAACCTCAAACACTTGGGAGACTGCCTCACTTGGAAATTATTTTTTTTAAAAACTCGCAACGGCCTCCAAGGTTGTGATGTCAATTTGCGGGGAAAGGCAAGAGCCGCTGTGGAACAAATGGTGCAGCTGCCCATAATGCGCAGCCGATGGTCGCGTGCTTACGGCGAATTTGTCGGGCAGCTCGCGAAAGTATCGCTTGAGGAGGGAGCTCTTGGAGTGAATGTCGTGCGCCTCCCCCATCAGGTCGGGCCCCGTCCCCGCGTTGAACTTCTCTCTGCGTGAGCGAGAGAGTGCGGGGTGGGGATGGCAGTATGGGAGTGAGGGCTTAGTCTCGTTGTGGTGATGAGCCTTGGTCTACCCACTGCTGGACAAGGGCCTCCCCCTCACGATTCGATGAACTTTCACGGTTGGGAGGCAAGATTAGATTCTTGCCATTGTGGCGCATGAACAAATTTCGTACAATGTATGAACCGATTACGTACAATAAACATGGACTGTTCACTTCCGAAGCATTCCGAAAAATCTTCTCCTGTCGTTACATGGCATTGTGGGAATTACCCATAATACTCTGCAGCTGAAGAACGTCCACGTCTATCTCGGCGCGCGCCAGCAATGATGGCAGAGGCACTGACGCGAGATGAACCACCATTTGCAGCATGCGTTTCGAATCACATGACAGAGGTTATTTGACCATACTTCAGCACACTGGTCAGCGTGGGTTGTAAACGACCAGTACTGGCGTAGGGAGGCCCTGGCCAAGCAGTTGATTGACAAAAGGGCCGTATAGGTATATAAGATGTTGGTGGTGGTGATAATAATGATGATGGTTATAATGGTGGTGATCGTGATTGTGTTGGTGGTGATGGTGCTGATGTTGGTGATGGTGGTAATGATGGTGGTAGTGGTGATGGTGGCATTGGTGAAGGTCATGAAGATGGTGGTGGTGGGAGGCAGTGCCGTGTGGCCTTACCGCAACTTGTTGACATTGCTGATGACCCCGGAGCAGCAGTAGATGTCATTGACGATGCCGTGCCTCTCAATGTGCTCAGCGCACAGCTTCACCACCTGTGAGACTCTACGAGAGACACGGCAGACCGATCACTCAAGCTATGAACCACAAGGGAATAAACAATCATCGAGTAAAGTAGATTTTTACACCCCCCTTTCCCCCTTATCCCTGGCCGTTCCTTGGCATGCTGGTTATTCCTCACCACCCCCCCCCCCCCCCCCGTTTCCCCTCCCTATTTAAATTTTCATCTTTCCCCTAACGCGAGGTCCCCACTTGGCTGGGGCAGCACCAGGGTCCTCGTCTTCCCCTTCCATTTCGCGCTGTTTCCCTCGCGCCGGAACGGCTTACTGCGGATTTTCTGGACCCAGTCGCCAGAAACGTGTTGGTGTGTTGTATCGGGCTTGCGTTTTGTTGCAATACAAAACATTTTATTTTTAGTTGATTCTTATACAATCGTTTAAACATTCGTCTCCCCTCCCCCGCCTCCCGCAAACCAGTGTGCCACCCGGTCCACCGAATTATACAAATGTATTATTAAATTTCGATTTAAAGCTCTGTCGTCCCCTGAAGAAGGCCACTTGTGTTGTGGCCGAAACGTCGTGAGAATTTTATTGTTTTATTTTATTATTTTATTCTCATTCTACGTGACTTTACCGAAAGAACCAAAGAAGAAGAAATGTATTATTATTGTTATCTTTATATCCGGCCACGGTGGCACGCGCATTCATTTGTTCCGGTGCTTTGGAGGAGGCAGGGTTGGTGGACGACAGCATCTGGTGGATTGTGCGAGAGCTGTACGGCTGCGGTGTATCGGCAGAACTCACCGTCGTGTGCCGTGTTGCCCAGGTGCTGAGCCAGGTCGCAGCCAAACACCTCGCCCTGATCCTTGGTGACTGTGGAAGGAGGAGGGAGGAGGAGAGAGTTATAGTTAAAAGTATTTAAAATCACATCGTCTGGACAATAAGTACAACTGTCCACTGAAGCCAGACGAGAATGAGGCATCTGGTTAACTCAGGTCAGGGCGCTCAGCTGGCACCACTGAGATGCTGGGTTTGAATCTTGAGGCTGACACCTGTGACTGCGATTAAACCGGTTTATCAGGTGTAGTGAGTGGGGTCTCAGATGACCGCTTAAAAAAAACATGTTACATTATATTTCGTCCTGTACTTAATTTGGCCAAAATTCCAGCTTGCGTCATTTTAGATATCAGTTTTACCACTTGCAGTGAGCATTATTGTCTGAGAGCAAAGCGAGTGGGAAAATATAGTTTTCTTAAATGTAATGAAAGCTGTCTCTGGTGTGGACCAATCAGTTTCAAAGACAATGCACATAAGTGTCAGAGCATGTTTTTTTTGTTTGCATGTTCATCACAAGTATGCGTGGTTAATGCAGTCCATGATTCCTTGCAAAAGGTTTCAGTTTGGTGTTTTAACATCTTAACACAAACTGTTTCATTGCCAGAAAGGGGAAAACTTATTCTTATATTTTGATACTGGCAAAAGGAGGTCCCGTGATGTTCATCATCGTGATAGCCACGGCACTGGCACTGCCGCGGATCAGAACTAGTGTTGGTCACCTCAGCGCAGCACTGAGCATTCATGACACGTTACATTGATTCCGACATGATACAATGTTTAACACGGTGTGGTACAGTGCCCATAGTGTGCAGCAATGTCTTTGACACGGCACAATGTGGAATGGTACAATGTCCGTGAGCGGTGCAATGTGTGCGGGCTATGTTGTGCCGTCATCCATTTGGCGACGTGCCAGGAAACCGCGTTTTCCCTCCCACCACATTGACACTTCTTTGCGCAGCATGTCCGTGATGCACAAGATCTCCCCAAACTGAGACAGACGCGGGGGCGGAGGCGGGCAGGGGTCAAAGGAGGAAATGTTGTGGTCACGGGAGTCACAGGGGAAGTTACGGGTTGATGAGACATCATGGACCTGAGTGAGCATAAGTCAACATGGGTAACACAAAGACATCCATCCCAGCTGAGGGGGCAGCCACAAGCTGACGTGCAGTTCTACACGCTCGCACACACTATACAAAACTATTTTTTATTTTACCAGGTCAGGCCCACTGAGCTATGTAGCTCTTTTTGAAAAGTGACCTGGCCACAAATGATAGCTCAAACTGGTGAAAACCGTGAGTGACTGGCAGGTGCACTAAAGATACAACAAACGTGAAGAGGACTGAGCTTGAGTTGAACGCGATGCCATCCTGGCCAGTGGGAGCAGCTTACCTGGATCCTTTTAACATCTCCATTGTGCTGGTGGAAGTCAGCTCAGTCACCCAGCCCGAGGAAATATTCCTCAGTGATGAAAGGCCTGGGAAGGGAACACAGTAACAGAACGCACATGGCTATCATTAATACACCAATTAGCATGGTTGGCTACGTACGGTGCGAAATCGGTTTAACATAATACAATGCTGCCATCAAACGATATTACGGCGTGTTGTAACAATGGAGAAAAAATGTTGGTTGTGATCAATGAAAATAAATTGTCATTATAAACAAAATCAGAACAATCCTGTTCATTGCTGAGAAAAGTGTGCTTTGCCCAGACACATCAATGGAAGTGATGATGGCCAGTGGATGAGACTGATGATGTGAAAATGAAGCCAACGGGAAAATGAAATACCACGCTCGAGAGGACGGCCATGGAGGATGTGGAGCAATAAGATCAGTTCACATTGAGATGGATTATGGGATCGAAGAACCAAAAGGAATATCGATGGCAGGAATAGACCTTCATCTGGCAGTGGATATAACGTGACAGATGATTATGATGGCAAGGTATAAAAATTCAAACTAAATGGCAGCAATTTATCAAAGTAGTTTTTTTTTGCATATTCTTTGGTTCTTTCGGTAAAGTCACGTAGATAGATACATGTCTCGGACCGTGTTCGTGAGCATAAGGCAGATTTGAAGCACGGTAGGACCAATACTTCTTCCGTGGCTGATCATTATTTGAATGCGGCTGGCTCACACGACATTTATTTCTCTAAGACGATGGTACTTTGCAAGCCTACCGGCTATCAACAAAGATTCGTTCATGAAGCCATCCATATATACAGACACAGACACGATTTAAACCGAGAGGATGGTTATAGACTCAGCAATCATTGGAAAGATGTCATCAACCACTTTGGGTCATGACTTGACTTGTGTTTTCTTGTCAATCAACCTCCACCGTCAGCAGTGTGGTGTGTGGAGCAGGGTGCAGAGATTTCCTGGCGGCCCTTGCTGCATTGGCATTGCTGCTGCATTGGCAATGTTGGTGCTGCTGCATTGGCATTGCTGCTGCATTGGCATTGTTGCTGCATTGGCAATGTTGGTGCTGCTGCATTGGCATTGCTGGTGCTGCTGATACACTTGGGCTACGCCCATCTCCAAACCTTTATAAACAGTGTGCCTTTGGAGGCTAACCCCTTTTCATGACTACCGCTTGTGCTGCGATCGAAACGTCGTGATATTTTTATACACTTCATCTTTATTTTTATCATTAATTTTTCTATCTACGTGACTTAACCGAAACAACCAAAGTATTTGAATTCCTGCAGTCACGAAAGTTTAAAGTTAGGTTTTTTTTGCACTCAGTATTTGTATGCATTCAAATCATGATATATGGCTGTGAGCTGAAATCTCGACTTCGTTAGTGACACGCTGAAAGTGAATGTTTCCACCAGGGTATAGAGAACTCACTTCAGAGGTTTCACTGCCTTGCTGGCCCCGTTGCCACAGGGCTTCGCGATCTCCGTTACCACTTCCTTAACTCCATTTTCGCCTTTTTCCTGTAAACAAAAGTCAACAATTTTTTTTTACGCACAGCCCCTTCTCATCCACTGCTGGATGAAGGCCTCCTCTACGCCATGTCAGTAATAATGGGGACTGCATGACGATACAATACTACCACACTGTTTAGTGAGGGTTGAAGGATGGAGGAAAGGACTGGTTAGCACGGTTGGCTAAGTACGGTGCAAAAGAAGTTCAGCATACACATCACTCGACACCGATGTTAGCCGTGACAAGGGATTGAACTCGGGGTCGCCGAATTGATAGCACGGTGAGCAAACCACTGCGTCACTGCTCCCCCAAATACATATTTAACACAAAAAACTATGAACAAACATAAATACTGTAAATGAATCAAATGCACGCAAAATAAAACTTCACAGCTACATAGTTCACATTAATACATTGAAACGGTTCATTGCTGAAACACGTCCCCTTCACCACCCAAAAACGAAACACATTTTTATTTTATTTTACCAGGTAAGGCCCACTGAGCTATGTAGCTCTTGTTCAGAAGTGACCTGGCCACAAATGATAGCTCAACCAAGTTGCTTATCATGTGGAAATGTATAGCAGCCAACACAAGCATCTACAACAATAAGGCATCTGTTCCCGTCTTCAAAAGTATTTTTTTAACTGGAGTAATTGGTGTTAACACGAATAAAAGTTACTTGTAAAACTAAAAGGATAGCTCCACGAAGTCGCTTATCATGTGTAAATGTATAGCTGCCAAATACTCTAAAAAGCGTGTTTCTTAATGCTTGCTTCTAAACACGCGTCACCGGTGACGTAACAAACCTCGTAGGCCTGATGGTTCCAACCACGTGACCTAAGCGCCCCTCTTAACTCAACGACCAAGCGCTCTACTCACCCCGTGCCCGCATCGCATTACTGTATCAGAAGCAGAATATTTACGTTCATAATCCCACCAAGGCATCTACAACAAGTCAACTGTTCCCGTCTTCAAAATTAACTCTTATTTAACTGAACGAATGGCCGTTAGCATGAATAAAAGTTACGTGTAAAACAAAAAGGCCAGATGCAAATTAATACCTCCTTCCAACCACACGTGTATCCTACTCGTCGACCGGGATTACAATGTACCACGCGCGTCCTTCTTCGATGCCGTGGAAACATAAAGAGTGAACACCGAGCGAGTTCAAATCCAGGTCATAGAGGTCGGGCCGTTACGGGGATTGGCCCATCGCCTCTCCCAAACAAAATTGTGGAAAACTTCGTCGACCAACGGCGAAGTGGCTCGCTCGTGTTTAGGGGCCGTCCATAAATGACGTCACGCACCTGGGGGGGGGGGGGGTCAGACAATTGTGACGATGTGTGACGAGGTGGGAGGTGGGGTTTGAGAAATGTGACGTCACATCAAAATGCGCAACTTTTAAATAAACATAGACAACACGTTCTACTTAATTAAATAGACTTTTTAATAAATGTTTTCCCCTACAACATCAAAGTGTAGCGCCACATTAACTACGCACTACAATGACAATAGTTTAAAGCGATTTGAAGCATGTTTTATTTTCAAAATGAAAATATGGTTTTGGGGGGGGGCAGAGCTTTGTGACGTCATATTTGAGGGTGGGTCTGACTTTTTGTGACGCCGTGTGACGAGGCGGGGGGGAGGCAAAAATCGTCCAAAATCGCGTGACGTCATTTATGGACGGCCCCTTTATGCACCGAGATGAAGAGACAAGAGAGAGAGAGAGCTGCCTCCCCATCCACCTTCGCGACGTGGTGAGCCAATCAGCGCCGGCCTCATGTCGCGAGACGCAAGCGCCACTCCATGGTTCAAGTTGGAAAAACGAGACAGCCGAGACAACAACAAAAACTTCCCGGGAATAATTGTTAAATATCAGGGTGTTAGGGGCCGTACATAAATGACGTCACGCGATTTGGGCCGATTTTTGACCCTCCCCCCCCCTCGTCAAACGGCGTCACAAAAAGTCAGACCCCCCTCAAATATGACGTCACAAAGCTCTGCCCCCCCCCCCCCCAAAAAAAATAACTTTAAACTATTGTCATTGTAGTGCGTATTTAATGTGGCGCTGCACTCTGATGCTGTAGGAGAAACCTTTATTAAAAAGGAGGCGTTGAAAAGCTGAAATTTAGCATAAAATTCACTTGAAAAATTTTCAGCGTCTAACTAAAACTGCAGATGTTCAGAATACTATATTGAAATTCTCTTATAATTATAAAATATTAAAAGTAATTGAAACTATACAAAAAAACACTTGAAACTTTGTAGTAGAACGAAGCAAAATTAAGAGAGTACAATTATAACAATCACACATTCATTCCACAGAATGAAAAGCCCTGGTAGAGAATCATTAGAATCAAAATGTTTTGTCATCCCCGGCCCGAGGCGTTTCGTGTTGCCAGGGCGTGAAAGGCGGCAAATGATCGACAGACTTCACCCTGCGCACGAGGGCAACGCGTCCACTTGCGAGGAGATGGAGCGGTGAAATCAGCTCGTTTGCAGCAGCAGCAGGAGATTGATTTTGTTGACATGCATTGCAGGGTCGCGAGAGATCACAATATTTATTTAGACTGGGGGAAATCCGATGAGCTATAAAGCTCTTTCCCCCCCCACCCCACCCCACCCCCTCCAGAGTAGGGGCACCGGGTCAGAACGTAACAACACGAATATAAAAAAAAACACACAACAGAGTGCGAAGTATGGGAACGGTAAACAAAATCACTTACAAAAATAAACACAAATAAAAAACAAAGTTTTTATTTTAAATATTTTAACAGGTCAAGCCCACTTGAGCTGTTGGCTTCTATTTCAGAAGCGACATGGCCACAAACGACAGCTCAACTAAGTGGTTCATCGCGTGGAGATTTTTAGCAGCCAAATCATGTCAATAACGACTTGGTGGGGTGCCACCATCCAGCAGTAGATCGATCATGACAGCCGCGACAACGACAGCTGCTGCCGTTATTGATGATGATCGTAAAGATGAATGATGTACTGTGCTAATAGATTAACGACGGGTACGGGTGTTCGATGATATTCATTTGGGGCAAATTAATTGCCCTTTCAACAAATGTTCAGAAAGGAGAAAAAAAAGCATACGAGGTTTAGACACGCGGGACATTGAGTACAATTTATATAAAGTAAAAGTGATCAACAACGAGACGACATATCGTACAAACGGGACACTGGAAACGAGACAAAATCCATAGATTTGTTTTAATTGAAAGGAATCGTTTTGTGAAGTCGAAATAATTGAATGGGGGTCGTGGGGGGTGGTCGTAGGGGGAGGGGGTCGGTGACGTCACTAATACAATCCCCCTACCAAGATGGCGGCACACGGGGATTGGGACCCCAAAGGCGCCATCGTCGTGACGTCCCCCCCCCTCACCCCTCACCAAGATGGCGATCTTCAGCGTCTACATTGTCAACAAGGCGGGGGGCCTCATCTTCCAGTACGACAACTACGCCCCGAAGACCGAGGTGGAGAAAACCTTCAGCTACCCCCTCGATCTGGTGCTGAAGGTGCACGACGAGAAGATAGTCGTCGCCTTCGGCCAGAGGGACGGCATTAGAGGTGAGGCCCCGGTGAGGCCCCGGTTAGGCCCCGGGTAGGCCCGTCCCTCCGTGTTCGCCTGCGAGGCGGTACCGGGTCTAAGGCCTCTCGGGCGGCTTGAGGATCCAGCCGAGGCCGTGGTCTAACTACGGCTTCCCTGGTGTCAATTGTAAGCATAACGCTTCTGACACTACTTTGACGCGTGGCTTTTACATTATCACTCTACATGGGTTTGCTTCAATTGATATTTGTGTCGATAAAAAAGGTCCGTGGCTAAAACCTCAATTTGCAGTCGTAATGTTGATGGCTTAAACTGCCGGTTGTGGTAGACTGTGTAACTTGCCGTCATCGCCACCATCATCATCACCATATGTGGTATATAAAATCTATGTACTGCTTTGTGGATAGCCAACGCACGGACGTTGTGCGTGTGTGGTCGCAGTGTGGACAGAGAGAGTCACGTACACAACGATCCCCCGTGTATGCCTTAACAGACCTTGGGGGCAAGTGCTGTTAGCGAGCACCTAAGTCACTTACACACAGAGAGAGAAGCACGCAGGGGAAGATAAGACGACCACAGAGAGACGCACACATGAAGAGAGACAACAACAACAACCGCAATTCGTCACTAAGTGGCGGTGATGTCACCACGACGCTTGTGCCAGGCTAGGTGCACCTTGAGGTCACGTGAAGTGTCGAACGCCCGCTGGCAGGAGGTCACGGGGCAGACCCAGCAAGTGCCACGGGTCGACTGGCTGAGATGACCGAGACGACTGGCAGATAAACCATTTGTGCCCCCTGCTGTGCCAACCTGCTGTGCTTTAGCCACCCGGCGTTCCGCTCGTTGTTGTGAGCGTCGCTCCTCCGCCCTCCGTTGTTGTTGGAGGGCGACTGCCTCCAACTGCCCAGTAGCAGCAGCGTCCTTCACGAGCCTCCTCCACAGAGGCCGATCTTGACCCACCCTGGGAGACAGACATTGCGTGCAGACACGAAGGAGAACACGGAGACACTGAGAGAACCCGGCCACAGCCAGCATCTGTGGCAAGCGAGGTGTCATTATGGCCAAACCAGCCCGGAACTTTGTTACGAGAATTAGATATTTAGAAGTTATCGAGCCATGGGTTTCGAAAAAAAAACATTGACAATAGTCAAAATATTTATATATAGGGTGAGTCCATGCGTCCAATTTTAGAGTCTGTTAATCTGATTATAGTGAGTAATATAGGAGTATGCAAATGCATTTCTTGTACTCTCGTGGTAGTGCCTTACGCCTACAATAACTCTTATAAAACAGCTCAAACAGCGTCTGTAAAATAGTTAAATGAAGCCTTGTTGGTGAGTCTTAGCTAAACTGATTCCGCCCCCCCCCCAGCCACTTAATCAACTCGCACCGACCAGCGTAGTGAAGTATGTTCAAACAACCAACACGACCCTTGCGGAGTGAGGACGCCCTCATCCAACATTCGATTTTGACAGAAGGGCTCCCACATGTTGATACAGTTATGTCCACTAAAAAAGAATGCTCACAAGCAAATTTCATCTAAGGCTATGGGTCTTTAAAAAAACAAAACGTAGGTTTAATTTGTTGCGTCAGGGCCCATGCCAATAATTGCCGTCCGCTCTAAATTGAAAATGTCTCTACGCCCGCCGCCGTGTTGTCTCTCGCTGCGCCACTCTCTCCCGCAACAGTGGGGCACGCGGTTCTGGCCGTGAATGGCCTCGACGCGGTGGGACGCACGCTGCCGGATGGCCGAGATGTCCTTGCGGTGATCAACAACCCTGACAGTTACCCCTTGAACCTGCGCTTCGGTCGCCCGCGCCTCTCCTCCAATGAGAAGCTCATGCTCGCCTCCATGTTCCACTCGTAAGTAACCCCCCAGGTCGTGCTGTGCGACTTGAGCGACCAGACGAAGCCGAGATCGGCATCAAGGTCGTACATATTGAATGGTCTCCCCGCGCCTCCGATTAGCACTGTTGCCTACGTACGGTGCGAAGGAAGTTCTGCATACATACATGAAGGAAGTCTGCATCGCATAACATAGTCACTGATATCACTCAGCAATATATACTTACACTTGCTTATTTTACCAGGTAAGGCCCACTGAGCTGTATAGCTCTTTTTCAGAAACGACCTGGCCACAAATGGTAGCCCAACGAGAAGTGGCTTATGGCGTGGAAAATTGTAGCCGCCAAATACTCTAAACGTATTTTTCTAAATGTGGAGGGAAAAACTGGAGGACCCGGAGAAACATCCAAGCGACCACGGGAAGAGATAAAATATACAGGTGCCAGTGTCACGATCGAACCCACAACCTCCTGTACACCAGGTGAGGTAGCTAACATCTCGCCACTAGTGGGAGTGTCCCACGTACCGACCGCCGGGTTAGGGACAGTTGACCAAGCCGGCAAACTCAGTGAGGCGCAGCGATCCACCTTGGTGATGAGAGGCCTCATCAGCAAAGGAGACATTTATGGAACCGATATGTGACATATAATGGTGATGACCCCTCTCATCCGAGACCCTAATATCTGTATACTCCTATTATTCGTGGCCCAAATAGTGTCAGAAAATAACATGTTTGTGCTTGTCTATGAAAAGGTCACACAGAAGTGGTCACCCAGGAATGTTTAACGAATCCAGATAAGAGGAGTCACCTGGAAGTGAATGAAAACTCGTCCTATTCATGTTTATCGATGGATAAGTGACCCGAAAGTGATTGCCGAGAAGCACTAAATTCATCCGTTTTGTACAGCGCCATTTTAAATCCACTGCTGGATGATGGCAGGACCTTCCTGAATAAATGTAGCAGGACCTTCCAGAAAAAGAGTCTCGGGACCCCGTGAAGTTTTGCTGGATTAATATTGTAAACATTGCATGCGTACGACCTTTTGTCAATCCACATTGGTCAGTGTGTGCTGATGAAGGCGGGCAACATAGACGTTCTGATATCGTACAGTTCAATGAATTTTGCTGCACTGCCCTAATGCTGACAATTTAGGGCGCATTATTGTTATTACACCGTTTAACAATGTACACGCCTTGGCTTGTCTGTGTTATGCAGACTATATGCTATTGGGTCTCAGCTGTCTCCTGAGCTCAAGAGCACTGGCATAGAAGTCCTGGAGACCGACACATTCAAGCTGCACTGCTACCAAACTCTTACGGGTGAGTACTCGCATGCTTTACATATTTAATAGTGGTGGGAAACCCGATGAAGTTCAATGGTTGTAAATTACTAGGGCTTGTGGATACCTATAGCGCACTGCACTACAAACCCAGATACCTGGGTTCGATTCCCAGCCATGGCTAACATCTAGCGAGTTGTCCTGGGCCTCCCCTAGGTCGACTCACCCTTAATTGAGTATCTGGAGCGGTGTTTAAACATCAGCATAGGGGAGACGTATGCGGCTGGGCGTGGCGCTAGTAAGACCACCCCCACTGGTGCCATCGCAGCCTTATTAGGTGCTCGTTAACCGCAGTTGCCTCAACAGCAAGAGGCTTTTTGATGCGCTTTCTGATTTGAAGGGCGTGCTTTTTGGCATGATGTCTCGCGTTTGGCTCCAATATGCTGGTAGCTTCAGGAAACGAATTAAATTCCATTCAATTGAATTATTTTGACTTGAGACATCATACTGAGACATTGTGCTGAACCACAGGGAGGGGTACAACCGGAAATCTCATCGGAGAGCCATAGAGCACAACTGCGAAAACCTACATGTAAGCCTATGAGGCTACACCAAGTATCATGGTCTTTGTGTGTGTGCGTGTGTACTGTGTTGTGTACTTTGTTGTGTACTGTGTGCAGGAGTGGTAGTGTAGCAGTTAGAGCGCGCTGCGCTACGAACCTGGTGACCCGAGATCGATTCCCACTCACGGCCAACACCAATGACGATTATCTGAACCGTTCCTGGGCCTCCCCTAGGTCGACTCAGCCTCAAATGAGTACCTCGTGGGGTCTGTTAACATCGCCGACGGGGAGACAAAGCCGGTCGGGCGTGGTGTTGGCCACCCACCCCCTTCGTGTGCCGTGCCGGCCTTCACAGGTTCTTGCTAACAGCACTTGTCCCAAAAGTCTGTTAAGGCTACACGGGGGATCTTTGTCCTTGTGTGCAGGAACCAAGTTCATGGTGCTCTGTGAACCCCGGCAAGCAGGGATGGACGCTTTGCTGAGGAAAGTGTACGAGTTGTATGCGGACTACGCCCTCAAGAACCCCTTCTACTCCCTAGAGATGCCCATACGGTGAGAGCCGTTGCATTCTGGGGCACACGGTGGTATCTCCTTCACAGGCTACTCCTTGCCAGTGAGCGTCATTGCGGGCGAAACCTGGCCGAATAGCCAAGATATCGGAGCAAATAATGTTGGGGAAATGTAACATGTTTCAGGGGTGGAGTATTTGGCGCAGTGATTGGTGATTTGTGCACTGCTCTGAAACCGGTGACCTGAGTTGGATTGCCGGCCACGGCTAACATCAGTGGTGATATCTGAATCCGTCCTGGCTTCTACCCCCCCCCCCCCTTTCGCCAGCCCACACTAACTGGTATTCATTCTGTCGTAGGCTCACAGATTCACTCGCTTGTCGATTATGCTGGGGTTTAAATCAATTTCCCGTCCTTAGCCACCCATGGTTACCAATCTCCGTTCAGTTACAAATAAAGCCGTCATACACTGCACTAGAACACCCACAGTGCTGTTAAATAATCTCGTCAAATCTCAGAAGCTAAGCAGGATTTTAAGCCTGCACAATGCCCCGATGGGTGACCACCACGCACATCCAGGTTGTTATCGGCTGCACCTGGCCATCTGCCCTTTTGATGATGGTTAAAAGCAAAGTGTTTGCCCTTTGCTGGCCAAGGCGACATCGTCATTACGTGACATTGCGAGATGACGTAATTGAGCGTGGTGCATTTTGCGAAACCATACGCCACGTGCCGCGTGACAACAGTTCTTTGGCCACGTAATCTTACGTCATTCATTAATCACGCTTGTGAAGCCAATCGCACGTTGAAAAATTGTTACAGAATCCATGCGTACGTGTGATTTTTATTTTCTCGTATTTAATGGACATGCAAAGGGAGCCCCGTTGCAAGTTACTCATTCTTCATGATGATCTCACCTTCGCCCCGATAATCTTCCCCTGCAGGTGCGAGCTCTTCGACCAGAACTTGAAGGCCGCCTTGGAAGCCGCTGAGAAAGTGGGCACGGCAGGGCCGGGTATATGACTTTGAGCCGCACGCGACGACATCACAACTCCCCTGACCCTGTTCTCTCCCTATGGAGTCTCGCCACGCCCCGGGTTGCCGGAATTTCATTTTTCGTGCTAGGATTTCCATGTAAATTTACACGACGTGACATCGCAATATTAGTTTTCCTTCTAAGTTTATAATTGTACTTTGCGTTTCTATACTTTCAGTACGAATAAAGGTAAAAAAAGTAATTCGACTGCAGTTCGCTGTCTGTAATACATCTTCTAATCATAGCAAATTTACAATCTGTACGATGTGTCTGTTGTAGTATCACCATATCGCGGCTATCCTACACCGACGCCCCAACCCCTTGTACTGATCTCACGGGCTAACTTTGGGCAATGTAATTATTATATACATGTATAAATGTTTGCCAGTTAACAAACACGTTTTTATTTATGTATTTTTGTTGGTCCCTTGAATAAATTACTTCTGTTTCAGATGTTTCTTTTTATATGTCCATCCTTTATTTGCTTCTCGAGCACTCTCCCTCTACGTACTATTTAGACGCGGGGGAATGTGTACAGAACGTGGCTAATCTGTCCAGGTGGCTTAGTGACAGAGCAAGCTATCGGAAGGTTGCAAACTCAAAAGCTGATTGGGAGGTTAACCCGACCCATCATCCCCTCTGGTGGTTTAGAAATATGAGCACCACTCTTGTGGGGCAGTTGTTCTACTATGCTAGACCTTCCCCCACCATAGGAATGTGGGATTTCCATCACTGGCTCGGCTGTAAACAGGAGATGAGCGCTGCCTCAACACTCACCTGGGCAGGCAAACCCCTTTGACTTGACACTTTGACTAAACTTTGATTCCGTCTCCCTTTGCACGCACGTATCCTTATTGCGAGAACTCGGAGACCAATCTACCAATTTCAATGAATTAGTCATTTGAAAGCTTGAGATGTATTGCATGCCGACAGGTGAAAAGTTGTAAACAAAAATAAAGACCCATGACCCGATAATTCAGCTTGGTGGCCCCTAGCACTGCTCATCTGTTCTACGACTTACGACTGGATCATCATTTCAAAATCATTTGATGGATAGCCGTGTGTGGAGAGAGCAGCTGGCATTGAATCTCAACAGACTTCGCACTGTCTTGTATACACTGGTGAGGTTGATGACAGCTGAGTGGTGAGTCAGGTGAGTAGTGAATGTCAGGTAGGTGGTGAATGTCAAGGTGTCGTGTCATGTTCCATCTGAAGGATGTGCTACCCCTCGTGTGTATGAAAATTAATATCATCTATTGGCAAATCACATCACTCTAGTAACATTGTATTTATAAAATACTAGCTTTACTACCCGGCTTCGCCCTGGATTCACCACGCCCGGCTGCCTTTGTCCCCCCAGTGGCGATGTTCACACACCACACCAGTTACTCGTTTGAGGCTGAGTCGACCTAGGGGAGGCCCAGGAGCGGTTAAAATAATCGTCACCGGTGGTGGCCGTGAGCGGGAATCGAACTCGGGTCGCCGGGTTCGTAGCGCAGCACGCTCAACACTACACTACAATGCGTTACGCTTCCACATGCGTGGGTCACATGACAGATTTGACGTCACAGCTCACTTGCCGTGAAAAAAATAAATGCATTATTGAGCTCCCCCCCCCCCCCCCCAAAAAAAAAACAAGTTTTTATAATTTTTGCATGGTGTACAGTGTGGAAAGTACCCACATGGCAAATTTCAAGTTTGTTGCATGTCGGGAAGTACGCTAAACATTTTGAACAGACACATTCACAACTTTGCATTTTATATATATGGAGATGTATATTTATATCTCACCAGACGTCTCCTTTACATGCCTGTCTCCACGTAACAAAATTATTTTTTACATAACCCATGGTGCCCACGGAATTCTGTGAGTGAATAATCTCAGCAGCATTCAGTACCAGTGTCGATACAAGTACCAATTTATTTCTGGACTTGTGACCAAAGTATGATCTATGGCCTTTTATTGATCGAAAATATACATACTGCCCTTTGTCAATCCACTGCTGGACGAAGGCCTCCCCATGTTTTTACATACTCATTGGTTCTTTCGGTAAAGTCACGTAGGTATACGTCTTGTTGGTCATGTTTGTTTTCTTTCCATAACTCAGTGCTCGTTGGTGAAGGTGGGGGCCGCCTGAGGACTGGTTGAGCCGGTCACTGCCAACTAGCATTGGCCGGGAATCGAATTCTGGTAGGCAGGTTCATAGCGCAGTGTACCTGCTCCTGCGACCGGGCACTTTTGACCTGCCCCTACTGGACATCTGTGAAAAAGAGTTTTATAGCTCATCGGATTCCTCCAGTATATTCTGATTCGGACTTCCATGATCTCAACCTACGTAAATAAAAAACTGCCCTGAAAAATATTCACCACGTGAACTGCAATGAGCCTATGGCACTGCCTGGCAGCTAAAGCAACGGTTGCTTGTGAAAAGCGACTGGGTGGTGGAGGGCAATGCAATGCAGGTCGCTTGTTTTCCTCTGCCGTCCCCACAGTCGGGAACTCCCCCCAGCCATAGACCCCGCCATAAACGCGCCTACTGCCACTGTTCCAGTCTAGGCTGAAGACCTTTTTAAAAATATTTTCTGCTTATGATTGACTATGATGACACCACGGGGCTTGGATAGCGGCTTTGCCAGGGAGGGTGCATCGTGGACAGCAGGGTCAGGACAAGAAAATTGGGCCCTTTTTGAGTGCCGGTTTGCATCTCAAAAGCATTAAGACAATCCTCTGATCAATTTGTCCAGTCTCTTTTAGAGTTAAGTCCCAAATGGCAACAACATTATGCGTTTCACTTGTATTGGATCACCTTCACGGGAGTTTTCGTGCCCCTGTTACGGATGGACCGGTGGTAAAACAGACGGGCAAAGTTAATGCACACACGCGCTTTTACCGGAGTTTTGGCGAGGCGTTAAAAACGAACAATCGCACGAACAGAGTACTACACGGAGGGGGGGGACATGGCTCCGTTTATTGAGCTGACACCAATGTCCAACCGGGTCACGCCTCCAACCGAGTCTCGGACACACAACCGCGTGACACAACCGCGTTTTCATGACCACTGGCAAACCTGTCTGCCGGCCCAGTTCTAGCCCAGATATATAAGCACCAGGGTCTTGGCTTCGTGTCCCCTTGGCTATGTGTCCCCACGGTCCGTGAGCCACGATGCTCCGTGCACTTGGCCCATCCTGCTCTACAAATCCCTGACCCTTCCTGTCCGCTTAACCAATGCGCAAGTGACGGCGGTTGAAAATCGAGCTTAAAAGTTACCGACAAAGTTTGAACGCAGGCATCTGCGTGTACAGCCCCTCTGTCCATACGCTCCTGGATGAGGGCCTCGCCTCGCAGGGCAGGCTGTGGCGGTTATTTTCCCACACGTCACCACGCTGATCGGTGCAGGGCTGGTGAAGGTGGGGTGCATAGAAGTTTAGAATAGCAAAGGAATTGCTGCACTTCCCTCCGTTGGCAAAATCACGTAGCCGTGCTGGCGGACGACAATATAACCTGTCGTGCGTGGCAGTCGCCGCCCATCCAAGGGGGTGGTTGCCCCATCCGTCTGTTGGATCATCTCCACGAGACGAGTGTCGGCTCTTTCAACCTTAACCGCAAAAGCAAATACAGACCCAGAAGAGCAGGCAGGTGACCTGACCGGGTGTGCAACCTCTAACAACCAGCCGTGCTTGGTGGTCACCCCCCATACCGAAACATCGTCCAGAATTTACCCCCCCGCCCCGCCCACTTCTGCCTGGCTCTCAATATGTGACGAGATCGGGAGCACTCCGGGCGATTTGTTCATAGGCAGGTGTGGATCGGGGTGAAATGTGCGAGGTTCAAGTCACCTGGGTCTTTGTGTGTGCCCGATGGTGGTGTTCAAAACGCTTATTCAGTGTAGACGCATCATTGGGGTGAGGGTAAATCGGCTTACTTTGCCGTGGCGTTGACGAGTTGAGCAGCAACCAATAATTAATCCAGCCTGCGCGTAGAGATATGTTGCTTATTCCTTTCGCCCACCGACGCACGTACGCAGCTTGAACTTCTTTTGCACCGTACGTAGCCAACCGTGCTAATCGGAGGTGCAATAATCGAGATGTAGTGGAAATAAGTTTACTAAAAAGTCCTTGAGGGATCTGCTGGAGGGAGCGGTGGGGGAGAACCAATTGGGATTGATGTGGCGCAGGCCGGACTGCTGTGGAGACACGGGATATCTGGCCCAGCCTCGTGCCAGCCGCTCTGAGCCAGGCCAGCTCCCACCACTAGTGGGTTGGGGGACACACACGATGCGTCAGGGTTGGCACAATCGTTCACAGCAGCCAGTTGCGAGAGTCCGTGTCCGAAAAGGGAAAATGCACATGAATGAAATATCTCCACATTACCTCTTTCAGAGACGCATATACTACGCCGGTGGGTCTCGCACTCCCAATCCCTCAGGCCATACTCCGGGTCCGCGTTACAGGGTCCTCCTCTTTGTCGTCGTACAACTGATGTAGATGCAGAGCAACGACTACAATTTCACGTGCAGGTGGTCAAGCCAGACAGCCGCGTCAGGAGCAGCGGAGTGTATCGCTGTGAAGGGTTCTCCAAGAGGATGAGACGCGTAAGAGTGCAGCCATTTAACACCGGTGGACAGAAGTCTGGCTGATATGAAGTTACGGACTGGAGAGTTAGGTTGTTAGGACTGGAGCTTGCCGACCACTGACTTAACACCGCTTATCGTCGAAATGATCTAAATCCTATTGTTCACAACAGCAAATCTCAACAATCTAAGTCTTTTTTCATTAAATTAAAATTATCTTAATTAAAATACGATTAATAGCATGCTACCTAGATCCAGCGTCGCATTTTAAAAACAGCAGCTAAAATGACCGTTATCGTATTGCACGAGAAGCCGCCAGGCGTTTGGCCGACGCGCAGCGCAAACGCGGCCAGTGCGTCAACATTTCTCGCAATCTTTTACAGTCGCTTACATCTTTTTTTTTAAAGACGCATTCGCCGAACAACTTTGAATACTGCTGCCGCTGACGATGAAACACGTTTGATCTGCTCACGCGGCCGTAGCTTTCACATTCAGTCTCGGTGTGTTTCTCACACACGCGCGCACACACGCGCGCACATTGCACACCTCTCTCGCGCTCACTCCTAGTATCCGCCCCACCCTCCTCCGCTGTAAGCTCATGCTGCCCGCCACCGGCCAAACCTTGCGGATCCCGGTTCGACTCCCATTCGTGGTGCGACGGGGGTCGGCCTGCAACGAGAGTTTGTGGGAGCGGGGGGGGCACGAAAGGCACTTTTTATTTTATTTTAAAATACAGGCGTCAGGATCTGAATCGAACCCACGACCTCCTGCATACCAAGCGAGGGAGTTAACATCTCCGAGCCACCGTGGTGCCACAACACAACAAGACACGCAACAGGAGCCGGGCTCACGATTATCAGTTTGGTTACTCAACAAAGAGGATAACCCGAAAACAGCTTCGGGGAAAAAAAAACAGCTCACCTCTGTTCCCACGTGTGTCGCTGGACGGGAGGTGATGGGGGGGGCGGGGCTAGGTGTCGCGTTCACGCTTGGCGTGGCTTGTCGGAGGGTTTCCTGCCTTCTGGAGGCAGGACGTCAGGGTGGCCGGCAATTTTAAAGGGGAATTAATAATCGACTAGAAAAGCATTAGTCGAGCATAGCGTTGAGGTCGATCGATCGACTTAATTGAGGAATCATCCTGGGAAGCAAATGGCGCTCTTTTCGTTACAGACTGGGACCTGCCAGAGGAACGTGGAACGTCCACCAAATTGTGTAGAACCACCAGTTTGAGATGAGTGCGGCGCCACTGCTCCTGTGAGCAGGGGGACGCGTTCATCTAACGGCAGCCAAAGTGTCGCTGCACTCAAAGCTCAAATCACAATCGGAAACCAGCGGAGCGATCAGACTGATGGGGTGATGTGGTCTCTTTTTTTGATGCGTGCAAGAGAGAGGTCAATTCTATCAGCCTATAAGGGTCAATTCTATTCGGGTCAATGGGCACCACGGTGGCAAGGAAATGTTCTCTCCCTCTCCTGGTGCGCACGAGGTCGTGGGTTCCACCTGGACCCTGACGATGGCCTATTGTATAATTGAAGTCAACGTGTTCTCTCTCCCCATGGTGGTCACGTGGCTTGTTCTCCGGGCACCTCCGGTTTTGCCCTCAACCACGTTTAGAATAAACACGCATTGTTTAGATCATTTGGCTGCTCCTATAATTCCCACGCGCGATAATGATACGAGCCACTTCTATGAGCTGTCACGTGTGGCCAGGTTGCCTCTGAAAAAAAAGTTAACAGGTAAGCGGGCCTTACCGGTAAGTGGGTAAATAAAGCAACCGAGTATAGTTTAATTTTATAGCGGCTCACTACACACACCACACCAGTGCCAAACGTACCGGCCTTACAAATCCAGACTGTTACCGCGTCGTCGGCAGCGTGCACGCGCACTCGTGCGTATACAAAGCCTCTCAGCATTATCCAGACCACCGGCTCAAAAGAACTGCATGTGTGGCCGTGTTGTCGTTTTAGACCACCGACTCAAAAGAGTTTATGAAACTGTGGCCGTCCCATCAACAGGAAGCGGTGAAGTAAAAAGTGACACAACTGTAGATTGGTGCCGTCAAAATGAGGACTCGCCAGCACAGTCACAAATGTTCGCCGCTGCCATAATCCTCCGCGAGCCCCATATATGGGGAGCGCGTGCACCTTTACGCTAACTACCGGAGCTGTGCACTGTGAAATCTCGCTTCTTCAGAACTGCTTTTTGAGTCTAGTTTGTTGTCCTTCCCCGCACCTCCGCTTAGCACGGTCGGCAACGGAGGGTGCAAAACAAGTCCAACGTGCATAAGCACAGCACTCGGTGAGAAAACCCATCATCGCATCCTTGCAGCCGCCGTGCCGACACGCACCTGGAGAAGGAAGGTGGGGGGCGGCTGGGGCGGGGGAAGAGTTCTTCGTCGCTCAGTCCTCCTTCTCGCCCACGTGGCCCATGCGTGTGCGGACGTTCCTGAGCAGCGCCACGGCGACGGTGGTGGTGCCCAGCGCCAGCTCGGCCAGCCAGAACGCCGTGCTCCAGTCGTAGTGCTTGGCCACGGTGCTGAAGGGCAGCCCCGCCAGGAAGCCGCCCACTGCGGGAGCAGCGTTTGTTCAGGTTTTGACTAAACGCGCCGGCAATAAAAATTGCTCTGCGCCCCGGTATTTATTTACAATTTAAAAAAAAAACAGTGAGGACGAACGTTTTCATCGGCGATAATTTTTTTGACGGAATCAATGCTGGCCGATGGCGCACGTGGTGTGCGCGCCATCGACGGACATCGGTAGGCGATTCGTCCGGGCCGGTGACGGGCCTCGGCCTAGGTCGAATCAGCGGTGGCGAGATGTTAACTAGCTGGCCTGGAATACAAGAGGTCGTGGGTTCGACCCTGATGCCTGTATATTTGGAGTGTGCACGTTCTCCCTGTGGTCGCTTGCAGTTTTCTCCGGGTCCTCTTGTTTTTCCCTCACTATATTTAGAACAAACGTGTGTTTAGAGTATTCGACTGCCATAGATGTGCACGTGATAAGCAATTTCGTTGGGCTATCATTTGTGATAGCCAGGTCACCTATGAAAAAAAGCCACATATCTCAGTGGGCCTTAGTGTAAAAAAAATGTTTTTTTTTAAAAGGTGGCTATTAATCGCGGGCACCCCTTCGCTGATCGTGCCGAGTGGGTGAACGGGGAGCTGCCTTGCCGTTCGCCATGAGTGCGACGATGGCGTGGGACGTCCCGCAGAGGTTGTGGGGGGCGCTCTCGTTGGCGATGACCCCAAACAGCGCGATGGGGCCGTAGGAGCAGAATCCAAATGCGAAGCCCAGAGCCAGGATCAGTATCTGGTTAAGAAGAAGGGGGAAGCGGGGGGAGGGGGGGGGGGGACCGCTCCTTGAGTGAGCCGCAAGCTACGGTTGCCGGGATTCTCATCGTTGGCCCACCGCCGTTACCATAATTATCGCAAACTTAAACGGGCGTTGTCCTCGCGACTGATGTCATCATCATCATCATCAGCACCAACATCACTACAAATAATAATCAGCAGTTCGCCTGCTGTATTTTTTTACCCGAAGACGATTGCTTGTGTTGTGATCGAAACGTCGTGATTTTTTAAATAATTTTTCTATCTACGTGACTTTACCGAAAGACCCAAAGAGTATGAATTCCTGCAGTCACGAAAGCTTTAAGTCAAGGAATAATAATTAAAATCAGTGTAATCACCACCACCTTCTGTACCATTATTAACTGTTTCACAACACCAATTATCACCACTATCATGAAAATCATCACTATCATCACCATCATCATCTTCATTTATACCATCAACGTCATCATGATGGTGGCCAATATACCACCCATCCATTATGACTACCATCAATACCACCACTGTCACTATCGCCACCATCGCACCATCATCCATTGACATCACCACCATGACCACCACCGCCAACACCACTGTCACTGTCATCACCACCACCACTGTCACTGTCATCACCACCACCGCCATCATCGCCACCGTCACCACCACGGTCAATGTCATCACCACCATCATCACCACCACCACCACCGTTCCATAACAAACGATTGATGACGTTTGTCAACCAGGGACTCGCCGCCCCCCCCCCCCGACCCCGCCCCCCTTGTCCCCCGTAGCCCCCCCCCCCCCGAGTTGAAAGTTAGCGGTTGTCGTTGGGCACCTGGTGCGAGTCCGGTCCGACGAACACGCGGAATGCCCACAGCGACGTCGCCATTCCGCCCATCATGCCGATGAGCAGCCCGTGTCGGGGGTTGCCATGAGAGCTGAGCCCCACCTGCACGGACCGGAGGGCGCACGTCGTCAGGGCAACAGGGACGCCACGGTGTCGAGATGTTCCCTGCCTCGCCTGGTATGCGGGAGAGGGTTCAAAAATGAGGACTGATTCTCAAACGTACTCTTTAAACACATTTTCGAGGGAACGGAGGCTAAAACCACGAGCGCATCCGAAAGTCCCCTCCCCTTCCCTGCAACGGTTACATTTGACGCACACGTGTGCGTACGTAGCCAACAGCAACCACCCGGTTAGCACGGTTGGCTACGTGCGGTGCCAAAGAAGTCCAACGTACGTACGCACAACCATGCCAATCGGAGGGGCGTCTTACGATCACATTTACGGACGTCGCTAAGAGCGTCCAGGGTAACCGGACACCGAGTCCGCTTCTCTCTCTCTCTGCCCCCCCCCCACCACCACCAGCTTCGAGTCGCCGTGCGTTCCTCGAGCCTCAGAAACTGCCAAGCAATGGATTTTGGAGCTGTACGACGTCGACAGCTGCTGGTAAAGATAGTCGCCCTCGCCACGCGGGCACCACGGTGGCGAGGGCACCCAGCCGCCTCGGCTACCGCCTTGGCAACGCTCACGGCTGCACTACCGAGTCCGGCGGTAATGAACCAGCCCAGCTGCACCACCGATCCCTGCTGCACTACCGATCCCTGCTGCACCACCGATCCCACCTGCACCACCGATCCTCTGCTGCACCACCGATCCTCTGCTGCACCACCAATCTCTGCTGCCCCACCGATCCCACCTGCACCACCGATCCTCTGCTGCACCACCAATCTCTGCTGCACCACCGATCCCCTCTGTATCATCGATCCCTGCTGCACTACCAATTCCACTGGCACCACCGAACCCCTGTTGCACAACTGATCACTGCTGCACCACCGATCCCACTTGTTCCACCGGATCCACTCTGTAGCCATCAATTCCTGCTGCACTACCGATCCCACTTGCACCACCAATCCCCTGCAGCTCAACTTATCACTGCTGCATTAATGATCACGGTTGCGCTACCGATCCCACCTGCACCACCGATGCCCTCCTGCACCACCGATGCCCTCCTGCACCGCCAGGCCTCACCTTGGCCACGGCTCGGTCGGAGAGGAATCCGGCGGCGACGCTGCCGATGAGGCCTCCGAGCTCGAGGGCGCTCAGGAACGAGCTGCCTGCGCCGTCCGCCGCCGAGACGTCGCCGTCCAGCGAGGTGGCCAACGAGGAGGTGTCCACACGCGCACCGTGTGCCGAAAGGTGAAGACGATCAACGGTGAGCGAGATTGGAATATGGACCCGGCTCTGGCCACAACAATGTGGAATTTCCGCATGGCAGCCGCCGTCCCGAAGCGTACAAACGAGACAGGTGGTAGGAATGAGTCAGGCGGTACGAATGGTATTGACGGTACAAATGTGATAGTTCGCACGACACAGTAAAACAACACGAATGGGACAGAGCAACACAGGGTGCAGATGAGACCGAGAGTACAAATAAAACAACACACACAAGACAAAAATATATTCCGGCCGCCTGCCACAAACTGCTTCCCCAAAGGTGGGAACCCCCCCCCCCCCTCTGCAAGCCCCCCGCCCATGACCTCCCGACCAGCGGCACACGCGGGAATAGCAGCTTATTTTGTCGCACTCAGTCTAGTAAACGAGCCGATAATCGGCACGGTGATCGGCTACACCCAAGTGATTGGATTACATCGCGGCTCCAACCGCGTGCGTGTGCGTGCGTATGTGCGTGCGCGTGTTTACCCATGAGCGGCGAGTGCAGCTTTTCCTGGATGAGCACCAGCTGACCCCAGTCCGACAGGCACGTCTTCACGCCGAACACGACGAGATAGGCCCCCGACAGCACCCACAGGTACGGCGAGGTGAGGAGCTCGCCCAGAGTGCTGTCCCGCACGCTAGACCCTAGCCGGGATTACGGTTGGGGTCAAGGGTCAGGGCCAGGGGTCAGGGGTCGGCCCGAGTGTTAAAGGGGGTGCCAGCGGTCTTGATGAGTTTCAGCGTTGGGGTCACTTTGAGAGTTCAGAATCAGAATATTGATTAACACGGGAGTAATGCGATGAGCTATAAGGCTATTTTTTTACAGATGTCCAGTTAAGGGGGTCAGTGGTAGGGCGCCCACGTTTAGGTAGGTGTTAGAGCAAGAAGGTTACTTGTTAAGGTCCGGTCCAGTGCTAGGGTCAGTGCTAGGGTTAGTCTTATAGTGAAAGGATCAGTGCTAGGGGAGAGCATAACTGCCTGTGTAGGGATAGGTGTTAGTGTCAATGATGGAGTCAAAGTTATGGGGAGTGGTGGCATAGCACTGCACTACGAACCTGGCCACCCGATTTCGATTCTCGCTCACGACCAACACCCGTGGCTAATAATTGCAGCAGTCCTTGGCCTCCCCTCGGCCAACTCAGCCATGGTGCCATGTGTGAACATCAGCACCGGAGAAACAAAGGCAGCCAGGCGTGGTACTGGCCACCCGCACCTTCGTGTGCAGTTGCAGCAGCTGCAGGAGCTGCTGCTCCTGCTGCTGCCCGTGTCCTTGCCCTCGCCGCCCGTGCCCTTGCCACCCATTCCCTTTCTGCCCAAAACCTTGCCCTTGCAGCCGATACTCTTGCCGCCCGTGGCCCATGCTGCCCGTGCCATTGCCGCCCGTGCCCTTGCCGCCCGTGCCCTTGCCCTTTCCACCCGTACCATTGCCCTTTCCACCCTCGCCCTTTCTGCCCGTGCCCTCGCCACCCGTGCCAGTGCTGCCCGTACCTTTCCTGCCCGTGCCATTGCCACCCTTGCCCATGCCACCCATTCCCTTGCCCTTTCCACCCTCGCCCTTTCCGCCGGCGCCCTCGCCACCCGTGCCAGTGCCAGTGCGCCGCCCGTACCCTTGCCCTTTCCACCCTTGCCGGGCTGCACGTCGATGTTGGGCAGCCCCACGTCGCTGGGCTGGTCGCGGAGCAGCGCGGCCGCCGCCACGGCCGTCACCACGGCGACGGCGCCGGAGCTCGAGAGCACGGAGCGCCAGCCGAAGCCCACGGAGAGCAGCAGCGCCGCCAGCAGCGGCCCCACGCTGCCGGCCAGGTTCATGCTGGTCGACAGCACGGCCCACCACGTGCCAAACTGGGACGGCTCGAACCACTGCCACGGTGGGGGGTGCGGGGGGTGCGGGGGGTGCGGGGGGTGCGGGGGGTGCGGGGGGTGCGGGGGGTGTGGGTACCAGGAGTTAACGATAATTGGGGGACCAGTGGCCGCCATCTGCTGGCGCTTAAGGTGCCGCTGCTTGCTGTGCGTATTTGATTACACACACATTGATCACTTTAAATAAACAAGTTCCTCCTATAGGAATAGGTTTTACCCTTTTAACTGGCACAAAAACTGACACCTTTATTCAAGGCATCATGTTTTGTGCCAGTGAAAAGGGTAAAACCAATTCCTATATCTTGTTTCTGGCAAAGGAGGTCTCATAAAGTTCCTCCTATGTAGGCCTCCCCCCCGTCCCTTCCTCTTTCGGCTCCTTTCCTTATCAGGACCCGCCCCTTCTTCTATAGGCCCCGCTTCTGTATGTTTAAACCCCACCCCTTCCTCCCGGACACGGCGTTGATTTGGGTTTGGGTCGTGGTGGACGCGCGGATTGGAGGGGCAGGGGTGCCGCGGCCTTCACGGTGGTGGCCCAAGTCCGTCTCAGATCAGCAAGATAAACTGAACTAAACTATTTTTTTTTATTTTACTCCGGTCAGGAGCACTGAGCTATACACTATAGCTCTTTTTCAGAAGCGACCTGGCCACAAATGATAGCGCGACAACGAAGTGGCTTATCAAGTGGAAATTTATAGCAGCCATACACTCTAAACGCGTGTTTCTAAACGTGGAGCGAAAAACCAGAGGACCCGGAGGATCACGGGGAGCGAGACACGCAAACTCCAAAATATAAAGGCGTCAGGGTCGGGATCGAACCGACGACCTCTTGTATACCTGGCGAGGTAGTTAACATCTCACCACCGTCGCAAGTCCGTGCTGCGGAAGCACAGCTGTCGTCAACTCGGTATCCTGAGATAGATTCCCGGGCACAGCTAACGGCTGACGTGAGTGGCGAGTGAATATTGAACCTGTCCTGGGTTGCTCCCTTGACCAACTGGCAAGCGAAAAAGCGCGGTGAAGTACGGTCCAATTATCCCCATGATTGGCAAGGCATGGGGGAGGCGCACCAGAGTGGTTCTGTGATGGAAGGTGTCGTTTATCTGTCCTGCAATTAATTTTGTTTAAGCTTTAGTAATAACAGGAGCAGGAGCCTTCTTAAATAGAGGGCAGCAGTCCTCGCACGTGGCGGAAGTGGGTTAAGATGGCGGTGAAGACAATAGGAGAGCCAAATAAGAGAGATTTGAGAGAGATGCGGGGAGGGGAGATGGGAGTGAGATGGTGGGGTGAGATGGTGGGGTGAAATGGGGGAGAGTTTGCGGTGAGATGGAGGGAGATGGGGAGGGAGGAGGATGGGGTGAGATGGGGATTTGAAGTTAAATGGGGGAGATATGACAACGAAATTAAGGGAAACATCTTCACAATTCCGGCAAAACGCCTCATGAAGCTGTTTGTTGGAATCACCAGCAAAACGTCGTACTCAAATTGTAAGTGTTGTGGGTTTACTCTCCAACACACCAGTGTGCTCCAGTAGTAAGTAATTTGGCACGTTTTGTTTACGTGACAAACCTGACTCATTTTCTGTGTCAGGTGGTGGTGGATTAATGACACATTTATATTTACGCGATCTAACCCCAAAAAAATCTTCATGGATAATATTAGTCGCGAAAGCCAACTAGGATTTCAACTGAAATTAAGGGAGTTGGAGACGGAGAGAGATAGCGGTGAGATGGGGAGATGCAGAAAGATGGGGAGTGGGGACCAGGGAGAGGCAAGAGGAGACCTGGGGGAGAGGCGATTGGGGTCAAGGAAGTGCAGTTGGCGAGACAAGCACATGACGTGCGAGTGCGAGTTATTAAGTTCACACCGAGGTGGGAATGATCAGCACGCTGCTGCCTGCGAGAGAGAAGAGAGATGGTTTCGCGAGCGAGGGACGCGCGGTCAGCGAGAGAGGGGGGCCGGAGGGGGCTAGGGAGGACAAGTGCTTCAAGCCCTCCCCCCCACCCCATCCCAGAGCTTAGACCACAGCAGGGCCACCCACAACATGAGAAAATGTTTGACCAAAACAATATTCAGAAGTCTGGCCAATTCCAGCTTTATCAAGTGATTTTCATGTTGGAGGAAGCTGTATACAGAGAAAGCCCACCCGTTTTAAGGGGAGATTTAACGGGCGTACGACTTACTTGCTGTACTTCCTCATATACGGCCAACCCATTGCCCAATTTAAAATCAGTCGTGTTGTTACAGTATAAGGATATTTTTTTGGGGAAAAAAATCCCATTAACTTTTCTTCGATTTTTTTTATTGTCGTATTTTCGGGGGTATTTTTTGTGCGTGGCAGATAGATCAGAAAAACCTGCAGAGAATCCAACGAATGCGCGCAACACCCCACTTTCTGTGCTGCCACATCCTGCCTACCTCGCAGAGTTTCACAAGCGACCCACCAACCCTTGCCTCCAAAAGCGCCGGTTCAACAACTTGCGTCACCTTGCCCAGCTCTGTACTATCAGAATGAGATTATTTATCTAGACTGTAAGAATCCGATGAGATATGAAGCTCTTTTTTCACAGATGTCCAGTGGGGGGTGGGTCAGAACGTTACAACAACAAACAATAACAAAAAACACGATAGGAGTGCAAAGTATAGGAAAGGTAACCAAATTACTTTTAAAAAATTATACACTCTGCTGCTGGATGAAGTCTTGCTCATGTCATGTTGATGGTTTGGCCATACTTCACCACACTCGTCAGTACAGGGTTGGTGAAGGGGGATGGCCCAGGACCGGTTCAGATATCATTAATGGGCTTTAGCCGTGGCTGAGAATCAAACTTGTGTTTACAGGCTCACAGCGCAGAGCTAATGTTCCAGTCGAACCAAATTAATTAATAGAAGCAGATATCCATTGCAGACCAATTTTGTCCATCTGAAATGACGAAAGCCTCTTAGGGCTCTGAGAAGCATGTGTGTTTGTGTGCCTGTGTGTGCCGAGCGCGGCGCTGGCCACCCACCCTCTTCGTGTGCCATGCCGGCCTTCATAGGTGCTACTCGCTCGCACCACTTGCCACAAAGAGTCCGTTAAAGCTACATCGAAGGATCTTTGTCTTTGTTTTCCCGCGTGCGAACATGTGTTTGTGAGACTGTGTGCGCGCGCGTGTGTACGGTGGAGCGGTAGTGTGGTGGTTAGTGCACTGCGCTACGAACCCGGCGGCCCGAATTCAATTCCCGCTCACGACCAATAAAAGTGTTGAATAATTGAACCAGTCCAGGGCCTTCCCTAGGTCGACTCGGCCTTAATTGAGCATCTGCGTAAAACAGACAAAGGCGGCCGGGCGTGGTGTTGGTGGCCACCGGCCGCCTCGTACGTCGCACCGACCTCAACAGTCTGCTAAGGCTATACGAGAGGGGTGGGGGGCGGCGGGGGGGGGGGGGCGGGCGGGGGGGGGGAGGTCTTTGTCTTTGTGCAAGCGTACATTTGCACGCAGCGTGTTTACGACGCTGGCTCGAATGAAACGTTGCGAAAACTTCGCAATTAGCGGCGGCGGCGGCGGCGATGATATTTCTCACGAGAGCGTGCGGTGGCGCAACGCGTCCCACGAGCCGCGTATTTTTGGCCCGCGGGCGTTCGCCCCTCGGCGGCCGGCCTGGGGCGAGGGGGGTTACGTGAGACAGCGCCCGGCGGCGGGGGGGGGGGTGAAGCGGCAAGAGAACTGCGAGGTCAGGCGCGCGAGCGGGCACGGCGAGTCCCCGGGCGGGGAGGAAGCGGAACGCGACACCGCCGCGGGCTGCGAGTGATTAGTGGCCACGCGACCAACACAAAGACCCCCCCCCCCCATAGCCACGCGGGCTCGTGGGGAAAGTTCTGTTAGCGAACGCCGGTTGAGACTGGCGCCGCGCACGACACGACGGTGTGTGGGGCGTGGGCAATGCTACGCCTGGCCGCCTCGGGGATTCTCCGGCGCTCGTGTTGCTTTTCACATTGCGCCAGGCACTCATTTAAGGCTGGGTCGACCTCAGGGATGGATGCCCAGGGCGTAGTTAAGATATTCGTCGCCGATTTTGGCGGTACGCAATTTCTGTTAACCGAGGTAGCTCGTAGCGCAGTGCGACAATCACTGTCGTAGCGCTCCCCCACACTCAACACAAAAAGACAAAGATCCCCCACGCAGCCCTGAACAGAATGTTCGGGCAAGTGCTGTTAGCGAGCACGCATGGTCCAGAACCGGTTCGGATGTACGCCACTGGATGTGTGCCCGTGGCCTTTGCATAGAGACTCCGAACAGCCGCACAAACGTTGGAAGGTAGGACATTCCAACAGGTGCGCAAGTAAAACCGAGCGAGCATGCCCTGAATGCACCTTCGATAAGAACAGGCGTTGTGTTAACCAGCGCAGGCAATGCACTGCGGAGCGATGTGACAAAGCGGTTCGCGCGTAGGGCGCCGTGAACCCGGCGGATTCCGAGTTCAAATCCCAGCCACGGCTAACGTCAGTGGCGAGTGATATCTGAACCGGTCCTGGTGAACTCTCCGCCCCCCCCCCCTCACTCCTTCGTTATTTCGCGAAATAATTTTGCGTAGTAATTGATTTTCCTTCATGTCTACAAGTCAGCTGTTTCTCAGACTTGTTTAGGCCCGCGGACTACTCAGGCGATGCAAACAATTTGCGTGGGTCCCCCAACCCCTACCACCACCAGCACCACTCCTGGTGACAAAACCAATTCACTTCTCTCTCTAAATACCACTCGTACTAAACGATTTGTATTTACCGGAACATAAAAGCACTTTTTTTACGCAGCCATAATGTGTTTTTTTAGGGGGGCATTTAGACCTTAGGGTTAGGGTGGTTTAACCAGGGTAGTTTAACCATTTAAATATCACAAGTAAAATATTCATGTCATTATTGTCCGGATCAACCTGCGTTTACATCACAGCCCCGCGGACCACCTGGAGGACCGTCACGGACCACCGGCGGTGGGACCGGGGGACCGCACTGTGACAACCGCCGCTCATAAAAGTGACAACTTTAGAAGCCAGAATCATTCGAGGGAGAGTCTTTCTGGTTATGGGGGTGTACGGCTGATGATCGTTAGAAAGTCAAAGTGATTTCCTACTCAAATGAGCACTGAGCCATCGGTTCTCATCTCCTACGGCGGGAATTCCACATTCCTATAACGAAATCCAGCTGACATTGAGTCTGGCTACTGCGAGATTTTTTTTTCCCGTATATCGTACGGAGGTGGGCTGGCGGCGAGCGCACTGCACTACGACGAGCCTGGCGATGCGAGTTCCATCCCTAACGTTGGGCTCTCCCACACCTTCAACAACAAACCCTCTCCCCGCCCCGCCCCAATAACCGACACGGCGTGGGCAGACCTTCATTCAGCAGTGGATCGACATGGGGCTGTACATTACTTTCACTTACCTTAAGCAACGTTTGGCTTCATAGCCATTACCGGGGTAACAGATAAACCACCCCGGGGTTAACCGGAGTAAGCCATTACAAATATTAACTCGACTTGCCCACAGGGATCAGAAGTGCGGTGCCAGCATAAGCCGCGCTTGACTTCTGACGATGAACGGTTTTGGCCGTGACCTTTTGCCGGATGCACTTCACCGTGAGAATAATGCGTCACCGGTGAGATAGGCGCCTTGCACACACTGGAGGCTTAAATAATAAAAACTCAAATAACTTTATCGGTACCGAGGCTCCCACAAGGGAGGGAGGGGCGTGTGGAACAATTTGGTGCCAGCTATCATAGAGTCCGGTCATGTCGCTATAGTTATCTGCGGTGAGTACAATGTGTTGAAAAAAAACGGCGCTATGCCTCCCTAAATAAAATTACCACTAACCCCTTTCCCGTTCAATGATTCAGCGGCGAAAGGAGACCCACCCTGCAACTTGCAGACGTCTCGGAACGGGAAAGGGTTAAATTTCAAAATGATGTCCACGCGTTCTTCTCCCTGCCTCTCAGTGTCATTCCTGGGGGCAGGGGTCAGAGCTGTTTAATATTTGACCCGGGCCGAGCGCCCCGGCGTGCGAAGGCACGGCGGTCGGGCGGCAGCGCCGTAGATGGAGACTCAACGCAGCCGGGGGCTCAAAGGTGGCCACGTGACGCGGCGTGAAACCCCACCAACGGCATCTGCCGATGGCAAAGGTCCCAGACCACGACAAACCTCCCTCCCGGCCCTCCGCCACCACTCTCCCTCCGCCACTTAAACCATGACCTCCCCCCCCCGCCACACTCCCCTCCCTATACTCCCTCCCCTAACCCCTCCCGCCAATCGCCGAGGTCTCTGTGTGTCAGCAGGAATGTGCGTAAAAAAGCAGCAAACATGTTTTTCTGGTAACAGATAACGTGGCCCAAACCAGACCCTGCTACAGGCCGGGTCAGCCACCCAAACTGCCCCACCCTGCTGCTGTTGTTGTTGCTGTTGTTGCTGTTGTTGTTGCTGAAGCTGCTGCTGCTCCCATAGATTTCTGTTTTTGTGTGAAATCTCCATGTTGGGAGCGGAGAACCTCAAGAATCCAGACGGGAATGAAGGGCGCAAATGCACTCCAATGAATATTGATGAGGAAGGAAATCGGGGGTTGGGCAGGTGGTGGTGAGAGGGAATGAACTGAAGGAGGTGATTGGGCCAGGTGTGGTGTATAGGGTAGCGTATAGTGTGGTGTATAGTAGTGTGGTGCATAGGGTAGCGTATAGTAGTGTGGTGTATAGGGTAGTGTATAGTAGTGTGGTGTATAGTAGTGTGGTGTATAGGGTTGTGTATAGTGTGGTGTATAGGGTAGTGTATAGTGTGGTGTATAGTAGTGTGGTGCATAGGGTAGTGTATAGGAGTGTGGTGCATAGGGTAGTGTATAGGAGTGTGGTGTATAGGGTAGTGTATAGTGTGGTGTATAGTAGTGTGGTGCATAGGGTAGCGTATAGTAGTGTGGTGTATAGGGGTGTATAGTGTAGTTTATAGTAGTGTGGTGTATAGTAGTGTGGTGTATATGGTAGTGTATAGTGTGGTGTATAGTAGTTTGTTGTATAGGGTAGTGTATAGTAGTGTGGTGTATAGGGTAGTGTATAGTAGTGTGGTGTATAGGGTAGTGTATAGTGTGGTGTATAGTAGTGTGGTGCATAGGGTAGTGTATAGTAGTGTAGTGTATAGGGGTGTATAGTGTAGTTTATAGTAGTGTGGTGTATAGGGTAGTGTATAGTGTGGTGTATAGTAGTGTGGTGTATAGTAGTGCGGTGTATAGGGTAGTGTATAGTGTGGTGTATAGTAGTTTGCTGTATAGGGTAGCGTATAGTGCCGCGAGGCTGTAACAGTCCGACACCTCGGCGTCCGAAGCAGGCTTTGAGTGACTCTGCTACGTAGAGGTTCTAGCACGAGCTGTGGCGCAAGGCGAGAGTAGCGAGGTGGTAGTGGTGCTGGGGCACCGGCGGTGTAGGCGCGATGACCAGACGCGTGCAGAAGAGTGACCGCTATCGCCACGTACGAGCCCACAGGGTTCAGGTGTTCATTTGCATGGGAGACGTGAGATTTACACAAGTACAGAAAGTACAGCGAGCACGAGGGGGGCCAGTGTGATGGTAGCGGGAAGCGAATGTATTAATCTCCCCGCTTAAATAAATGTTCGACTCAAAACCTAACCTTAATCTAATCAAGGCACGAGGAGGTGGGGGAGGGGAGGTGAGTAGCGGGGAGGACAGCGAGGTGAGGAGGAGGGGAGTGAGGGTGAGGGAGCACGGTGGTGAGCAGCAGGGTGAAGAACGGAGTTGGTGATCGTGGTGAGCAGCAGGGTGAGGAACGGAGTTGGTGATCGTGGTGAGCAGCAGGGTGAGGAACGGAGTTCGTGATCATGGTGAGCAGCAGGGTGAGGAACGGAGTTGGTGATCGCGGTGAGCAGCAGGGTGAGGAACGGAGTTCGTGATCGCGGTGAGCAGCAGGGTGAGGAACGGAGTTCGTGATCGTGGGTGAGCAGCAGGGTGAGGAACGGAGTTGGTGATCGCCATGAACAGCAGGGTGAGGAACGGAGTTGGTGATCGCCATGAACAGCAGGGTGAGGAACGGAGTTGGTGATCGCGGTGAGCAGCAGGGTGAGGAACAGAGTTCGTGATCGCGGTGAGCAGCAGGGTGAGGAACGGAGTTCGTGATCGCCATGAACAGCAGGGTGAGGAACGGAGTTGGTGATCGCGGTGAGCAGCAGGGTGAGGAACGGAGTTCGTGATCGTGGGTGAGCAGCGAGCGAAGCGACGGGTGAGCCATGGCACCCTCACCTTACGCAGCATCTTCCCGCAGGGCGGCCAGCCGAAGCCCTGCGCCAGGCCGTTCGCGAACCAGATGGCCGCGAAGGCGGACGCCGAGCCGGCGCTGGCGAACGCCACGTTGGTGAGGCCGACGAGCGCCAGCCCCAGCGCGAAGAGGGCCCGCGCGCTCAGCCGGTCCGAGAGCACGCCGCTGCCGAACTTGCTGATGGCGTAGGCCAGCGCCTGGCTGCTCGTGATGAGGCCTGCGCGCATCCCACGGGGTGGTGGAGAGGGTGGTTGGGAGATGGAGCAGGTGGAGATGAAGGTTGCGGAGGGAGGGGAAGGGGGCGAAATAGCATTTGGGTTTTTGCACGGCGGTCGAAATGTGTCGGAGTCGGGCGGAGGAGGGTGAGGGAGAGGATGGGGTGAGGGTGAGGTTGGGGTGAGGGAGAGGTTAGGGTGAGGGAGAGGATGGGGTGAGGGAGAGGTTGGGGTGAGGGAGAGGTTGGGGTGCAGGAGAGGTTGGGGTGAGGGAGAGGTTGGGGTGAGGGAGAGGTTGGGGTGAAGGAGAGGTTGAGGGACGGTCAGGGTCATTCACAACAGGGGCTGCCAGCGCTCTGAACACACCACGAGTGAAAAGTGAATGCAAAGTGAAACGGCTCAATTTAGCGATGGGGAGGTAAGGTTAGGGTTGGGTGGCAGAGCTCACTCGCCAACCAGACTATAGCCATACTACTAAGCCTAATCATTCTAGTCAACACGAGCACTAACCACATCAGGCAACAAGACGTTAACCCTACGTCTGACCTACTACTATTTATTTCATACGACTTTGTTTCTTTGACCAGGCAAGGCCCGCTGGACAACCACAGCCAAACGCGAATATAACCACACACACAAAAACCACCCACGCATTAACCGTAAACCTAACCATAACCACACTAGCCATCTAGACCCTAGCAATACCCCTGACTATAACTACACCAGCCAACAAGATGTTATTCTACCCCGAACAGCATCAGAAAACCAGGCCATGCCACGACCATAAACCGCAGCGGCCGCACGTCCGTTAGCCATACGCACGGAGTCTGTCCCTCGGCCTAGATTAAGAATAAATAAAAGCATGAACAGCAAGCGATCGATCACAGACTGCTGGGATGGATTAAGTTGCACTTCGTCATAGCCAAAAGAGAGGGCAAGACGTATAAATTGGCAAAAATGAAGATCATCCGCACCGATCAGTTACGCTTTATTTTATTTTACCAGTTATGTGTTAATTGTGCGTCGTGTATTTTTCTAAATGTAGGTTTTTTTGTTTGTTTGCGTACAGAGTGCAGTACAGGTACACAGAATAAACACCTCGCTCACTCGAGACCCAGACATCGCAACCTCCTGGCTTTAGCATTCGTCCTACTCGACGATACTGGCGGTGGAACCATCAACAGCATCATCAGAACATCACACCAAGCAGGCCGATGCTGCACCACATCTCCTTCATGAATGGACAATGAAAGACACAAGCCAGAGTGGTGATTGTGGCCATGCAACCCATACTATGGGCCATATAGTAGACTCAAAGAGGCATAGTGGTACATAAGAGACTCACGGAGATTAATAGAGATACAATAAACACACAAGCGGCAGTAGTGCCATTGTGGCCATGCAACCCAAACTATGGGCCATATAGTAGACCCAAAGAGGCATAGTGGTACATAGAGACTCACGGAGACTAACAGAGGGACATAAAGATACAATAAACACACAAGACGCATGAGTGCCATTGTGGCAATGCAACCCAAACTATGGACCGTATAGTAGTCCCAAAGAGACACAGTGACACATCGTGATACATAGAGACTCACAGAGATTAATAGAGATACATTAGTGACAAAATCCACAGTGGTGCGAGTGTGGCCATGCAAACCCACACTATGGCCCGTATATAGTGAACCACTGTGGTCTGCACTCCTTCAACCGAGGACGGCGAGGAAAACGACACGAATTCTCCTCTAGTGAAGCTCTCTCGACCTGGCGCAGACCTCAACATTTAGCATACGCACGAAGGGAATACTCTATCAGAACATTTCTATACACTGGAGGAAATCCGATGAGTTATAAAGCTCTTTTTCACAGCTGTCCAGTAGGGGCACGGGGTCAGAACGTTACAACAAACAAAACAATACAACAAACACGACAGGAGCGCAAAGTATAGGAAAAGTTAAACAAATTAATTAAAAATACGCAAATAAAAACTAAACTATGTTTTTTTTTTACCTTACCCGGTGAAGCCCAGAGGTATGAACTTATTTTTTTTTGTTCAGAGGCGACCTGCCACTGCACACAACAACCCCGCTGACACTGCACACAACAACCCCGCTGACACTGCACACAACAACCCCGCTGACACTGCACACAACAACCCCGCTGTTTCCCAGCTACACATGAGTGTGCTCCCTCCTGTGCCACCCACCACCCACCAGTGCTTTCTTTATTTCAGCCGAGTCTGTCCGGGTCAGTGACCTGTTAAATATATCCGTACCCGGCACACCACATCGAGTTGTTCCGCTCGCCCAATGGCTGTGGCTACTCCGGTTAAGTGTCTAGTGCAGTCCAGCAAGGATGCAATGCGCAGTGGTTGTAAATGTTTGGTATACTTTGGATGGATTTAAAAGCGGACCGGAAGATAACGCGACCAGTTCAGCACTGACAACTCCGATCAGTTACGATTGATTATGCAACGGTGAATTATTGCATCGCAGGATTGCGAGAGGTGGCGACGGCGTGGGGAGTTCATCATCCAGCAGTGGATTTATCACGGCTGATGATGATGATGGTGATCATGAATTAATTCACATCCCTCCCCGGGACGGAACAGTTATTCGGCTGGGTTCTGAAAACCTCATTGAAGGCACCGCATCCCGAATCTTGATTCCGAATAAATTGTGTTGGGAACGGGGGGGGGTGGAAGGGCGTCCTTAGAAGAAGCCACGCAGGGTCCCCTTCCTCACCCCCCCTTACATCCCAGCCCCCCCCCCCTTGTACCCCAGGTCCCCCCCTTCCATCCCAGCCCCCCCCCGTACCCCAGGTCCCCCCCCTTCCATCCCAGCCCCCCCCCCCGTACCCCAGGTCCCCCCCTTCCATCCCAGCCCCCCCCCCCTTGTATCCCCGGTCCCCTCCTTCTATCCCAGCCCCCCCCCCCCTGTATCCCAGGTCCCCCCCTTCCATCCCAGCCCCCCCCCCCCCTTGTACCCCAGGTCCCCCCCTTCCATGCCAGCCCCCCCCCGCCCCCACTCCCCCTTTCTCACCCAAGTCGTCTTTCTCCAGCGTGACCTCCTGCATGACGGCCGGCATGACGAACGCGAAGGTCTTGCGGTTGAAGTAGTAGAGCGTGTAGCCCACGAACATCGCGGCGAAGATGGTCACACGGTAATACCCGTAGTCTCCTTGTCTCGCCATCGCTGCCAGCAAAGACACGGACAGCGTAGGTCTGTGTGTGGCCGTGTCTGTGTGCTGAGTCTGTGTGTCTGTGTGTTGAGTCTGTGTGTCTGTGTGCTGAGTCTGTGTGTCTGTGTGTTGAGTCTGTGTGTCTGTGTGTTGAGTCTGTGTGTCTGTGTGCTGAGTCTGTGTGTCTGTGTGTTGAGTCTGTGTGTCTGTGTGCTGAGTCTGTGCGTCTGTGTGTTGAGTCTGTGTGTCTGTGTGTTGAGTCTGTGTGTCTGTGTGTTGAGTCTGTGTGTCTGTGTGTCTGTGTGCTGAGTCTGTGTGTCTGTGTGTTGAGTCTGTGTGTCTGTGTGTTGAGTCTGTGTGTTGAGTCTGTGTGTCTGTGTGCTGAGTCTGTGTGTCTGTGTGTTGAGTCAGTGTTTGTGTGTTGAGTCTGTGTGTCTGTGTGCTTAGTCTGTGTGTCTGTGTGTTGAGTCTGTGTGTTGAGTCTGTGTCTGTGTGTTGAGTCTGTGTCTGTGTGTTGAGTCTGTGTGTCCGTGTCTGTGTGGCCGAGTCTGCCTCTTCGACCTCCGGGGAAGGCGACCACGGCGTGAGACGCCCGTGCGGAGTGCCGCCGGCGTGCGATTTAACACGCCAGCACCACCGCGATCCTCCCCCGTCTCCTCCCCCGTCTCCTCCCCACTCTCCTCTAACGCCCACTCTCCTCCCCGTCTCCTCCCCACTCTCCTCCCCACTCTCCTCTAACGCCCACTCTACTCCCCGTCTCCTCCCCACTCTCCTCCCCGTCTCCTCCCCACTCTCCTCCCCCGTCTCCCTCCCACTCTCCTCTAACTCCCACTCTCCTCCCCGTCTCCTCTTACCGCTCCTCCTACTCTCCTCCCCACTCTCCTCCCCACTCTCCTCCCTAATCTCCTCCCCGTCTCCCCCCTCGTCTCCTCCGCACTCTCCTCTAACTCCCACTCTCCTCCCCGTCTCCTCCCACTCTCCTCTCACTCTCACCTTACTCTCCTCTTACCTCTCCTCCCCACTCTCCTCCCACTCTCCTCTCACCCCACTCTCCGCCCACTCTCTCAACTCTCCTCTTACATCTCCTCCCACTCTCCCCGCCGTCTCCGCCTCCTCCTACTCTCCCCGCCGTCTTCCCACTCTCCTCTCCTCCCAACTCTCATCTCTCCCTCTCTTCCCACTCCCATACTCATTTCTCCCTCTTTCCTCTCATTCTCCCACTCTCCGCCCCGTCCCCTTGCCCTCTCCTCTCACACTCTCATCTCTCCTTCCTCCATCTCTCTTTTTTACCATCAGAGGAAACAAGAACATAGTCGGTACTTTGCTTCGTTCATCATTTAGTTTTTTTGCTTTTTTTTAATGCTTTGCTTTATGTAAAGTCACGTAGAAGGGAAACAATAAAATACGTTAGCACCACGGAGAGCGATTTGGCAGTTATTCAGATAGACGAGTCCATCTATGTTCGGAAAAGAGGGGGGAATCGAAAATAATGGATGCGGTCTGAAAGCCAACGTAAGCGTAAACAATCAATTAAGACCCGAAATGGTTTATCAATCCCTGCAGTCACGGAAGCTTTAAATCAAACCCCCTCCCCTCCCCCCTTTTTAAATGAAAGATTTCACAATAGATGTAACGCTCTGCTCTCCTTACCCCTTCCCTCTCTCTCTACCCCATCTCTCTACACCCTCCTCTCTCTCTACCACCTCTTTCCCTACTCCATGTCTATGTTCCCCCTATGTTTTCTATGTAATATTTGTAATACTGTATTATTATTTTCACTCATCTCTCCCTCCCCCTATCCTTTTCTCCTCCTACTCTCCCATCTTCTCTACCCCGTCTCCCCCCACTCTCCTCCCATCATCTCCCCTCTCTCTGTACACTCACTCTGCACTCTCATCTCTCCCTCGTCATACCCTGTCCTCTTAACTCTTCTCTCCACATCTCTCTCTCTCTCCTGGAGTGACAAATACCCAATTCGAGCCTTCAAATATAAACAATGTCTATTATTGACCCATGCAAGTCATCAGAGTCTCTCAGTGAATTGCGTCACAGGGAGGGTGAGATTGGCTTTCATGGGGGGAGGAAACCGGAGAAACCCCACTACGCATGCGACATGGAGTAACACTCGAAAGCATTGTCGGCCAGGTTGTGCAACAACAGTGTTTTTGTTTAACACGCGGAGGCTTTCGCGACCAATATTAATCGCGCTTTAAACGGCATGCGTTTGTTGGGCCATTGGTCCGAATCGTGGGAAATTTATTTTTCTCCCATTTTTCTAGCGACCAATATGTTACGCTATTGTAGCAATGGCAAGCGGATGGGAGAGACTTCGACATGAAAGCACTTAGCACCAAAACAACTAAAGAAGAAGAACTGAAGTTAAGAAAGAGACCGTAGACCAGGATCGTTAATTTCTGTTTTTGGTATTTCTGTAATAAGGGAAGCGTCAGGACAAACGGTCGCTAACTGCCTCCGGTCCTAAAAATTATACATTCGGAATCTCTTGATAGCGATTCCGCACGGAGCCAGGGGGGGAACCCCCGAGTCCGTGTGCCAACCAAAGCAAATGCCCTTTTTAATCCTAACGGTGGCGCAGTCGTTAACTCATACGTCCACTGTGTCCCTCTACGCTATGGGGCCCGTTGAGAATTCAAATAAGAACATTTCGAAGCATTTGTGGGTGGCGCCGTGTCAATAGCATATTTAGGAATTAACCAGTGGGATGACGAAACTTTTAGTTTGTGCGAAGGGAAAGATATTTTGCATTAACGCAACACGGGAACACGAGTAGCATCCGAGACGCGGTGCATTGTGGGTGATGATGTTAATACGTTGGGATGACCGTTCTACCGTTCAAGTCCTTTGACTACTTAACAGTGACATATGCAAAGGTGTTAATCGTAATGATAACTAATGAATTAAAACGTTTCACAACTGATACCCAATTGGTGTTTAGGGTAAGAAAAAAAACACATGATTACCGGACACTAAACTTGTTTAAAAAGTCAACCTTCTAATTACTGTATATATAAATACTCAACACATCCGTTAGTAACACTGCGTTGAAGAGAAAAAGTATTTAATCGGCGATTGTTTGAATTACTTGGGCAGTTTTTTATAGCGAATGTTATTCCTGCCTATACGGTCTAGGGAATGTAATGTATTGGTGGGCGCGTAGCCCTTTGATTTCCCACTACTAACGCGAGAGGCGTCCCACCGTCATTGGCTAACATCGCCGCCACGTGACTGCGATTAACCAATGGACTCCGAGCTCATGGTGTTATCGGGATGCGTGGCTGAGCCCCCCAGAGCGACGCCGCTTTAAACGCTATCACTGATCAGTGCAAAAGCCCCGCACGGCGTCACTCACTACCACTACGATCACGTTACGGGCGCCTCGTTTTCGTCTGACGTTAAACTGTGTGGGGCGGCGGCGGGACAAATCTACCGCGCCCAAAACAACAAATTATAACGGGGCGGACCTTCGTCGAGAATCAGCGCGTCCGTAAAACCGATTGAAGGCTCCACAGCTGCCGCGCGATAGAGCCGCGGATCGCGCTTTTGTGACGATGGCGGCAAGTCCGGTCGCGGGCCTCGCGCTCAAAATCGATCGGTTTGGCGCCTCGCCATTGGCTCGCGGTAGAACCACTTCCCCCCCCACCACCAAACCACCAATCAACCACGTGCCCGGCGCGCGACCAATGGGGGAGCCGCGATTGCTCGGCGGGCGGGCTGCAGCTTTGCAAGGAATGGGGGGGGGTGATAGGGGGCGTGGTTGAGAGGGGGGTAAGACGGGGGTTGAGAGGGGGAATGACAGGGGGAGTGAGAGGGGGATTGAGAGGGGGTAAGAGGGGGGTTGAGAGGGGGGTTGAGAGGGGGAGTGAGACGGGGGTTGAGAGGGGGAGTGAGAGGGGGGTTGAGAGGGGGAGTGAGAGGGGGGTTGAGAGGGGGAGTGAGAGGGGGGTTGAGAGGGGGAGTGAGACGGGGGTTGAGAGGGGGAGTGAGAGGGGGAGTGAGAGGGGGGTTGAGAGGGGGAGTGACAGGGGGGTTGAGAGGGGGAGTGAGAGGGGGAGTGAGAGGGGGGTTGAGAGGGGGGTAAGACGGGGGTTGAGAGGGGGAGTGGGGGTTGAGAGGGGGGTTGAGAGGGGGAGTGAGAGGGGAGTGAGACGGGGGTTGAGAGGGGGAGTGAGAGGGGGGTTGAGAGGGGGGTTGAGAGGGGGGTAAGACGGGGAGTGAGAGGGGGAGTGAGAGGGGGAGTGAGAGGGGGGTAAGACGGGGAGTGAGAGGGGGAGTGAGAGGGGGAGTGAGAGGGGGGTTGAGAGGGGGGTGAGAGGGGGAGTGAGAGGGGGAGTGAGAGGGGGAGTGAGAGGGGGGTTGAGAGGGGGAGTGAGAGGGGGAGTGAGACGGGGTTGAGAGGGGAGTGAGAGGGGGAGTGAGAGGGGGAGTGACAGGGGGGTTGAGAGGGGGAGTGAGAGGGGGGTTGAGAGGGGGGTTGAGAGGGGGGTAAGACGGGGAGTGAGAGGGGGAGTGAGAGGGGGGTTGAGAGGGGGGTAAGACGGGGAGTGAGAGGGGGAGTGAGAGGGGGGTTGAGAGGGGGGTTGAGAGGGGGGTTGAGAGGGGGGTTGAGAGGGGGGTAAGACGGGGAGTGAGAGGGGGAGTGAGAGGGGGGTTGAGAGGGGGGTTGAGAGGGGGGTAAGACGGGGAGTGAGAGGGGGAGTGAGAGGGGGGTTGAGAGGGGGAGTGAGAGGGGGGTTGAGAGGGGGAGTGAGAGGGGGAGTGAGAGGGGGGTTGAGAGGGGGAGTGAGAGGGGGAGTGAGAGGGGGTTGAGAGGGGGAGTGAGAGGGGGTTGAGAGGGGGGTTGAGAGGGGGTTGAGAGGGGGGTTGAGAGGGGGGTAAGACGGGGAGTGAGAGGGGGAGTGAGAGGGGGTTGAGAGGGGGAGTGAGAGGGGGTTGAGAGGGGGAGTGAGAGGGGGAGTGACAGGGGGGTTGAGAGGGGGGAGTGAGAGGGGGGTTGAGAGGGGGGTTGAGAGGGGGAGTGAGAGGGGGGTTGAGAGGGGGTTGAGAGGGGGAGTGAGAGGGGGAGTGAGAGGGGGGTTGAGAGGGGGAGTGAGAGGGGGAGTGAGACGGGGTTGAGAGGGGGAGTGAGAGGGGGTTGAGAGGGGGAGTGAGAGGGGGAGTGACAGGGGGGTTGAGAGGGGGAGTGAGAGGGGGGTTGAGAGGGGGGTTGAGAGGGGGGTAAGACGGGGAGTGAGAGGGGGAGTGAGAGGGGGGTTGAGAGGGGGGTTGAGAGGGGGGTAAGACGGGGAGTGAGAGGGGGAGTGAGAGGGGGGTGAGAGGGGGAGTGAGAGGGGGGTTGAGAGGGGGAGTGAGAGGGGGAGTGAGAGGGGGGTTGAGAGGGGGAGTGAGAGGGGGAGTGAGAGGGGGTTGAGAGGGGGAGTGAGAGGGGGTTGAGAGGGGGGTTGAGAGGGGGAGTGAGAGGGGGGTTGAGAGGGGGGTAAGACGGGGAGTGAGAGGGGGAGTGAGAGGGGGAGTGAGAGGGGGAGTGAGAGGGGGTTGAGAGGGGGAGTGAGAGGGGGTTGAGAGGGGGAGTGAGAGGGGGTTGAGAGGGGGAGTGAGAGGGGGAGTGAGACGGGGTTGAGAGGGGAGTGAGAGGGGGTTGAGAGGGGGAGTGAGAGGGGGAGTGACAGGGGGGTTGAGAGGGGGAGTGAGAGGGGGGTTGAGAGGGGGGTTGAGAGGGGGGTAAGACGGGGAGTGAGAGGGGGAGTGAGAGGGGGGTTGAGAGGGGGGTAAGACGGGGAGTGAGAGGGGGAGTGAGAGGGGGAGTGAGAGGGGGGTTGAGAGGGGGGTTGAGAGGGGGGTTGAGAGGGGGGTAAGACGGGGAGTGAGAGGGGGAGTGAGAGGGGGGTTGAGAGGGGGGTTGAGAGGGGGGTAAGACGGGGAGTGAGAGGGGGAGTGAGAGGGGGGTTGAGAGGGGGAGTGAGAGGGGGGTTGAGAGGGGAGTGAGAGGGGGAGTGAGAGGGGGGTTGAGAGGGGGAGTGAGAGGGGGAGTGAGAGGGGGTTGAGAGGGGGAGTGAGAGGGGGTTGAGAGGGGGGTTGAGAGGGGGTTGAGAGGGGGGTTGAGAGGGGGGTAAGACGGGGAGTGAGAGGGGGAGTGAGAGGGGGAGTGAGAGGGGGTTGAGAGGGGGAGTGAGAGGGGGTTGAGAGGGGGAGTGAGAGGGGGAGTGACAGGGGGGTGAGAGGGGGGTGAGAGGGGGGTTGAGAGGGGGGTTGAGAGGGGGAGTGAGAGGGGGGTTGAGAGGGGGTTGAGAGGGGGAGTGAGAGGGGGGTTGAGAGGGGGAGTGAGAGGGGGTTGAGAGGGGGGTTGAGAGGGGGAGTGAGAGGGGGGTTGAGAGGGGGGTTAAGAGGGGGAGTGAGAGGGGGGTTGAGAGGGGGAGTGAGAGGGGGGTTGAGAGGCGGAGTGAGAGGGGGGTTGAGAGGGGGAGTGAGAGGGGGGTTGAGAGGGGGGTAAGACGGGGAGTGAGAGGGGGAGTGAGAGGGGGAGTGAGAGGGGGGTTGAGAGGCGGAGTGAGAGGGGGGTTGAGAGGGGGAGTGAGAGGGGGGTTGAGAGGGGGGTAAGACGGGGAGTGAGAGGGGGAGTGAGAGGGGGTTGAGAGGGGGAGTGAGAGGGGGTTGAGAGGGGGAGTGAGAGGGGGAGTGACAGGGGGGTTGAGAGGGGGAGTGAGAGGGGGGTTGAGAGGGGGAGTGAGAGGGGGGTTGAGAGGGGGAGTGAGAGGGGGGTTGAGAGGGGGGTTGTAGAGGGGGGTTGAGAGGGGGAGTGAGAGGGGGAGGTAGACGGGGGTTGAGAGGGGGGTAAGACGGGGAGTGAGAGGGGGAGTGAGGGGGGGGTAAGACGGGGAGTGAGAGGGGGGTTGAGAGGGGGAGTGAGAGGGGGGTAAGACGGGGGTTGTAGAGGGGGGTTGAGAGGGGGAGTGAGAGGGGGGTAAGAGGGGGGTTGAGAGGGGGGTTGAGAGGGGGAGTGAGAGGGGGGGGGTCGTCAAAGACGCTGCTGCTGCTACTGGGCAGTTGGAGGCAGCCGCCCTCCAACAACAACGGAGGGCGGAGGGAGCGACGCTCACAACAACGTACGGAAGGCGCCCCGGGGTGGCTAAAACGCAGTGGGGCGCGCAGTTGGTTATTAGTTTCATAGTTTAATTTATTTGGTATAGCCCTGTGAGCCATTCGGCTCTTGAATCGGGTGCAACAGCAACAAACAAAAAAACATGAACAAGAAAACATCTTAAAGTGACTACGTGACTGTGCAAACAGAAAATCCAGGAAAAACATCAAAATATTCCTGAAATAGCACGGTACACCAACGCTGTGTGCAAAAATCCCAGTGGGATGCAAGTCAAACAACAACAAGAAGAAAACTTAGATTAAGGCCATCAGTCTAACTCCGTACTACAATAAACAAAAACATGGCCAAACCAAAAAACTTTTAGAAATCACCAAAATAAAGCTATAAATGCAATGTAACAGTGATCATGGGAACTGTGACCGAATTTTTACAATAAACTACATAAATAACATGCACCACCAAACCCTAGAGCCACAGCTGGCTGCATGAGTCACTCCACAACAACAGGAGCATCAGTCGGAGCATCACATTCTTCAATGCACCTTTAAGATCAGCGCACTAAATAAAAATACAGATAATACTTTGCAGCGGTCATCCGGAGCGAAACATTTTATTTTTTTATTTTGGTGCACCTCCAGCCAATCTCAGTCAGCCAAAACCCCACGGCATCTCCTGGGTCTGTCCCGTGAGCCTCCTTCCTGCCAGCAGCGACACCTTCGGACACTTTCACGTAACGGCCTCAAGTGCACCTAGCCTGGCACAGGCGCAGCGGGGGTGACGTCACCGGCACTTTCAAGTGGCGAATGGCGGCTGTTGTTGTTGTTGGGGGAGGGGGAAAAGTGGGAGGGGCGGAGTGGGGGGGAGGGGTAGGGGGGAGGGAGCGGGTTTGGGGTGAGAGTAGAGTGGGAGGGGGCTCCCCCCACTCCCCCGCCCCTCCCACCCAACCACTCCCCCGCCCCTCCCACCCACCCACTCCCCCGCCCCTCCCACCCACTCCCCCCACCAACTCCCCCGCCCCTCCCACCCACCAACTCCCCCGCCCCTCCCACCCACCAACTCCCCCGCCCCTCCCACCCACCAACTCCCCCGCCCTTCCCCCCATTCCCCTGCCCCTCCCCCCGGCGGTGGCGGGAGTCGCAGCGATTCGCGCTTCAATCAATTCCGCAGCGAGCGTCTGCGCGGCGCGCCTCGCCCATTGGCTGGCGGCGCGGCCCCGTGACGGCGCGCGGCCAACGGGAGCCGCGCTTGTTGCGCGTGCGGGGCTACGGGGATTGCAATAGCGGCCTCGCTGGCTGCTGCTGCTGCTACCCGCGGGCCGCTCCGTGCCTACGCACAGGAGGCTGCTTGGTGGTGCTGCTGCTGCTGCTGCGTGTAAGCGGCACAGCCGCCTCAACTGCTACTGGCACCGGTGCGGGCCCTGTTGGGCGAGGAGGAGAGGGAGGAGGTGGTGGTGGAGGAGGCGGCGCTGCCGCCACCACCGCCGCCGCCGAGATGATGGCTCACAGCGCCGTGCGTTCGCGGTTCCCCGCGAGGCCCTGGCGCAGGCACGGGCGCCCGCGCTCGCGGCACCGCGGCCCGGCGGGGGTGAGCGACGCCGTCGGGCAGCAACAACAACAACAGCAGCAACAACAGCAGCAGCAGCTGGTGCAGCAGCAACAGCAGCAGCCACCTCGTAGGCGGCCCGAGGGCCCGGCCGAGGCGATGGAGCGAGCTCTGCGCGCGTTCAGCGCCTCGTTCGGCTCCAGCAGCGGCGAGGTACGAGCCAGTGACCGCCACCAAAACAACAACAACAACGACGAAGCGCCACTTACACGTAGACACACCGCTTAATCACAGGCCGGAGCTGTCATCGTTATATCATCATCATCATCTTCGGCCGTGGTCTGTCCGCTAGTGCTGCTGTACGAAGCCCTGCCCGCGCCGTGCCCTAGTTTGTTTAAGAGTAGTTCGCCACACTCGTCATTGCCGGATGGTAAAGGCAGCATGGGGGTGGTGGTGGTGGAGGGGGGGTTATTTTACAGACGAGAGAGCGCAGAAGTAGAGGGCAGCGATGGATGTTACTGCACGGTCCCTCCACTGGGCTACCTCGTAGTCCCCGCACCTGTTTTGTGCAATGCTTACCCATCCGAGCCACTGTCGAGGCACAACTTTGATTAGCTTCCCAAGTCTGGCTTATTCTCATGGTGTGTTCGGTCACAGCGTACGCAGGTGCAATGAAACAACAACAACCACCACCATCATCATCGTCAGCCGTGGTCTCTTCACTGGTGGATGAATGTCTCGCTTCATTCAGCGGTGGATAGACCATGGCCGCTCCATCCGTCACTGCCCAGTGCTGCTGCCGCCTCTTGTCTTCCATTCCTGCTTCTTATTTCATAGTCCGCGGTGTTCCCCGCTGCTTTGACAGCCGCTCCGTCACCACAATCTCGGCCAGTCGCGACCATCCTGGTCCCTTGCCATTTTAAGTTCTAGTCGTCAATGAACTTCCACCTTTGTTAAGTACTAGTCGTCAATGAACTTCCACCTTTATTAAGTACTAGTCGTCAATGAACTTCCACCTTTATTAAGTACTAGTCGTCAATGAACTTCCACCTTTATTAAGTACTAGTCGTCAATGAACTTCCACCTTTATTAAGTTCTAGTCGTCAATTAACTTCCACCTTTATTAAGTACTAGTCGTCAATGAACTTCCACCTTTATCCAAACAAAGTCGCCACGTTAATCCCCAACACGAGCCGATTGCATCGCTCCATACCGCCGCCGCCGCTTTGGGCCACCACCACCACTACTACATCACAAGCCACTTTTCCATTAACTTACTTTAGTTTGTAGTTGTTGTTTTTAAAGCAAACTGTCAATGCAACGTCTCACGTTATGTGGATCTGTATTAATGTCGCGTGTAAATACGGACAGCTTCTCTCTCAAGACGCTTTTTTTACCACACAAGCTGAGACGTGTTGGGGTTCGTAACGTGGACAAGCGGGATACATCCTGTAGAATGTGTTTAGTTCCGTACGTATAATGGTGCGAAGCCAGCTGTTCCTGGCCGTGGTCTGCCTCGGTATCGTGTGCGTTATGAATTGGTCATCGTGGTTGCTAGAATGAATGAATAGTGGGGGAATTAATAAAAAGTCTGCAGTTTGCGGACGGCGATTTGACGAGTTTACGAGTGACCTGGGCTCTGTGATGTCGCTTAGCGATTCCACTTGTAACGATTAAAAGTGCCGAGGAATCGATTTGAAAACGCGCGTTCTCACTCGCGCACGTTGCTGTTGGAATCGACACACGCTCAGTTCTCTCTGCACGGATCGCCGGGCCTCGATTTGTTTGTCATCACGCAATCAGGCGGATCGTGACTTCTCCGGTTGCGATCCGTGGATCGCGAGCGGTTGAACCGACGAATCGATACAAGGCGTCCCAGCGATGGTGCAAATGACAATTGGCAGTACATAATTAGAGCTTTTATTTGTGTTGGGGTTAGATCGCGTAAATATAAATGTGTCGTTAAACCCGCCAGCACCACTCGACACAATCCATTAGTAAGGGTTGCCACGTAAACAACGTGGCCAATTCGTTGCTCGTACAGCAACACCGGCGTGTTGGAGAGAGAATCCACAACATTTACAATCTGAGTACGACGTTTCGTTTAATGTTTTGGATTTGCTCTCCAACACACCGGTGAGCTGAAGCAGTAACTGATTGGCATGCTCTGTTTACCTGACAAACCCTACTAATTGGTGGTGGCGGGTTTCACGACGTATTTATATTTACGCGATCACCCCCCCCCAAAAAACCCTCCTATATTATGGATGATATTGGTCGCGAAAGCCTACTACTACCACTACATGTTAAACTGACAATTGGCAGCCTTATCCACTGCTGGTCGTCTCGTGCGCGCGGTGCCGCGTGGATTGTTGCATCGCAGGATCGTGAGATTTATTTTCAGCAGTGGAAATAGCCTTTTCATATGATGTAAATGATGATGATGATCCACTGCTGGATGAAGACCTTCCCACGTCGAGCCGGTAATTAGGAGGTTGTTTGATCATTTATCACCACGCAGGTCAATGCTGGTTGGTGAAAGGTGGGCCCACCCCCCCCCTCCTCTGGACCGGTTCAGATAACGCTGGCAACTGATATTATTGATCATAGCCGGGGATCGAACTTAGGTGGTCTTGTCTGGAGAACCGTGCACGTTCCTGGTGCCACTGCTCCTACCACACATGCCTAGTGATTGTTGTTAACTGTGGTTAGGATGTTACATCTCTTTGACCGGTTGCATGTCATTTAAAAGTATTTCTTTGTTACCATGAATTTACTGACAAACCCAGGCAAATATTTTTTTCATGGGCCACCGGTCTCATGCTTTATTGTTTAAGTTGTTGTATTTACGTATGGTATGTTGAACTTCTTTGGCACCGTACGTAGCCAACCGTGCTTATCGAAGGTGCGGAGGAAGGACAGCAACCTTAACAGCGATACACTGTAACTGTGTTGTGCTTGTGGTGGCGATGGATGTTGAATGTTTTGTTTATTTCAGGTGTACAATGTATCCACGCGCGTGTGTGTGTACATCTCTTTGTCATTCCACTGCTGGATGAGGGGAATCCCCGCGCCGTGTGTGTCACCGGGGTTATTTGACCATGTTTCACCACGCTGGCCATTGCGGGTTAGAATTAGACGTGGAGCGTGGACTGTAGATGCTTAGAAGTGCGGTACAACAATTATTGCTTTCCCGCATTCAACATAAACCTGCCATCAGGATGTTAACTCGCTCTCCTGGTCAGCAGGGCGTCGTGGGTTAGCTCCCGACTCTGACGCCTGTATATTTGGAGTTTGTGTGTTTTTCCCCATGGTCGCGTGTATATTTCTCTCCGGGTCCTCCGGTTTTTCACTCCACATTTAGAAACGTGCCTTTAGGTTATTTTGCCGCGATGCATTTCCACGTGACAAGCCACTTTGTTGAGCTGTCATTTGTGGCCAGGTCGCTTCTGAAAAAGAGAGCTATACAGTATAGCTCAGTGGGCCTTAGCTGGAAATTTTGTAAAATATTTTTTAGTTTAACTTGTTTCCATTGTTTGGTTCAGCTCCCCAGTCTACGCTCACAGAGCTGGCATTTGAGAGCTTGGATTTCACTTTCTATTTGTAGTTGATTTCCCGCTGCGTTTGCACTTTGTATACGTTCTGTTACAGTTGTGTTCACAGTGTGCCTTTTGGCGTCATCTGGTCCAACACCAGTGGAGACTGGGCTCTAAGAAAAGCCGTCTCGGGTGTGGACCAATCAATTTCAAGGACAGTGCATATCATTATCAGAGTTGTCTCATTTTGGTTGCATTTTGACTGCTTGTGTTGTGGTTATTTCAAACACGATCCCTTGTATAAAGGTGTCAGTTTTGGTGCCAGATAAAAGGGTAAAAACCTATTACTATATCTTGCTACTGGCAAAGGAGGAGGTCTCATAAAGGTGGACATTATTTCCACGTGAATCACGGTGCCGATTGATTGCCATACTATGTGCAAGTAAATCGCCGCTTCACGATGGTAGGAATGATTGCCCGCACCTTTCATTGAAATGCGAGTCCATTTTGGAGGCCGTGGCCATTTGTGAGCAGAAAACCTCGCGCAATTTGAAGAAAAACTTGGAAGAGAAATTTCTGCTTTACGCGCGATTGGTGACTCATCAACGGTTAAGAGTGTAATTTGTCAGCACGTGGTGGCGGGGTGACTCATGCCCTTGTGTCTCAAAAAATGCCGTTCGCAATAGTGCAGAGAACCCGTTGCGGAACCCCGCTTCTAACATGACCAAGTGGTGTTCGCCCTATGGAGGTCGTCACCGCCATAGGAATGTGGAATTTTTGTCATGACTCGGGTGCTGCTCGTGCAGATGTTTGCTGCCGCCCCCACGCTTGTTTCGACGAGGTAATTCACGCGAAAGACTCGCCAGGCTCGTAACAGTAATTCAATCCGTCGTTCAAAATCAGTTCTTGCCACGCAAGGTACGCGTGTCGAACCAAGCACGTGGGCATCCATGTAAACACAAAGGTTTCAACGCGTTCGAGTGATTTGCTCAAGTTAAATTTTTGGGTATTCGATGAACAAAATGTGCAAATCGGACAAGGGGCACGTGATCAAATAAAACAAGATGGTATAAAGAAGGCCAAAAGCAAACTAATTAATTAAATATTTGTTTACTTCCCCCTTAATTGTATTGTGCAGTCACTGTGCACCCCAGGGGGGTTGGGATTTTATTTCTACAAATCTGCATGATCCAAAATGCAGTTTTTTTTGGGTTAGATCACGTAAATATATAAATGTGTCATTAAACCCGCCACCACCCGACAGCCAACTAGTAAGGTTTGTCACGTAAACGGAACATGCCAATTCGTCACTAGTACAGCAAACCGGCTGATATTGGATGATATTGGTCGAGAAAGACTACGTGTTAATCTGCATGATCTGCTAACCCTTGCATCCTGAGCACTGGATCACCACCACACCTGTCAAAGTTTGGCTGAATTAGTGATGGCCTTGGGTTTAATGCCGCTTGTCAAGTGGCGATATCGCTAAATCGTTTTGTGCACCAACCTCTTACCGACTGTCTCTTACTGCGGTCCATCGCTTGTCCAACTTCAAGCTAAAGTTTGTTTTTTGCTGTTTTTTACCTTCTACACACCTATGCGATTTTCGGTTTATGAACGAGCGGTCTTAAAGGAATGCACGGGCTCTACAAAACCACACGGCTGTTTCCTGCCACGTTCTTGAGCGAAAATTCCAAGTTGCTTACCTCCTTTTCCACTGTGAAATTCGTAGCATTCTCCACGTGCACCTATGTTCAAAACCCTACAGGGTTCCATAATTTGGCTGTAGGTTTTCTCTGTGTTGTACTCTGCATGTTTACTTGCATTGCCTTTCTAGGTTAGCTGCCCTCCTCCTCTTGCTCACCTGGGTGGATTGCAGGTGTAGAATGGTTGAGACTCTTGATTGTAAGGCTTGGCATATAAAGATTAATTTAATGAAGAAATACATTAAATTCCTGCTTTAAAAATACATGCATAGAATCATGCATTTGAGAATTGGTTATTTATCACGAGTGATTTTTTTTTAATGTTGGCTTATGATCAGGACTATGTATGATTACAATACAAGGAACATAACAAATACAATAGACGGTGCAGGTGAGACAGAATAGACGAGACACGACTGTATTTGTATGTATGTTTGACTTCTTTCGCACCGTACATAGCCACCCGTGCTAAACGGAGGTGAAAGGGCATTAAGACACAGTGCTGGTGAGATAGACAGGACAGATGAAACGCCACAAACAAGACACCAATTACAGTACAATGAGAGTACAAATGAGACCGTATGCACGAGATGGACAGGACAGATGAAATGCCACAAAAGGAGACAGTTGGCATTGCATTACAATGACATGGTACAAATGGGACGGAAAAAAAATAACTCCTGATACGAGTCCTGTTCCCAAAGGCAATTTACCGTACCACACCGGCACACAAGGTGCCGATCGTTCCACGTCTCGGAAAAGTTGCCATTGAGCCTCTTTTTTTAAACTGCTTTTTTGTGTTTAGTTTGTCCTTCCACCGCACCTCCAATTAGCACCGTCGGCTACGTACGGTGCAAAAGAAGTTCAACGTACACACAATCATACCGTTGTTGTTTTTTTTTTGGTTGCAGGAGGAGGACTTCCAAGGTTTTCCCAAAAACGACGCAAGCAAGAGCAGCGCTCGCCGCCTGCCCAGCCCCACACCGTCGCCGGGGCGCCCACGAGGCAAGTGCCACCACCTTCGCGGTTGTTCATCGTCGTCGCGTCGGCAATGCTTAGAACCCTGGCTGCGAACCCTGGTTTGTGTCAGATCGTGGTTAAACCGTACCTCCGATTAGCAAGGTTGGCACACAAAGCGGATATAGCTCACGGTTGTTCATCGTCGCGACGGCCGTCTGGAACGCTCTTTCATCCGACATTAGCTATCCACTTTTACATCTCGATTAAAAAAACGAATTTCTTTGGAGCAGTTTTATTGGTTTAGTTTTTTGTCCTTCCTATGCACCTTCGATTAACGCGTTTAACTACGTAGGGTGCGAAAGAAGTTAAACATACATACAAACCGGATATAGCCCTCTGATGTGTTTTTGGGTTTCACTGCGGGCTGTTCAGCGTGGTGTCCGCTGTTTCGCTCCATGTGCTTGCCGGGAGCCTCTGGTAACTGATTGGAGTAGCTCATGTTCGCCCCCGGTTGCAAGCTCCCACCACGTGGTGTGTAATGCTGAACAGCATGTGGTACAACTCAGAATGACACCACAGAGCTATACAGTACAACCACGAAAACCTATGATGTCGTAGTAAACTGGTTCTTGTATGTACGTATGTTGAATTTCTTTCTCACTGTACATTGCCACCCATTTTAATGGGAGGTGCGGTTTAATCACGAGCTGGCAGAAGCCAGGATTTGAAGCCAGGATTCTAAGCATTGCCGAATTTGTGCTTCGTACAGCAGCAGTATTTAGGCATTGTCGTGCGGTGATTACGATCGGTTATTATGCATCGGATTGTGCGAGTGGGAATGGGTAATAAATGTATAGGCAAACGATGTGCTCGTACATTGATGCCAGTTGTGCGAACACTATCTGCGGTAAGAACGAGACTGTGAAAATGGACAGCGGAATTGTTCCTTGCGTCGAATCGCGACCCTGACCCGTGACATAATCGATGCTGGTCAGGCAGGAACTCCGGCCCCTGGTGTGACGACGGTATCCCAACTTCCTTTTCCTTCCTTCTTCCCCCATTTTTCCCTCCTCCCGAAGGCCGCCCCCCGCGTAGCGGCTCCGACGAGCGCTCCCCGGAATCCCGCCGCCGCAGGGCGACCTCCTCGGCTCCATCCAACGCCACCGGCCCGGCCCTGGCATCGCCCTGGCTTCACCTCGACCTCAACCCCGTGGTCGACCTCTCACCCGTGGGGCGCAAGCACGGCCGTGGGAAGCCACGCTCTGAGAGCCGCCGCTTGCGTGAGTCGGCGTCGCCGCCCGTGCCGCCCCGACCGCCGATGTCTTCTTCATCTCCGGCGCCGGAGCCACAACGGCCGCGGGAGTTGGTGCTGGAGGTGGAGGCTGAGGAGGAGGGGGAGGAGGGTGCGGAGGAAGGGGCAGAGGAGGCGGGGGAGGAGGAGGAGGTGGAGGAGATGGAGGAGGCCGAGGGTCGGCGCTTGTCCAAGCGGCGCGAACGCGAACGGCGCAAACGGAAGAAGCGGTCGGCGGCGGAGAAGAGGGCAGAGAAATCACGCGGGAAGCGGAAACGGAAGAAAAAGAAGCAGCAGCAAAAGAAGCAAGAGAAGCAGCAGCAGCAGCAACAGGACGAGGAGGAGCGCAAGCGGGAGGCAGAAGCAGAGCAGCAGCCGTCGCTGGAGAAACGAACATCGGTGGAAAACAACAGCGGCATCGCTGCTGAGGACGTGGCCATGTCGGACGATTCCATCGCCGGCAGCTCCCGGGCGCAGGCCGAGGTCCCGCTGGCGCCCGTAGCAGCGGCGTCTGTACTGGAAGTCCCGGTAAGAGACGCTAGCGAGGACGGTGCCAGGGCGTCCCGGCCACGCGGTCGCCCGCCCTCGACGAGCCGGGAAAGCGATGGCGCCCTGGCCAAGCGCAAGCAGCGCGTTGATGCCAGCCTTGCGCGCCAGCTGCTGCAACGAGCCAAGAAGCGTGGGCGCGGGGGAATGGGAAGCGCCGTTGTCGTCAAGCCGGGCAGCGGAGGCCGGAGGACAGCGGTGGCGTCGGCAGCGGTGGCTGTGGGAGGAGGACGCCGGGCGGGACGACCCCTGCCCGTCGGAGTGAGGCCAAGCGCAAGCTTGGGCCGGGGCGGGCGGAGGGAGAGGTCGCGCGTGGGCCGGCGCTTTGTGATGCCGGCCGTAAGCTCACGCTCCTCCCGCGTGATCCGCACGCCCAAGAGGTTCATCCAGGACGAGGGGTTTGACGCGGCTGTAGCGGCGGCGGTGGCGGCGCCGTCTCCGTCTTTGTCGGCGCAGGCGTCTATGGCGCACCATCACCACCACCACCATAACCACAATCATCACCAGCAGCAGCCGCAGCAGCACAGGCATGCGCAGGGCGGCCCCGGCATTGGCAGCCGTGGGCGCCAACGCGGATCGGTGACCTCGACCACGTCTTCCTCGCCCTCGTCGGAGTCGTGTGACTCTGACAGCCAGTCGGGCGAGGAGGAGGAGGAGGAAGAGGAAGAAGAAGAAGATGAGGAGGAGGATGAGGAGGAAGAGGAAGAAGAGGAGGAAGAGATTGAGGAGGAGGAAGACGATGAAGAAGAGGAGGAAGAGGAGGAAGAGGAGTCCCAGAATTCCTCGGGCTCGGCTTCACGGTCCGACAGCCCTGGGGTGTCGTCCGAAGGCTCCGACTCGGAGCGCCGGCTCGGAGAGCTCGGCACTGCCGAGCGTGCCGCGCCGCCCATGATGCTCAACGGCGAGCGCCGGCTGGGCTCGTTGGGGCAGACTTTGACCCACGCGCTGGGTCCCACGGGCGCACCGCCGACGGCGGCGGCGCCCCAGCTACTCACGACGTGGGTTTACCCGCACGCTCACCCCCACCCGCACACCCTGCCCATGCTTGTCCCGCCACCCGCTCGCGCTGCATGTGCCGCGGCTGGCGCCGGCGCCACCGCGGGCACCGCCCGCCGCTCTATCCTGCGCGAGCCGACGTTCCGCTGGGGTCCGGTGACACCGCCGGGCTCGGCGTCCGCGCCGGCGGGCGTGCCGGACGGACGCCAGCAGCCGTCGTTCTCCTCTGCCAAGTACGCCAAGGCCGGCCTCATCCGCCAGCCCGTCTTTGACAACATCCGCCTGCCGCCGCTCACGCCGGAGGAGGTCGGGCTGGCGCCGCCGCGGCCCGGCCTGGCCGCCAAGTCGGCCTCGTCAGCGTCGTCGACGGCGGCGGCGGCGGCAGCGGCGTCGGCGGGCGCCCGCCCCGGCCGCTTCGCGTGCTCGCCAGCCGTGGCGTGCGGCCCTGGACCGGCTCTGCTGGCGCCGGTGTCGTCCCAGCCGCCCCCGTTCGCCCCCGTCGTCGCAGGGCTCTCGTCGCCGTCGTCAGCCTCCTCGTCGACCTCCTCGTCGGCGTCATCGGCGGCGGCTGCCACGGTAGTGCCGGCTACGTCGGTGGCGCCGGGGCGACCATTCCCGCCGTCGGGGGTCGCCGCCGCCAACCTGCCCGCCGCATGCAGGTTTCCCGCTCAGCGCCAGTTCGCGGTGCGTCCGAGGTTCGACACCGGCGCCACGACGGCGGCGGTGGCGGTGCAGCCAGCGTCCCCGGCAAGCGCCGGGCGGCGACCGCTGCTGCGCGCCCCCACGTTCACGCCCACAGAAGCTCACCTTCGCATCTACGAGTCGCTGTCGGCCGCCTGTGCGCCCCAGCGCCCGTCTGGCGAGCCAGCCCGGCCGCCGTGCCTCCAGCACGGCTCCCCGGCTGCCTCCGCCGCCGTCGCCAGCGCCAGGCGCAAGCGGCCGTTTTCCAGTGGACGCGGCGGGCGCGGCGGTTCCAGGTCCCCGTCGTTGTCGCGGGTCCCCACGCACGGCATGAGAACGCGCAGCAGCCGAGCGGCGGCCCTCGCCGGCGCCCCGTCTCCTTCCTCCTCACCGGCTTCGACTCCCGGGGGCACCGGCGGATTGCTGGCGCCGCAGTCGCTGTTCCGGCCCGACAGACGCCAGCGGCAGCAGTGGGGGAACGACGGCGGCGGAGCCGGCGATGCCCTAGCAGCGGTGCCGTGTGGCTCTGGGTTCGACGGCGCCCCTCAGCCGGACGGGGCGGCCGTGGCAAGCGCTGGCGGCGACTCGGCCGCGGTTGGGGGGCTCCTGGCTCGCATCGGCCGCGTGCCGGCATTTGGCGACCTCCTGCCCCCAGCCGAACGGCACAAGCGTCTGCAAAGGCGCCAGCGTGATGGCGAGGAAGTGCAAGAAGAGCAAGAAGAGCAAGAAGAAGAAGAGGAGGAGGAGGAGGAGGATGGTGGCAGCAGCACAGCGAGGAAGCGTAAGAAAAAAATGAAGAGGAAAGGCAAAACAATGTTGATGATGATGCGGCGGAGGAGGCAGAGGGGCGCCGGTTCTGAGAGCGAGTCGCAGGACCCCGATGCCGCCGCGTCAACGCAAAAGCTCCTGGTGTCCCCGGAGGCGACCACCGAGGAGGCGGAGGCCGTGAAGACGCGCGCCTCCGCCAAGCGCCAGCAAGAGAGGGCGGCCGGCGCCGGCGGGCAGAGGCAGCAGCAGCAGCAGCGGCAGCAAGGGCAGCGGCGCGCGGAGCGGTCGGAGGACGATAACGACGGCTGCGACGACGGTGACCACGGCGAGCCGGGGAAGGGGGAAGAGGACGGCGCGGGACAGAGGGAGCGGCCGCCGAGGCAGACGGCTGACCGCAAGCTGCGCACGCTGCTGCAGAAGGCGCGGGCTCAGCTCCATCGCATCGAGAGGGGCAAGGCTCGACGGGCGCAGGTATGTGGTGGCGCCGCCGGCAGCTCTCGTCTTGGCGGCCCATGACGTTCACCCCCCCCACCACCACCACCCCCCGTGCCAGTAACGTCTTGAGCCATTGTCTGCGCCTGCTCGTTGCGGTACTCTGTAATCTCCATCATATGGTTTATTTGGGTTAGATCGCGTAAATATAAATGCGTCGTAAAAGCCCGCCACCACCCGACACGGTTTGTCACGTAAGATTTGTCACGTAAACAGAACATGCCAGTTGAGTTGACGCCTGATGAGAAGGTAGTTATAATTACTGCCGAACGTCGTACTCAGATTGTAAATGTTGTGGATGTGTACTAGTAACGAATTGACATGTTCTGTTTACGTGACAAACCTTACTCGGGTGGTGGCGGGTTTAACGACACATTTATATTTACCCGATCTAACCCAAAAAACACTATATTATGGATGACATTGGTCACAAAAGCCTACATGTTAAACTCTGTAATCTATTTAACGTGTCCTTATCCAAATCGAGTTGTTGTCGTAGCCAAAGCCGTCGATGCCACCACCGCAGACATCGCCAACGCTTTTTGGCCTCCGTCAGATCTCACAGCTGCTGCTGCACAGTAGACTTGTGGCCTCCGAGGAATGCCTGAGAAGTATCTCACCATCAGGTGGTTGTTGTAGCTTGCTGACCCACCCCTACTGGGGATTTCTGCAGTCTAAAATAAAAGATAACTCATTCTGAGAGTGAAGAAGAGTACGATATTGGGAAGGCCATTGCCCGCCAGTTAAAAGCTTAAAAATAAATATTGCATATATTATACAAATACTGTAAAAGTATATTGGGGGTGCAGTTATTAGTGGTACTAGCGCTGTTAACCAGTTGCCCAAGTTAAATGACCAGTGTGCTAACCCCTGCGCTACAGCTCACCACATTAAAACAAAGAGAAAGATCCACTGTGTATAACCTCAACAGACTGTTGGGGCAAGTGCTGTTAGTGAGCACCTATGAAGGCCTGCACGGCACCCAATGGGGTGGGTGGCCAGCACCACGCCCAGCTGCCTTTGACTCCCTAGTGGCGATGTATATGCACCACACCAGGTACTTATTTGAGGCTAAGTCGCCCTGGGGGAGGCCCTGTACCAATTCAGATGTTCGCCACTGATGTTGATCATGAGCGGGACTTGAACTCGGGTCGCCGAGTTCGTCACGCAAGTGTGCTAACCGCTATACCACCGCTCCCCACAAGTGGAAGAAAGGGTTGCCGGGATAAATTAAAACCCACATACGAGTAAAGATCAATATTGATCGATGACTCGTATCATTGTTGCACAGTGACGGTACGCCTGATGGCATTTCCACCGATTCACATATTCGACATTGTTATTGGTCGTAAGCGGTAATCGAACTCGGGTCTCCGGGTTCGTTGCGCAGCGTGCTAAACACCACACAACCGCCCCCCCACAAACAAAAGACTAACGCACGCACGCACGCACACACACGCACACTGTGGTCCACCGCACACGCCAAGGTGCTGAAGCTGTGCTCTGTGTTGCCGCTGAAGGTGACAGGAGCTGAAACTCCTGCCGCGACAGCAGCCGGCGCGTGGAACCACCGCGAGAGGCCGTCCCGCAAGCGGAAGCGGCACGCCCCGCCAGAGAGCGGGCCGTCAACGGCGCGGGAGGTGAGGCCACCCAGAAGCTCCCTGTATGTTTATTTTTTCTCCCAATTTTATCCCGATCGTGCTGTCGGCGCCACGTCACGTGATGGAGAATTTGCGATGATGTCTTGAAGGGAAGCCGTTCTCTGCTTTCCGTGACCTACCGCTCGCTCTGGCACAGATGCCCGTCTCATAACATTATATTAGTGTCGGTCTCGTGACATTATGGCAATAGGGGCGCAGTCTTTTTGAAATTTGGGGAAAAGACAAAAATAATAAAATACATGAATTGATGTGGGTGTAATTGAGCAGTTCAAAATCACGCATCACTTGAAGGTGGCCGGGTCTCTCAGGATGATTATGATGAGACAGTAGGCACCAATGAGATGCACTGCTGGAATACTGGGTTTGAATCTGGGTGTTCATGGGTTCTCAAGCATCGTGCGTTGTTGGTCTCTGCACATTCATCATCATCGTCATCATCACGAGCCATGGGCAGATAGCCCGTAGGTGTCCACTGCACATTTCGTAATTTATTTCCAATTTCCTGTCTTTTGCCAATATGCTCAAGTAGTGCCACATCTTTCCGGCACCAATCTCTTATGTCGTCTTCAAGCCATTCTCTGTGAGGTCCTTCCATATTTCCAAACAACACACATTTAATTTTCCTGTTGTTGTACATCCTACATATCTGTCCAAATAGTGCCAGTTTCACCATGACATAAAATTGTATTCAATTTTGATTGTCACCCTTTATCAGCCTTCGTCGGCTCGGTGGACAAAACAAAAAGAAAAACCCTGCGATTGCTCACGGAATGAATGTTTGACTGATATTTTGGATGGTGCCGCATACGATCGCTCGCTCGCTGGCGCACACAGCACAGCGACAACTCGTCGGAGGGCCCCGCCGAGCCGGGTGGAGCTCGGGGCCCGCGCATCAAGCACGTGTGTCGCGGGGCCGCCGTAGCCCTGGGCCTCCCGCGCGCTCTGTTCCTGAGCTCTCACCCGACCAACGGCTCAGCCGGCGCCGCCGGGTCCACCACCAACGCTGGCCTCCCACCTGCACCGGTGGCCGAGGGCAGGCGCAGCGGCGGCGCTGGTAAGGGATGGGGTGGGTTTGGGTGGGTGCGTGGCAGTGTTCATTTCGAGTCAACAAAGACTATCTTTCACCGCTTGAGAATATTGGCACAAGACAGAGGAAAGTGGAAACAAATGACGAAATGTACAGTGAACACCTATGGGCTATCTGCCCATGGATCGTGATGATGATGAGACTTCGCCGGATAGACGAAGCGAATGACTAAATGAAATCCAGAGAGAAAAAATAACTGGACTTTGACTATGGCTAAATCGGGATTTTATGACTAAATACCGGTGGGTATGTGGGTGAGTTGATGGGTGGGGAGGGATTTATCCTGGGTTTCTGGTCTCTGCGCCAAGCCGCGAGAATGGCATGTGATGTCATCTTGCCATGCGCGTCTCCGATGATGTCATTACAGGCATCCCGAATCCAGAATCAATATTTATTTATACTGGAGGAATCCGATGAGCTATGAAGCTCATTTTCACAGATGTCCAGTAGGGGCAGGTCAGAATGTGACAACGACAAACAATACAAAACACACAGCATAGGAAAGGTAAACAAATAACTTTTAAAAATATATATACAAATAAAATGAAACTTTTTTTATTTTACCAGGTAAAGCCCACTGAGCTATTAGCTTATTTTTCAGAAGCGACCTGGCCACAAATGATGGCTCAACGAAGTGGCTTTTCGCGTGGACATTTCTAGCAGCAAAGCAATCCAAACGCGTGATGTTGATTCTTAACGTGGAGGGAAATATCGGAGGACACGATTCCGGCCAGTCTTGCTCTCTTCCTTTCTTTGCCACCTAACCACCGCCCCCCCCCCTCCTCCTTCACCAGCCTGGACTGCCCAGTATGTTGAAGTATGGTCAAAGCTCCCTTTTAACTGACATGGTGTGGGGGAAGGCCTTCCAGCTCCTGGTCTATTGAGAATGGCTGTAATATTTTACGTTTGATCATTTGAATTGCATTTATGGTTAATTAAATGTATATGCGATTACCACCAAAGACATTCGACTTTCACTTCATAGCAATTGAATAAATGTTTTGGAATTTACTGACGACGCAATTTAATGACTAAACAGTCGGCATGAATGCCAAGGTTCACTGGACGTGTACGTTTTGACGCTAACAATTTACCTAGTTTATCTCTAAATTTAATCTAAAAAAAATCCGAAAGAGCTAGAAAGCACGAGCAGAGCACGTGACATCAATGGAGGATTCCCGAATTCCATACAACAGGTAAATACAGTAAGTTTATCTTTAGAACTGCTGGTGCACGTACACATCTTGTTGCCTATTGCGTGCAGTTTCATTAGCGAACAGTGGTCTGATCATGGCTTTTTTGGATTCCTTATATTTTGAATGCCTGAATCCGGCTTCGAGAAGTCGTACAGTAAGTCTGTCGTATCTGCTCTGCTACCTTGTTTGTACTTTTTGTTTTGGTGCCATTTTTTTATTTTATTTATTCATTTTTATTTTGCTTGGTAGTCGTAGGGTTTTCATTTGCTTGGCAGTGGCTGTATATGGGATTTGGTCTTTATATATAAATTAATGTATGGCGTTGTGCGATGATATTAGCATGAATGACGCTATACAAAATGAAAGTATTGTTATTGTTAGTTGCAGGCTACTGTGCGTCGCAAGCCTTTGGGCCCTTGCTGGACGATCACGGTATAAATCCCTGGGAGCCACGTGGCACGCTCACCGACGTTTCTCTCCCCGCAGACGCTGGGAAGGCTTCGGACGGTGTTGGCGGCGGTGCCGCCACCGCCGGCTCCGCCTCCGCGGACGAGGGGCCGGCGGCATCGAGAGAGGGCGGCGCCCTGACCCCGCGCGTGACCCTCACGCCGTGCGACTCGGTGCACCGTGGCAGTGCACCGCTCTCCTGTGCCGCGGTACGCCGTGCCGCGCTCTGCCAGCTGTCGTTCGCTCGCTCGCCCCGACGTTGTCCGCTTCTCGGCGGCTAAATTGGGCTCGGAGCTGGTTATTTTAGTAGAGTTTGCCGCGGCATGGCGATATTGTGCAACATCGCATAGTATAACGGTTCCCCGAAGTCGATCAGCAAGTCGCGTGGCATCGGGTGAAGTGTGTGTACCCAAGACGTCTGACCAACGTGGCAGAGTAGGCCAAATCACCTGCTCAGGGGGCTCTCTAAAAAGGCCTCTTTAGTTGCGCAAGCACGGAACTACAGGGCTGCACTTGTGTGTGTGTATACATATTGTTTTACACCAGCCTTACCTGCCCTGCAGAAAATACCCCATAAGCAGCCCTGCCCCTCAACGGACGTTACCTGTCACCGCCATCCGAACGAATACATTGTAAGGTCGCTGTCATTACACACAAAGTGCTTGCCGTAATTGAACCACAATACTTTGCTGATCTCGTCAAGGAGAATAAAACATCACGCAAATTCAGGTCATCCTCGCAGCAGCGGCTTTTGGCAGTACCATCGAACAAAGACGATCACCGCATTGCGCTTTAAGATTCTGCGGCCATCTGGAACGCTCTTCCTCTGGATATTAGGAAACCGCTGGAGCTATGCCCTTTTAAGTAATCTAGATTGACAAATTCATTTCTTTAGAACTATTTTCAGCGTATAGTTGTCCTTCCCCCGCACCTCCAATTAGCACGGTTGGCTTCGTACGGTGCGAAAGCAGTTCAACTTATGTACGCACAAACATCCCCGCCCATCCCCTCCCAACAGGCATCCGAATCGCTCTCCTCAAGGGTGGCCGAGTCCACAGCCAACGAGGCTGCTCAGCAGCCGGCGTCGTCCGCGTCCCCTCACGGCCCGGCCCCTCCCAGCGCCGCCGCCACCGCCGTCGCCGCGCCCCCAGCTCTGGTTTCCATGCCGGCGGCAGCGGGGGCGGCATCGGCGGCATCGGCGGCGGCTCAGCCCGCGGCAGCCCCCCCGGCGCCAGGGCCGTCCGGAGGCGGCGGCGGTCGGCGCACGGCGATGAGGAGGCTGCGCCGTTCGCGCCGATGCGGGGAGTGCGACGGCTGCCGGGTGGAGGCCGACTGCGGCGAGTGTGCCAACTGCCTGGACAAGCCCAAGTTTGGAGGTCGCAACATCAAGAAGCAGTGCTGCAAGTGAGTGGCGAGAGCCCCCAACACCCACCACGCCACATCTCACTCGCCCAGTCACCTTTCAGTTGTCCAGAGAAATGGGGGCGGCGTGGGTGTGGGTGGAGGGATGGCCCCGATCGCCCGATTGTTAGCCAAGGGGTCGGCAACCTGCGGCACTGGAGGAGCATGCGGAGCTTTAGAGGACCGCTTCGTGACACGTTATTTACTAAGGACCCACCGCCTCGTATTCACGTTGCATTGCGGCTCTTGGAATATTTTGTTAGTTTTCCCGAATTCCAAAAAAATGTCTCGTCCTTGTTATTTTAGTTTGCCGACCCTTGATATCGGCCAATGGACGGAGCAAAGATGTACAAACAACACAAATTCAATAAGAGACGATGCAAAGGATACGTTCATTACGCTACAAATTGCTTTTTGCTTTATCCACTCCCATGGCTGCTGATTCTGGTTTCATACTCTTTGGTTTTTTCGGTAAAGTCACGTAGGTATAAAATAAATCAAATAAATGAAAACTAAATTTTTATTTAAAATGTAGTTTTTATTTATTTTTTATTTTATTTATTTTTTACCTACGTGACTTTACCAAAAAAACCAAATAGTATGAATCCTTGCAGTCACGAATGCTTCAAATCTAGAATTGATTCTGGTTTGTCCATTTAGTCTTTAAACATAACCTCAATTCTAAGTTAATCGTGGGATCATTTCTGTTAAGTTGGCGTGTGTCAGCATTTGTATTGGCGTGTGTGTCTTATGTGTTTCTATGTATGTGTTTTATGGCCGTGTGTCTGAAAATCTGAGTGTTGGTATTTGTGTCTATCTGTATATGTATTTATGTGTCTAGATTTATGTATGTGTGTGTCTATCTGTATCCGTCTCTTTGAGCATGTTGTCTCTGTGTATGCAAGTGTAATTTAATATATTATTGGATGTCTGTATGTTTATTGTTGCGGAGCAGAATCATAGTGGTTAGTGCACTGTGCTACTAACCTGGCGAAATGAGTTTGTTTCCCGGCCACGACAAAGATCAGTGTGGCATGTACTATCAAAAAGTTCTAGTGCTCGGCCTTCACTAGCTCAATTCGGCATGGTAATGGGTACCTGGTGAGCTCTGTAAACATAACTGGGGCCACGAGGGCGTGGTAGCGACTACGTCTTCCCCTCGTGCACCGTGGAGGATTTCACCCGGCTCTCGCTCGTGTCATTTTGCCGCAACGTCCTGCACGTTTGTCTATGTACGTCTGGTGTATCTGTGCAAATACCTCTGCTCCGATTCCCCCTCGTTTTTTTACCCCAGGATGCGAAAGTGTCAGAACCTACAGTATTACACACAGCCGGACAGCACACCAAAGCAGGGTACGTTGGCACGCGGGTTTTTTGGTAACAGAACGAAATGCCTGGCATGATTTGCTACGGTTGTTGCTGCTGCTGGTGGTGGTGGTCTGCTGATGCAACTGTAATTGTCTGCTTAATGCTTTCTTCACCCTCACAATGTGCGACTCCTTCACGACCGGTGTTACCGTCCGTCCGATGTAACCTCCGCAATTTGTTATTCCGTCAATATTTTGTTAATTGCATTGTTTAAACGATGTCGCACATCTTGATGTGTTTTTTATTTTTTAAACAACCGGTGTCGCAACTTTTATGAGTTTAAACATAAAAAATAAGTTAAAATATGAACTCATATTGTGTAAACGTAATTTTATGTTTTTTTTATATATATAATAATACTGTCATTTATTTATCTGTAAAATACTCAATTAGATTCAAGGCTGTGTTTTCAGCGAGGTCTTGCATGGGAACGTTTGGCCAATTCCTGTTTTGGATGTGGGAGGAAAACCGCGTAATGTGGAGAAATCCCACCACACATCGAGGGAACATACACTCAAACGGTCTGCACGCATGGTTTGGCAAACCCACTTGGCTGTACTCTCACCTCCGGGCCACCTTGCGATCCGGCAGATTTCGGAGCCTTGCCCACCTCTATGTGGCCCTCCAATCCTGGCTTCAATCATTAAGCCATATTTCACCACTGCTGGTTCGATAATATTTTGCTGTCTGGTGTGCTGAATATCAAATGAGTTTATGAACCCATCTGTGTGGACCTTTTTGAGTATTATCCCTTCACATGCATGAGTTTCCTCCAATTGTCCCAGTTTTGTCTCCGGGCAAAACACTAATTTGGAAGGAATCGGTCGGGCATCCCAAGGTAGCAAGACTCTCCCATCCCAAGAGTCTTGAGACTCGGTGAAGCTTTTCCCTGATAAATAAATGACACCGTCATTATTTTTATTGTAACAATATATTGATTGCCAAAAAAAGTGTTTAAAAACGTTAAACGAGTAGGTCGTGCAATGTCTGCGTCCAGTGAAAAAGACAGACAGGGGTAAAGCGGGAAGGAAAGAAGATGCTCAGGTTGAGGCGGAAGCCCCGGGGGGAGCCAGGGACTCGCCTAGTGAGGGCGACCCAGGCTGGAGGAGGGCGGGCAGGCAGGGGCCGCTAGCTCAGTCCCAGGCTCCGCAGGCTCAGCAGGCCTCGCAAGTTGCTAGGCCGCGCGATGCTGGCAAGCCCTTGGGAGGTAAGCATTCCGGCATTCGGTTCTCTCGCCTTCTCTTTCTTGTTATCCCGTCATACGAGAGCGTTTCAATACGTAAAGAGATGAACGGCACTTTCCGGTAAAATTTAACGTCGGCATTTGCAGACTCTCGCTGCGTTGCCATCCACAGGCACAGGGCACCTGCACCAGTGGCTCATTTGTTTCCTAATGGGAGCAGCAAAGGAGAAGTGGTTGTCGATAAACCACGGCCACAACACTGCATGCACATCCCCCCGTCACTGTTAAACCACCTTTCACGTGAAACCTCCTTTAAAGTTCCGGGCAAACATGAGTCCGAAGCAGACTCGGGCTGAACTGTCTGCTGGATATGCAGAACTTGCCGTCCAAGCTTTCCCAACAATTATATCGATTAACGTGCAGAGCACGGTTGTGTATTGTCATGCTAAAAACGCCACTCCTTGGACAGTCCACGTTGGTTTTGTCCAGCATGTCCGAGCATGAAGGGCTGGTGACAAGAAGTGTTACATTTCCTGGAAGGTAAAATGTCATCAGACTATAAATGTGTCCCAAAAAAAACGATCACGATTACTTTTCCGGTGAAAGCTTGCGACCTTAATTTTCTCGTTGTTCACATTCCGTGCTTTGGTGCTTCATCGTCTCACTCGTACTGATGGATCCAAGCTGCGTTTGTGATGATAATGGAAAAAATTAATAAACACATGGCCTTTACACAGGCATCTGGCCGTCAAGGCTCAACAAAAATTAATCGTATTTGCTTTGTGGCCTTATGTTTACGACTACCAAGATGATGTGCCTTTTGCCACGCGATTTTTTTCTCTTATCGGGATTGCACCAATAATAAATTACAGAATTATTATCAAAAAGTCTCTTTACCTCTTGAAAAACACTCGTATTAAACCTATACCCATGGACTAATGGCATTGATACAAAGAAAAGTAAAAAACAAATACCTCCCCACCTTTGTCATTAGCACTGCCTTAGAACTAACAATATATGGAGCAAGCCAATAGCCCTGCTCGGATGAAGGGCCATTGCCAGAAATATTAGGCATTCGACAAGGTCATTGCCCGTAATGTACACGTACAGCCCTTTTGTCAACCCACCGCGCCGTGCATGTATGTTGAACTTCTTTGGCACCGTACGTAGCCAACCGTGCTAATCGGAGGTGCGAATGCCGGTTGGTGAGGTTGTTTGACCATACTTCACCGCGTCGGTCGCTGAGGGTTTACGAAGGCACAGAAGTACAGTATAGCAATGGGTATTGCTGCACTGCCTTCTACTGCCAACCTCGTCGGCCCCGCAGCCTGTAACACCTGTTATGCTTGCTGGTTGGCCATCCCCGAGCACTATCCGAGCTCAGCCCTGCTTAGCATCCATGAGCTGACGAGATTGGGCGCATTGCGGTTGAATTGATGGAAACGTTGGCCGACTTAGTATTTATTCCGTTAGAGGTGCAGCGACGGTGACAACGGTGGTGGGTGTTTTTGATTTCTGCGTGTGCATCGCTGCCTACTTAATATCTCTGTTTTTTGTTGTTGTTGACAATATCAATAATACTCGACACTGTATTATTGTTGTGGTCACAATTGTGGTGAAGCCATTTGCATGTGTAATGATGCTACGCTTGGCAGCCAGTAAAGGTTATCTAGCTACACCGCCAGCTAACAATTTTAATTAATGGTCGGAGCCTGAAGTGTATTAAGTGAATGTGCCGATTGAATGTAATTCTAACTCTTGAGCCCAAACACCCCTTATCGCGTGGGGTCGGATGCTTGGATTTTCTTTCGTCATGAGCTTCTGTGCCTCTTCTCTCGTCACATATACTGTCCTGGTATCTTAATTCACCGCATCCTCCCATCTCGCCCTCCAGTATCCCTCTCATGCTGCCCTGCTCCGGTGGTGTCTGTGTTGCCCATCTAGTTTATGAGTCCCTGTTTGAGTCTGTGGGTCTGTGCAAGTTTGTGGGTCTCCATGTGAGTGTTTGTGTCTCTGAGTTTGTGGGTCTCTGTGAGGGTATGTATGTGTCTCTAAGTCTGTGGATCTCTATTTGAGTTTATGTGTCTCTGAGTTTGTGGGTCTCTATGTGAGTGTATGTGTCTCTGAGTCTGTGGGTCTCTATGTGAGTTTTGTGTCTCTGAGTTTGTGGGTCTCTGTGAGCGTATGTATGTGTCTCTAAGTCTGTGGATCTCTATTTGAGTGTATGTGTCTCTGAGTTTGTGGGTCTCTATGTGAGTGTATGTGTCTGAGTCTGTGGGTCGCTATGTGAGCATATGTGTCTCTGAGTTTGTGGGTCTCTTTGAGTGTATGTGTCTCTGGGTCTGTGGATCTCTATTTGAGTGTATGTGTCTCTGAGTTTGTGGGTCTCTATGTGAGTGTATGTCTCTGAGTCAGTGGGTCTCTTTGAGTGTATGTGTCTCTGAGTCTGTGGGTCGCTATGTGAGCATATGTGTCTCTGAGTTTGTGGGTCTCTTTGAGTGTATGTGTCTGAGATTGCGGGTCTCTATTTACATGTGTCTCTGAGTTTGTGGGTCTCTATGTGAGTGTATGTCTCTGTGAATCTGTGGGTCTCTTATCTCTATAGTTTATCTAATTGCATCTCCCCTCCCTTAACTTTATCAACAATAATTGTAACATGTGCTAAGGCTTTAATTTCTCAATTATTTCCTTTCCCCGTAGGGATTATCCCAACGGCCAACTTATAATTCCTATCTCTGTCCTCTCATTCACTCTCTCGTCAATCTTCTGTGTCCGCACTTGCGATTTTTATTACTCTACAGCACTTTAAATCGATGGCACATGATCTCTTATTGAAAACGGGCGTCTCAGTCGAGCATTGCCTCATCAGCGCCCCTTTTACATTAAAATATCTTCCCGCTTTCTAATGCCGCAACCTCGCCACTTCAGCCACCGATGAGCGGTGATGTGTGGGCAGTTAACTCACCTTGATCGCTGCATATGAAGTTACCCCCCACCTCTCACTGAGATAGCCTGCTGCGCTTGTTTTCGGGAAGCTAGTGTACGCATATGCAAATTAATTTACCATAAGTCACTCGTTACGTCGTACTCTCGCTTACCAATGCAGCTTTCCTTACTCTATTAGGGGTGTAACGATGAAGGGAAATTATGAATGCATTCAATTAACCTTTTTTGACCCTATTTATGTTGTGTGTAATGGGACCACATGAGCCCCTTGAGCCACTGGAGGCCGCTACAATGACTACATTGTTAAAAATATAAATTTCGTGAATAGAATCGTGACCACCCCTACTAGCCATATGCGTTGGTCAAGCGTCATGTTAATAACACGTGCAACACTTGATGAGTGGTCGATACGTTTTGAGAATGACGTGGTTATATGAAGTTACTTCTATAGGTAAGATAATCTGGGGAACATGGTAAAAAAAAATCACCTTTCATTCCTTTATCTCCACAGAGAGAACATAATATCTTTTAGTCCATCAGTCGTTTGGCCATCCAGACTTGACGTTTTAGTTTTTATGTGAAAGTAAAAAAAAACTGGTGAATAATTTACTAAATGTATGACCCATAATGCACCTCGACAGTGTGCCATTAGACTTTGCCAGGTAAAATAGAATCTCAATATAAGCACAGTTCTGATATGAGCGACACGTGCTTACATTACACTTCAAATGCAAAGGGCGCCTTCTGAGATGAGCACACTCGGGATTTATCAAACTTGGCCTTGCTTCCGAGAGGCGCCCTGATATGCAGCTTCTTCTCTGTTATCCATAAAACAGGTAATTTTTTGGGTTAGATCATGTAAGTATAAAGGTATCATTAAACCCGCCAAGACCCAACACAGCCAATGAGTAAGGTTTGTCGCGTAAATAAAACGTGCCAATTCGTTAATACCGTGACGTTTCGCCGGTGATTACAACAACCAGCATCATCAGGCGACAGCCAAACCCACAACATTTCTATTTACGCTATCTAACCCAAAAAAAACCTCTATTGTGGATAAGATTTGTAGCGATAAGTCTACTGCATGTTAAACCAAAAACAACATTTTAAATATATATTTTAAGTCAAAATGTTACATTTTTAATGTGGAGATATCCGAAAATTAAGGTGATTTATTCAATGTATTAACACAGTTGGTGATCTATGCATATATTAAGCATATCAATATCGGTGTGTAATAATAAATCACAGTCCTTAGTCGTTATACTGATGGATTGTTAGCCTTCCCACACCGCGTCAGGAATGGGGGTTGCTGAACCGTACTTCACCACTCTGGTCAGTGCGGGCTTGGTGAGTCCACAGGGTCCCATTCAGATTTCACTCGCCACCGATGTTTGCCGTGGCCGTTTTTTTAAATGCAGTTCGCTAACCCACTGCGTTGCAGCTCCCTCCAGATGTCGCTCCAGTGAATTCGATACACTTAAGTGATTTTTTTTACAATACATTTTTTGTCATTCTCAAAACTAATTGACAGTCTGTCACGTACATCCGCGCATGATAAGGGTGGAACGATGCATCGGTTTATTGATTAATTTTCTATTGCCAGGCTCAGGACGCATATCGAAATGCGTTTATTGAAATTATACTTTTCAGTCGGTACACGTTGCCCTTATTGGGTTCACGTCACGTTTGGCAGCCGCTAGAGGCATTACCATTCATCGCAGTGTTTAAAGATAATCAATTTTCGTAAATGAATTGCGACTCCGAATCGCGATAATGAATCAAATGACCCCAAGGCGTTGTATTGTTCCACCCGTAAATGGTATGCGGCAAAGTTTATATCCTATTGCCATACTTTCCCTACCTTACACATACCTGCATACACACAAATGCGCACACGCGTTCGTGAATGCGTCACGCTCTGCTGCACGTATTTATAGCTGTGCGGGTACATGTGCGTCTGTTTCTGCAGTCGTGCTTGGAGAAAAATCTACCAAACGGGGAACCCAGTTGCGCACAAAGAAGTCTAAAGAGAAGGTGGGTCTCTGTGTGCTTCTGGCGCGGTGGCAGACATGTCACTTTTGCACAGTGGGATGATGGTGGTCGTACAGAGGATGTAACACTCAAAGCTCCCCACAGATAGATCCATTGAATGCGTGACTGTACTGCTACCTCCTGGCCACCTCGCAGGCTATGCACACAGCACCTCGTATTCACAGGCAGTCTCCCCATCTCCAAGTACTAACAAGGCTCAAACCTCCATCGCTCACGCTTTTCGTCGAGATGAGGCGTGTTGGTCATGGTGGTTCGGTTGTGTGTGTGTGTGCGTGCACGCAGGCTACACCAGGTATGCACCAAGTGCATCAAGTGCAAGAGACTCTCCTGCTCTCTGACTGTTCTCACCTGTTTACACCATTGGAACCTCCTTTGCCAGTAGCAAAATATGATTATTGTTTTTTTACCCTTTTATCTGGCAACAAAACTGACGCCTTTTTTTTACAAGGAGTCATGTTTGCATTGACCACAATACCTGCGGTCGGAATGCAAACAAAAAACATAACTCTGATAATGTATGTGGCACTGTCCTTGAAATTGATTGGTCCACACCCGAGACAGCTTTCCTTCGAGCCTAGTCTCACATGGTGTTGGACCAGATGACGCCAAAAGGCGCACAACTCAAAGACAATGCACCTTCAGAGTATGAGAGCTCGGGGTAAGAATTTACACCATTGGAACCTCGTTTGCCAGTAGCAAAATATGATAATTGTGTTTTTTTTACCCTTTTATCTGGCAACAAAACTGACAGTGCATACTTTGTCAAAGTTATGTTTTTTGTTTGCATTCCGACCGCAGGTATTGTGGTCAATGCAAACATGACTCCTTGTAAAAAAGGTGTCAGTTTTGTTGCAAGATAAAAGGGTAAAAAAAACAATTATGTTCTCACCTGGTTAAAAAAATAAACTTGAATGATTCTAGGTGATGATGCCATAAAATGTGAGGATAGTCAACTCTTGGGTCAAGGGTCGGAAGGAGGCATGTGCCAGATGAATAAAAAAACAAATCATTTAAAAGATGTCCAATAAGATTTTAAAACGTATAATAATCGATTTAAAGCTTTCGTGACTGCAGTAATTCATATTCTTAGCTCTTTCGGTAAAGTCACGTTGAAGGGAAACAATAAAATAATAAAATATATATAAAACAATAAAATTTTCACGACGTTTCGACCATAACACAAACGGTCATCATCAGGTGTGAAAACCAACGTTTTTTTATTTTATTGTTTCCCTTCAACGTGACTTTACCGAAAGAGCTAAGAATACGTATAATTATCGTTTCCTTCTGGAGAAGGGTTGAGAAGATGTCGAATGTTTTGTGAGTTTCTTAATGTTTCTTAAAGCAAACGTTTCGCTCTGCTTCACTACACATTTGTGGTCACGTGGACGCTTTAGTCGTCAGTTAGGAACTGCTCAAAGATTATCCAGCGCTCGTGAAAATGTACTTTTTGAAACACGGTCAATCTTCAACCTGCATCATCTGCTCACGGATACAGCATTGTGAACTGTGTATGCACTCCACAAATTTGGCTGTCTGCCTTATGATGCCAGTTGTAATTACTGGCATGTTCTGTTTACGTGACAAACCTTCCTTGCTGGCTGTGTCGGGTGGTGGCGGGTCTAACGACACATTTATATTTACGCACTCTAACCCAAAAAAGCCTATATTATGGATGTGTACGCACTGCTGGATTGTTAACTGGGAGTGTTTGTGAGTGAGACACGTGCCAAGCAGGGGGCCTATGACAACGGGCTAATTCACGACACGGCCTCTGCCTCTTGGAGTGTCCCTTCAGTGGCGCGTGAGTCAACGCCGTTGTATGTGCGTACATACGTACGTTGAACTTCTCTTGCAACTTGCGTAGCCAACTGCGCTGATTTGTTCGCAGGAGAAGGGCAGGGAGGTGAACAAGCCGGAGGTTGTCGTGGCGACGGTTTTGAGCAACGGTGGCAACGGGAAACCTCGCGCCATCCCCGATGGCGTGCACCGCATCCGCGTCGACTTTAAGGTACCCGTTTTTTTTTATACCGCGGTAGCGAGGTGGTAACTACCTCGGCTGGTGTACAGGAGGTTGTGGGTTCGATCCCCACCCTGACGCCTGCTGTATATTTGGAGTTTGCGTGTCTCTCTCTGCCCGTGGTCGCGTGGATTTTTCTCCAGGTCTACCGGCTTTTCCCTCCACATTTAGAATCAACATGCATTTTAGAGTGTTTGGTTGCTATAAATTTCCACATGGTTATAAGCCAGTTCAGTGGGCTATCATTTGTGGCCAGGTCACTTCTGAAAAAGAGCCATGTAGCTCGGTGGGCCTTACTTGGTAAAACAAAACATAGTTTAAATCGTTTTTTTGTTCAAGGTCAAGAGGTAGTCTCGTGCACTGCCTGTTTGTTACCGTCACTTCTTCGCTGTCGCTTGTCTCCTGGAACATCTCGTATTTATTGTAAAGTCGACGTGCGACCGCCCGTGGACTGCGCTCGTAGTTCTGTCATCACTGCCACCATCTGGAGTCAGGCCTTCCTTTTGGTTACTGACCTCTGGGAACCGCCTGTATCAGCCGGTAACCTGGCCTCTTCAATGTGACGTCATCTTGCAATGTCACAAGTAATGATGCCATCAGAAGGCAAATTATATCGGCGCTATTTTTTTTATCGCCACGTTTTGGGCAACACTTTAAGCTGGTTGTCTTAATTTTCCAATGGGCAATTCCCTAATGGCCGCACGACTCTGTGATGAAGTCTGTTCACATCGCAATGTGGTTACGAGAGTTATTGTGATTCACTATTTCTATTTTAGTTTGAGAGTGTTCAAAATGATCGACGCTTTAATCAAATCGAAACACCCTGAATTTCGACAGCCTATTAATGTGTGGGGTTGTGGTGGGGGGCGGGGGGGAGAGTATTGCCATGCTGAGCTGCAGTGAGGTTAGCGGCGAGACGCTAGACGCGTATTTGCGTGTTGCGTTCGCAGGAGGACTGCGACATCGACAACGTGTGGAGGATGGGCGGCCTCTCCCTCCTCACCTCCGGGGTGATCGCACCGCGAGTCATCTGCTTCCTGTGCGCCAGCAGTGGCATTCACGAGGTGCGAATGATCCTGTGACCCCAGTGACCCTGTCATTATCACGATCACTATCGTAGTATCATCATACTCATCGTCATCATTGCATCCCAACCAATATCTTCGTTGTCATCGTTATCATCATCTAAACCAAAATCATCATCTTTGCTACCGTACTCGTCCGATGAGCACGTTTGGCCACGTACGGTGCGAAAGAATTTCAACATACATTTGTATTCACGCCATTCTAATAGTGCAAGGCTATCACGAAGGCGCTGCGTTTCACAGACGCAGTCTGCACTAGTTTCACAGTCTGGGGCGATCTTACTACGTGCAATCCCAGTTGAGTATTTCCTTCACCACCACCATCAATATTGTCACCAATCATTGCCATCCTTACCTTACTAGGTGCTCGCCAACAGTCTGCTGCTTGAGGTTACGGGACGGAGCGGGATATTTACTCTTGTCTATTCGTAGCTGGTGTACTGCCGCGTGTGCTGCGAGGCGTTCCACTCGTTCTGCCTGGGAGAGGGCGAGCGCCCGCTGGAGGGAGAGATGGAGAACTGGGTGTGCCGGCGCTGCAAGTTCTGCCACGTCTGCGGCCGTCAGAACCGGGTACGTGCCCGCTGGCTCCCTCCCCTCCCTCCCCACCGACGGGGGGGCCCTGGATGTCGACGCTTATTGACGCCAGCGTTGAATTGGTTGGCGTCAATATCTCCGGTACCTGTTTTCTGACACGGAGGTGCTCGCTGCTCCGCGAGATTAATAAATTAATTCTTCTCGTTGCATGATTCCGAAAGCTCAGTTGGCCATATGTCGGGTAAAAACCAGGGCGAAAACATGTAAATAACGTGTGTATTCCTTCAGCGTGAATATCGTTTTGTGTTTGTGCGTGTGGTAGCTTCTTCAGTGCGACAAATGCCACAACACCTACCACTCGGAGTGTCTCGGACCGAACTACCCCAGCAAACCGACGAATCGCAAGCGCGTTTGGGTACGTGGATACTGAAAACTAATTTCTTTGGAACTGCTTTTTGTGTTCAGTTTGTTGTCCTTCCCCCACACCCATGATTAGCACAGTTAGTTATGTACAGTGCGAAAGAAGTTCAACATACATACACGCATACCGCGACCACACCTGCTAACAGGGCGATGACGGAACTCAGCGGTAGCGTCTTTCCTGGCATGCAGGAAGTCGTGGGTTCGATCATGACCCTGATACGTGCTGCATATTTGGAGTTTGCATGTTCTCCCCGTGGTCGCGTGGATTTTTCTCCGGGTTCTCCAGTTTTTCCCTCCACATTTCGAGTGAACATCACGCGTTTGGAGTATTTGGCTGCTATACATTTCCACGTGATAATCCACTTCGTCAAGCGATCATACGTGACCAGGTCGCTTCTGAGCAGAGAGCAATTTTAGCTCAGTGGGCCTTACCTGGTAACATTAAGACAGTTACTAACCAGGCTCAGACCTGCGTCGCTTCTGATCTCCGACGAGATGGGGCGTTTTGATTTAAAGCTTTCGTGACTGCAGTAATTCATATTCTTAGCTCTTTCGGTAAAGTCACGTTGAAGGGAAACAATAAAATAATAAAATATATATAAAACAATAAAAATTCTCACGACGTTTCCGACCATAACACAAACACACCTGATGACGACCGTTTGTGTTATGGTCGAAACGTCGTGAGAATTTTCATTGTTTTATATATATTTTATTATTTTATTGTTTCCCTTCAACGTGACTTTACCGAAAGAGCTAAGAATATGAGATGGGGCGTGTTGTTCATGGTGGTTCGGTTGTGTGTGTGTGTACGTGTGCTCGCGCGCGTATCGGTCAGGTGTGCACCAAGTGCGTGAAATGCAAGAGCTGCGGCGCCACAACGCCCGGCAAGGGCTGGGACGCGCAGTGGTCGCACGACTTCTCGCTTTGCCACGACTGCGGGAAGCTTTTCGACAAAGGTGAAGCGCTTACTAGACGCCCGCCGCAACCGGTGGCCCACAAGCGGTCTTATTTCTGCCATCGCAGACGAGCTGTTGACGTTGCCGTCAATGTCGGCTCACTATTACAACCCCCCCCGGGTTCCACTGCACAGCCGAGTAGCGCCGGGGCCGTGGCACCGGGTAGTTTTTTTCCGTTGCAGGAGCCAAGCTGTGTGACGCTGTCAGCACATGCAATATAAGTGGATATGTTTTCACGAGTGAAATATTCCCGTCTCGAGATGCGGTCACATTTCCGACGCTCTGGAATTCACATTGTGTTGTACTGCATTGAAGGCCCACTGAAATCGATAAATCGTTACTTACCTACTCGCTTGGGTCTGCATACAAGACAAATACAAAGGTCCCCCATGAAGCCTTGACAGAATTTTGGGTAAATTTCTGTTAGCGAGCACCTAATGAAGGCCGGCACAGCACGAGTGGGTGGGTGGCAAGCACCATGCCTGGCCGTCCTTTGTCGCCTGAGTGGTGATGTTTATACACCGCACCAGCTACTCATTTCATGCCGATTCGACCTCGGGAAAGCCCAGAACCGGTTCAGATATTCATCACGGATTGTCGACCGCGACCGGGAATCTTAATTTGGGTCGTTGGGGTTCATGACGCAAAGTACTGACCGCTACACTACCTCTCCCCACACACACACACATGCAAGTGCTTTGAATCGCACACTCCCAGAGAGCTGGAGGACTTCAATCGCCGGTTTTAAAAGCGACAGGCGAGAGCTGGGTGCCGGTGGCATCGCTGTTTGACTGAGCTCCTGTGCGCTCACTCGCTCCCTCCACCGTCGTCTCGCAGGGAACTTCTGCCCCGTGTGCAACCGATGTTACGACGACGACGACTACGAGAGCAAGATGATGCAGTGCGGGAAGTGCGAGCGCTGGGTGCACGCCAAGTGCGAGAGCCTCTCCGGTGAGTGGGGGCCGTCCCGCAGGGGAAGGGGGGCGCGAGGTGGGGCAGAAGCTGTGCCGTGAGCCGCAGGGGATTGTTCCCGGTTTGTTTCACACACGAGGGTGCTGTGTTCGTGAATAAAGGTTAGTTAAAGGTTATTTAACTCCCGTCGCAGCAAGATGCGCAAAGAGGCATGGAGACGTGCATATCTGCATTCACACTCAAGTTACCATTATAATATAAGTTACGCTGACTCGCAGCAATACTGTCATTTATTTTAACACGCATTTCTTTTCTCTCATTATTTTCTTGCACATTTTGTCCAAACACGGCGCACAGCAAGCACTGGTATTGGTAATCTGCGAGCAAAGTCTCACGGCAATCAATGTAGCAGTTTCGTAGTTTTGAAAACATGTGAAGCGTTCTCGGATGGGCAGATGGACAGATAATGGACAGACAGATAATAATCGATGGACAGATGGATAACAGAGCCGAATGTACTGATGAATTGTTAACAGACAGCAGATTGATGGGTGGATGGACGGATAACACACGGATGAACGAACGGACTAACATAATTTCGGGAAATATTAATGAGTAGCCTTTCAATTCCCCGAGAAATCGCTCCCATTTCCCGATTGATCCCCCCTTGTGTGACTACCGCATCTTGGCTGTGGCTGTGGTGTTGCTTGGGGGGAGCGGTATTGTAGAGGTTAATGTGCAGCACTACTAACCCCGCGACCCCAGTTTGATTCCCGCCCACGGTGAACATCGGTGACGAATATCTGAACCGGTCTTGGGCCTCCCCTAGGTCGACTCAGCTTCAAACGAGTACCCGGCGCTGTGTGTGTAAACATCGCCACTGGGGAGACAGAGGCAGCCGGGCGTGGTGCTGGCCACCTACCCCCTCGAGTGCTGCGTCGTCCTTCATAGATGCTCGCTAACAGCACTTGCCCCAACAGTCTGTTAACACTTTCCCATACCGATGACGTCCACGTACTTCATTGGGACGGAATCGGAAGAAAAATAAAATAACTTGATCGGTACTGAGGCTCCCACAAGGCCATGTGGGAGGGGGCGTGTGGCACAATTTGGCGCCAGCTGCCGTAGAGTGCGGTCGTGTCCCTACAGTTCTCGGCGGTGAGCACAATGTCTTTGAAAACAACCTCTCTTCATGAAATTAACACGAACCACTTGCGCGTTCCGGGATTCAGCGGTGAACGGGACCCACTCTGCAACATGCAGACGTCGGGAAAGAGGTTAATCGGCCCTATGGGGGGCGGTGGGTTCTTTGTCTTTGTTTTGTGTCGCCGTGCGCAGACGAGATGTACGAGATCCTGTCGAGCCTGCCCGAGAGCGTGGTGTACACGTGCGTGCGCTGCACCGAGTCCCGACCGGCCGAGTGGAGCGTGGCGCTCGCCGCCGAGCTGCAGGCCGGCCTGCAGCTGGTTGCGAGCGCCCTCGCGGCCTCGCGCGTTTCCGCCAGCCTACACCGGCACCGGCAGGTGGGCAACCGCGCCCAGCACCAGTGCTTTTTGAGGTTGGATTGCCACCTCCTTGAGATGCAACAAAAATATCTCGCGATACCAGAATAAACTAAAAACTAAACTATTTTACCAGGTAAGGCCCCACTGAGCTATATAGCTCTTCTTCAGAAGCGCCCTGGCCACAAAGGATAGCTCAGAGAAGTAGTTTATCACGTGGAAATTTATAGCAACCAAATGCTCTTAAACGCCTGTTGCTTCTAAATATGGAGGGAAAAACCGGAGGACCCAGAGAAAAATCCACGAAATCAGGGGCATAGCATGCAAACTCCAAAAATACAGCCGGCATCAGAGTCGGGATCAAACCCACAACATCCTGTATACCAGGCGAGGGAGTTAACATATCGCCATCGGGGATAACTGCATGTTAAATGCTTTATATTGAATAGTATTTTATTATGCCACGAACAAAAAAAAGGACGTTTAATGTCCCAGAAAGACTTGCCAGAATTGCCAGTAATAGAACAATCCTGGGATAACCATGGCAGGTTTGCAACTTAGCTGTTGGGTGTCCCGGTTATTTTTGCGGCACTAAGCCACTGACCCTTGACGAGTGAGGAGCAGCTCACGATTTTACCAGCATGCACCTAAATATATTGCATGCATTGTTTTTTTTTTCAAGCACGGTTCTTCCATTACCCGAAGATATTTCTCACGAGTAATCCGAGCGTTAACTATACGATTGTCAATCCCCGTCGAGTGACCGTAATAACAAATGCCTCACGTACGGGTAATTTTTTTTTTACCCTCTGTATTTCTACAGTCAAGCAAAGCGGCCAGCGAGGCTCAATCGGGCACCCCAGCTGGTGCTGCGGACAGCCCTGTCGCCACGGATACGGAGCGGCAGGACCTGCCCACAGACCTGGAGGGGGTGAAGCGGAAGCTGGAGCGTGGGGCCTACAACAGCTTGGTTAGGCATCCGAGCACATTGCCTGCTCCCAAAAATTAACCAATTAATTTACTGGGCGCGTCACGTAAAAATGGATTGAAAAACGATTCTTGTTTTACGCTCACGGTATATGCAACTAATTGTAAGTGTGCAAATTCTTAATTTACAGTTCATACAAATTGAACTTAAATGATGTGCGATTGTTGTGTTTTAGGGGTAATGTAGTGGACAAAACTATCCATACTGGGCAGAAAGAAACAACATGATTGAGATGATTAAAACGAGACAAAGAAAATAATCTTCGATCAAACTGTAAAACCAAATTGTGACATTTTATGGAATCATATGCCTTTCCATCGCCGACGCCCTGCGACCATATGTCAGTAAAGCCATTATACGAGCTCTACTTTAATAGAGCAGCGATTTTGCTGCTGCTTATTTGATCTGCTAATTGATGCGTTAACTGCCTCATCAGTATGTGATTAGAGCAGAGGGTCCTCCCGGCCCAAGACTTTATTTCGAATGCCCCATGGCCACATGAGGCTTACCACTTCCATATGGCCCACAAAATATATTTTTTTCCTCACTGCAAGCATCTTGGCTGCACAAATCTGAGTTCCAGAGGGATATATTTTTGACAACCTGGCAACAACCAACATGTTTGTGATTGTGGCGCGCGCTCAGTAGTCAATTCCGTCACAGAAAGGGCCTCAAATAGTGACAGAATGTATCGATTCTTATGCTAGTGTCTGGACCCGCCATAGGTATTCAAACTGCCATTTGCCCCACGGTAAGGAAAAGCTTCCTGACCGAGTGTGGTTCGCAATCAGAAAGTCGTGAGTTAAAGTCCTTGTCGGGGCTCAATCCAGCCTTTCACCCCTCTGGGGTCAATCAGATGAGTAGCACTGTGTGGGAAGTCAACAGTTGTCTTCATTTTGAAAGACTTCTGCCCACCATAGCAATGTAAGCTTTCCACCTGTTGGCTCTTGTGCCCATCATTAATGTGGGATTTCCACCATTGGCTCTTGTGCCCACCATTGATGTGAAATTTACACCATTGGCTCTTGTGTCCACCTTAACAATGTAGGATTTACACCATTGGCTTTTGTGTCCACCATTAATGTAGAATTTACACCATTAGCTCTTGTGCCCACCATGACAATGTAGGATTTACACCATTGGCTCTTGTGTCCACCATGATAATGTAGGATTTACACCATTGGCTCTTGTGCCCACCATGACAATGTAGGATTTACACCATTGGCTCTTGTGCCCACCATGACAATGTAGGATTTACACCATTGGCTCTTGTGCCCACCATGACAATGTAGGATTTACACCATTGGCTCTTGTGTCCACCTTAACAATGTAGGATTTACACCATTGGCTCTTGTGCCCACCATGACAATGTAGGATTTACACCATTGGCTCTTGTGTCCACCATGACAATGTAGGATTTACACCATTGGCTCTTGTGCCCACCATAACAATGTAGGATTTACACCATTGGCTCTTGTGTCCACCTTAACAATGTAGGATTTACACCATTGGCTCTTGTGCCCACCATAACAATGTAGGATTTACACCATTGGCTCTTGTGCCCACCATGACAATGTAGGATTTACACCATTGGCTCTTGTACCCACCATGACAATGTAGGATTTACACCATTGGCTCTTGTGCCCACCATAACAATGTAGGATTTACACCATTGGCTCTTGTGCCCACCATAACAATGTAGGATTTACACCATTGGCTCTTGTGTCCACCTTAACAATGTAGGATTTACACCATTGGCTCTTGTGCCCACCATAACAATGTAGGATTTACACCATTGGCTCTTGTGTCCACCTTAACAATGTAGGATTTACACCATTGGCTCTTGTGCCCACCATAACAATGTAGAATTGACACCATTGGCTCTTGTGCCCACCATAACAATGTAGAATTGACACCATTGGCGCTTGTGCCCACCATGACAATGTAGGATTTACACCATTGGCTCTTGTGTCCACCATAACAATGTAGGATGTACACCATTGGCTCTTGTGTCCACCATAACAATGTAGGATGTACACCATTGGCTCTTGTGCCCACCATAACAATGTAGGATTTACACCATTGGCTCTTGTGCCCACCTTAACAATGTAGGATTTATACCATTGGCTCTTGTGTCCACCATAACAATGTAGGATGTACACCATTGGCAGTTGTGCCCACCATAACAATGTAGGTTTTACACCATTGGCTCTTGTGTCCACCATGACAATGTAGGATTTACACCATTGGCTCTTGTGTCCACCATAACAATGTAGGATTTACACCATTGGCTCTTGTGTCCACCTTAACAATGTAGGATTTACACCATTGGCTCTTGTGTCCACCATAACAATGTAGGATGTACACCATTGGCTCTTGTGCCCACCATGACAATGTAGGATTTACACCATTGGCTCTTGTGCCCACCATAACAATGTAGGATTTACACCATTGGCTCTTGTGTCCACCATAACAATGTAGGATGTACACCATTGGCTCTTGTGCCCACCATAACAATGTAGGATTTACACCATTGGCTCTTGTGTCCACCATTAATGTAGGATTTACACCATTGGCGCTTGTGCCCACCATAACAATGTAGGATTTACACCATTGGCTCTTGTGTCCACCATTAATGTAGGATTTACACCATTGGCTCTTGTGTCCACCTTAACAATGTAGGATGTACACCATTGGCTCTTGTGTCCACCATAACAATGTAAGATTTACACCATTGGCTCTTGTGTCCACCTTAACAATGTAGGATTTACACCATTGGCTCTTGTGCCCACCATAACAATGTAGGATGTACACCATTGGCTCTTGTGTCCACCATTAATGTAGGATTTACACCATTGGCTCTTGTGCCCACCTTAACAATGTAGGATTTACACCATTGGCTCTTATGCCCACCATAGCAATGTGAACATTTCGACCATTGGCTCTTGTGCCTGCCATGGCAGTGTAGGATTTTCACCGCTCTGTCATGTTCATTTTGTGTACTGTTGACGTTGCCAGACGGGGTTTTGCGACGACGTGACGAGGGTGCTCCAGTGCGACGCCGACGTCACGCAGCCGGAGGTCAAGCGAGCGGCCGCGACTCTCAAAGGGCTCTTCACCAGGGTTCGTCGCGCGTCCCCCGGGTCACCGATTTTTCCCAGTTTCCCACCTTCATACCAAGTGTGCGGGGTGATCTCTGGCCCTGCAGGCCGGAGTACAGACCGCGGCTTCATTTCCCATGGGCCCGTAAGCCACGTGTGGTCAACCGCTTCGAAATGGTCCCCGTGAACGCTAATTATCCATCGTAGCGAGCAGTTTTATACGAACTAGTCGGGTACTAGGCGCCACGATGGCAAGATGTTAACTAGCTTGCCTCGTATGCAAGAGATTATGGGTTCGATCCAGCCACTGATGCCTGTGTATTTGGAGTTTGCATGTTTGTTTACCCGTGGTCGTGTGGATTTTTCTCCGGGTCCTCCGGTTTCCCCTCCACATTGAGAAACATGCGTTTAGAGTTTTTTGCTGCTCTAAATTTCCACGTGATAAGCCACTTCGTTGCGCTATGATTTATGGCCAGGTAACTTCGGGAAAAGAGCTCTATAACTCAGTCGGCCTTACCAGGTTAAAATTTGTTAATAGATAAATTACAAGAGAGAAGGAATATTCTCGACATAGCAACAGAGCGAGATAAATTTGAGTGTGCTCGCTAACAAGTGACTGAGGACCTCCGTTCGCGTATGACCCACCCAAGGGTGATTGATAGTCCTATTCGGTACAGAGGTACTGAATAGGACTATTGCTCACCCCAGCATTATACAAAGAGATATTGACATAGATCATGAGTGGGTTTGTTGACCTGTCAAATTTTTTTAATGGGTATTTTAATAATGGAATTAATTTATTTTGGAAACCCTCACCGAGTATCATGGCTCTTTTTCAAGAGGGCACTGTATTAAGATGTGTGGCCAATTTTATTTTTAAGAAGGCTTTTTTTCCGTTTGGGATGAGACCGGGGTACCCAGAGAGACAGACACTATGAAAAATAAAGAGACACATAGATAAAGAGAAACGGAGAAGCACAGAGAGACACCGAGAAAGCGAGAGACACGGAGACGCACAGAGATATAGATTGATATATTAAGAAAAACAGACTCGGAAAGAGACAAACACAAAGATGGAGACAGAGACACAGAGATAGAACAACTGTATGCAATGGCGGAGCCAGGATTTTCAGATAGGGGGGGCAACCCCTCCAGCAATGAAAAATTATAGAAGAGTTGTGAGTAAGTAAGGAGTTGTTAGTAAGTAAGGACTTGTCCCTTGCTTTTTATTCGACGCGTGTGCGACGATGGCACAGCCATTGATTCGTACCACGTTGTGTGATCGGCATCACGCTCGCTGAAGGTGTTGATGCCTTCAGGGAAGTCGTGTTTGTTATACGCAACTGCGCACAATTCTGAGTCTCTTATAACCGATTTGCCGTTACTTATTGACAATAATGAACTCAGACTATTGTCCTATCATCTCATAGAGTCCCTGACACATAATATGCTACATAGTGGCAGTGGGGATCGAAATTATGGATTTCGATCGGATCATTGGGGGGGCACGTGCCACCCCACCCCCCCCCACTCGCTCCGCCAGTGACTGTATGTATGTTGAACTTCTTTAGCCAACCGTGCTAATTGGAGGTGCGAATAGAACAGAGAAACGATGTAACCGAGACATTAATCAGGCCCAGAGAAAGAGAAAGACAGACAGAGGTTGGCACAGAGAGACAGAGCACGGCTCCACTCGGGGGTACGCTGAATGCAAAGCCCGCCCTGAATGACGTTGTACCCCTGCTGCTGCTGCTGCTGCTGCGGTTGTGCCATGTGTGAACTAACGACGCATCTGTGTCATCGTCCGCCCCACAGCAAATGGAGAAAGTCTTCCCGTGGTTTGACATCCGAGGATCAAGGTTCTGGGACCAGAATCGCACCCAGGATATGTGAGTTGCATTGCGTTGGGGAGGTTGGGGTGGAGGGGGGGGGATTGTAAAGGATCCACCGACCCCTTGTAAAATCTTATCGTGCAATTAACCCTTTCCCATTCCGATGACGTACGTGCGTGTACGTCATCGGAATAGAATCGAATCCAAACAGAATCGGAAGTAAAAGGCCAACGCGGGAGTGCGTTTGGCACATTTTTGACGCGAGCTTTCATGGCGTGCGGCAGTTGTGCCGCTACAGTTCTCTCCGGTAAGTGTACAGTACAGTGTCTTTAAAAACAGCGGCGCTACGCCTCTCTTAAGTAAAATTGACGCCGAACCGCTTGCGCGTTGTTTTCGGGGTTCGGCGGCGAACGGTGACCCTGGAAACGTGCAGCAGACGTCATCGGAACGGAAAAGGGTTCGGAATGGGCTCTTGCAGCATTTACTCATGCACAGGGGATCATGTCGTGAGCATTCCTGTTAGCGTTCAACATTGCTTTAGAGTTCGTTTAATATTGCCTTTGTCGAGCCTCGCCTCGCCCCCCGCCCCCCCCCCCCCCCCCCCCCCGAGTGTTTTACTAATACTCTCCCCCCCTTTAAGCAATTTCATGCTGCAGGGTTGTGAGAGTCTGTTTTTAATCGATGGGTTTGTGTCCCGCTACTCGCCTAACAAACATTCAGCTTAATTGTCGTCGCAATCGTTTCTGTCCACGTTTATAAATGCACTTTGAGATTATTTGGATGCTATAAATGTCCACTTGATAAGCCACTTCGTTGAGCTATCATTTGTGGCCAGGTCGCTTCTGAAAAAGAAGCTAATAGCTCAGTGGGTTACCTGGTAAAATTCTGACCTGCCCCGAATGGACATCTATAGCTCATTATTTTTACCTACGTGACTTTACCGAATCGAACCAAAGAGTATGGATCCTTGCAGTCACGAAAGCTTCAAATCTAGAAAGGATAAAGATATATATTCTGATTTTATCTCGCGTTTATTTTCTACAACTTTTGCGCTCCCTACATGACCGATCGACCGACGTTCTTTCCTTCTTTCCGCCTCCCCGCGCACGCCAGTGGGCTGTTGCCCAACGCCGTCCTGCCCCCCTCCGCGGACCACGATTACGCGCAGTGGCGTGAGCGCGAAGGGGAGGGGGCCGCGCTGGCCGCGGGCGGCGCCCCCCACAGTCAGCCTCCGCTCCTCAAGAAGATCGTCCCGGCGCCGCGTCGCAAGGCCTCCACCGACGCTCAGGACGACAGCGGTAAGGGCAACCCCCTGGGCCCGTTTTTAGACTAAAACTAAACTATAAACTATTTTATATTTAACCAGGTAAGGCCCACTGAGCTATACGTAGAGCTCTTTTTCAGAAGCGACCTGGCCACACATAATAGCTCGACAAAGTGGCTTGCCATCACGTGGGAATGTATAGCACCGGCCACATACTCTTAAATGCGTGTTTCTTCATCGGGAGGGAAACATTGGAGGACCCGGATAAAAATCCACGCGATCACGGGGGGAAACATGCAAACTCCAAATATGCAGGCGTCAGGGTCGGGATCGAACCCATGACCTCCTCTGATTTATCCATTGTTCCCCTCCACATTTTAAAACATGCGTTTAGATTATTTAACTGCTATACATATCCACGTGATAAGCTACTTCACTGACTATCATACGTGGCCAGGTGGCTTCTGAAAAGAGCTATGTAGCTCAGTGGGCCTAAGGACCTGGTAAAATTAAAATTAATTTACTTAAATAAATTTCAGTCTGTTCGGAGCGTTATTTAACTTGGGCTGTGTTACGCTGTCCGGGCGTGTTGCCACCTGTCTTGCAGCTGCAGCCGACGGTGGCGGCGACAGCGCCATGGAGGTGGACGTCCCGGTGGACAAGGAGGACAACCGCCAGTGCATGTTGTGTCTCAGCTACGGCGACCAGAGCTCGAACGTACGCGCCGCACACTCCTAAAAACCCGCGACTCTCTTCCACCGAGATTCTCTCTCTCTCATGACTCTCTCTCGGTCTTGCGTATTGCTCGATGAATGGCCAATGTATAAGTCTGTCCAGATTAGTCGTCCAGGGAATGGCTCCATTTTGGATGTGTTGGGGGGGATTGCACGACTGTGTGGTCGATGGTCTGGATGGTGTTTCCACAATCGCCTGCCAGGCACTTTCGTTGAGTGTGCACGTGGGCACCCCCATATTTTTTTAATCCTTTTCATAACATTTTGAAATGCCAGCAAAACTTAAATTTTTAGGTGGGGCACTGCTCCCCATTATTGTGCGGCTTTTCAGTCAATAGTTTTCTTTGACACACCTTAGCCAACGAATATTACGAACAGTAACAGTGCCTTACTCTTTGGTTCTTTCGGTAAAGTCACGTAGGTAGAAAAACAATAGATCGCGACGTTTTCGATCGCAACACAAGCGACCGTCATCAGTTTGAACAGATACAGCAGGCGAACTGCTGACATAGACTATGACATGAAGTGGAAGACTATGACATAGACTATGTCAGCAGTTCTCCTGCTGTATCTGTTCCGCCTGATGACGGCCGCTTGTGTTGCGATCGAAAGGTCGCGATCTATGATTTTTCTAACCTACGCGACTTTACCGAGAGAACCAAAGAGTTTGGATTCCTGCAGTCACGAAAGCTTGAAATCAAGATAGTAACAGTGCCATTGTGGCACCAAAACTCTGGAACTCCTTCCCCTTCGAGGTCATGACTTGAAAGACACTTAGAAATCTTCACATCTCAACTAAAAACGTATCTGTTTAAAATAGCTCTCTCTTTACTTATTTTCAAACGCCTCTCTCGTTTCTTCTTTCCTTGGTTGATGTTAAACTATTTGCCGCCCTTCCATGCATAGCGCCCTGAGTACGACTGTTTAAGGGCCCTTTGTAAATTATTATTATTATTACTATTCAAAGTGGCTTCTTAATGTCAGCAAAGGAAGGGCGTTCCAGAATACAAGGTCCGACCACGAACGGCTAACAAGGGGGGGGGGTGCGACCGACGGGCCTCTTGCAGGAGGCGGGGAGGCTGCTCGGAATCGGGCAGGACGAGTGGACGCACTCCAACTGCGCCGTGTGGTCGGCCGAGGTGTTCGAAGACGACGACGGATCGCTCAAGAACGTCCACGCCGCCGTGTGGCGGGGCAAGCAGCTGGTACGTGGGGTCCGGTTGCCGGCACCGTCCCGTCGCTCGCTCCCCTCCCTTCCCCAGCACCTCCGATATGCCTCCGCTCAGTTTTTCTGGGGGTTCACACATTGAGATCGCTTCACGCACGCAGCGCAGCCTTTCATTGGCGAGCCAAAGCTTCGGTCAACCCCGTTCACCGCTACATCTCGGAACGCTCGCAAGCGGTTTAGCGTTAATTTCGATTAGAGAGGCGTAATGCCGTTGTTTTTAGAGACATTGAACTGTGCTCGCTGCAGAAAACCGTAGCGACACGATTGCCACAATCTATGATAGTCGGTGCCAAAACTGTGCCACACGCCCTCCCGCATTGGCCTTTTACTTTTGATTCCGATCAGAATCGATTCCATTCTGATGTAAACGTACGCAATCGGAACGGGAAACGGGTTTAAATGATGTCAGGGGGAGATGTGGCCGGGTGGCTGGCAGATCGGAGGCCTAAGTTGGCACTGCTGGGGAGCCTCGTTTTGAATACAAGCTTTCATTAAACGGTGTTATCTGCCCGGTCACCAATGACAGCACATAAACAAACAAACGAAATCACCTAAAACGTACGCATTACAGCGCTTGTTGAATGAAAAAAATGTAGGTTTGCTTGTCGTGCAGGCGGCGCCAACATCAGAAAGCTCGCGTGGCCGTTCACCGTGTAAGCAGGGCGAGTGGGCGAGTGGGTGTGGCTGTGTAGAAGTGAGTGGGGCTGAAGGAGGAGGAAGACGCTTCCAACTCACCACCCGTCCCATTTGAACGTCCCAGCAAGTTCAACAACTCCTTCCCCTCCCCCAATATCCGACGCATTTACTTTGACGATCAGTCGAATGCGACGATCATGATCGTTTCAGATCCCTGATCGGCACGGTCGGCTGCATACGGCGCAAAAGAAGTTCAAAAATACATACACGTGTGCACGTACACACACCATCTGTTATCCATAAGAGGTTTTTTTGGTTAAATGACTAGGATATAAATGTGTTGTTAAACCCACCACCACCCGACACAGCCAATTAGTACGGTTTGTCACGTAAGTAAAATATGCCAATTAGTTACTCGTTCAGCACTCCAGTGTGTTGGAGAGTCAACACATTTATAGTTACGCGATCTCACCCAAAAAAAACTCTTAACATGGATAATACCCTTCGTTTTGTCACTGTCGAAATGTAGCTCAAATCGGCACCGTCACCCTTGTTGAAGTTAAAAGAGTCTTAAAGGAAACTGGAGTCACGTGACTAACACAACAGTACGAACCCCTGGCTATATTCGCGCGGCGGTTTGACCCGATGAGGTCTGTTCCCCCCCCCACCCCCCCCCCCCCCCCCGCAGCGGTGCGAGCACTGCGGGCGCATGGGCGCCACCGTAGGCTGCTGTCTGCCCGCGTGCCAGGCCAACTTCCACTTCATGTGCGCCCGCGCCCGCAGCTGCGTCTTCCAGGACGACAAGAAGCTCTATTGCCAGCGGCACAAGGACCTCATCCGAGGGGAGGTGCGTGGAAGCGAGCGAGCGAGCGATCGTCATCAGCGGCATCATCGTCACTTAGGGTGCCGCGGTGGCGAGATGTTAACTAGTTCCCTTGCCTGATATGCAGGAGGTCGTGGGTTCTCTCTCTCTCTCCCCGTGGTCGTGTGGATTTTTACTCCTGGTCCTCCAGTTATTCCCTCTACATTTAGATCAATGTGCATTTAGAGTATTTGGCTGCTGTAAATTTTTCCACGTGATAAGCCACTTCCTTGAGCTATCATTTGTGATCGCCAGGTCGCTTCTGCAAAATAGCCATACAGCTCAGTGGGGCCTTACCTGGTAAAATAAAAAAAAGTTTAGTTTTTAATTAACTTTAATATACATGCCGTGCCTCCCATGCAGTATATCTCGTGGCGCCTTGTGGCAGTGGACCCCTCAGTAGCAGCTCTCACTGTGTGGCGCAGGGCGAAACGCAGCACCGGTCAGCGAGTGGACGTTAGTTTGCCAGCACGAGGCGATGTTGCCATGTGCCTTCGTAATTCAATCGTTCGTCCACGTGAAGCCTCAGGAGGCACACGGCAGCGGTCCGAGGCGCTGATTGCTGTGCCGTGATGGGGATTCACAACGAGCTTGAAACCGGCTACACAGTTGAGCCCCTTTGTCCTGCTGCTGCCTAAAATAATGTCCACAATTGAGAACCTTGCTGGTGTGCGTGAGTGTGCACCGAGTATGGTAAGGACACACGGCATGCAAGACTTGCTGCTAGGGCTGTGCCTGTGGTCGCAATTCTGCCTTTTACTCTCCAGAAATCACCTTTTGTGTGTGTGTGTGTGATTACTCGTGCTGTGAAGAGTTGTTCGCATGACCCGTCGGCGATGGCCTGGCTGCCTCGGCGGTTCCTGGGGCTCTTCGTCACTGCTGTCGGTGATGGGCCAGCTGCGGCTCGTTGTCACTCTTTCCTCTCTCAGATGTTGTCCTGGCACTGACGTCGATTTCCCCTCCCCCCTTTCTTCCCCATCCTCATGCCCCATGCACTCCCCGTGTTGTCCGCTGCGTGTACCCGTGGCGTCCCCGCGCACGCAGGTTGTGGCGGAGGATGGGTTTGAGGTCCTGCGTCGCGTCTTTGTCGACTTCGAGGGGATAGGCCTGCGTCGGAAGTTCCTCTCCGGCCTGGAGCCCGACAAGATCCAGATGATGATCGGTGACTGCAGCCTCCACCGCTATCGCTGTCTCTGCCATCATCTTTGCTACCATGACAACCGCCACCACAACCACTGTAGACCGACGCCACCATGATGAATCAATACGCAAATAGTTAAAAGTGATCCATTTTTCTAAACTTTGCCAAATGTAACGGTGCTCAGGAGGGGCAGTTGATCTTTTTAAGACGTTTTGTCTAGCCCAGGGGTCGGCGACCAAAATAAACAATTGCCGTTTTTTTTCTAATTCGGTAAAACACTCAATATTTCAAGAGCCGCAACGCACGTGAAGAACGTCACGGAGAAGTCCTTAAAGAGCCGCGTGCTTCTCCGGCCGCACAATGCCGACCCCTGGTCTAAACCGATAATATTGAAAATTCCCAGTGCCTAGAATACAGTGGTTTGTCACGATCCGTTCTTCACCGCTGTGTGTCCCCTGCGCGTGTCGTGATTCAGGTTCTCTGACCATCGAGTGCCTGGGCGTCCTCAATGACCTGTCGCTCTACGAAGGGAAGCTCTTCCCCATTGGATACCAGTGAGTGACGCGTTTAAGCTTTCCCAACGCAGAAAGACGCACCACATCTCTGCCGTTGGGCATCCAGATGTTTGCGAGCGCTCTCGGATGAAGTGCTGCACTCGGACGGGTGCGTGGTAGGGGGGTGTGTTCCTGGTTTTTTAGTTTGTCAAGAAAAATCTGAAATTGAGAGGGGTTAAAAAAAAAACGAGACTTATCACGATCCGAAAATGTTTTTTCTCGGATTAATAAAAAAAAAGTGACAGCACAGGAATTTTAGCGAAATGACGTTCTCAGCCCAGTCATCAATGATGTCTCTCTGTCCGTCCCGCCGCCGCCGTAGGTGCACGCGTGTCTACTGGAGCACGGCGGACGCGCGCCGCCTTTGCGTCTACACCTGCAAGGTGCTCGAGTTCCGTCCGGAGAGCACGACCACGGACGTAAACAGCACGCTCATCCACGGGGAGAACCAGACCATCACGCACAGCCCGCCACCTCCCACCGCCGCCGGTACGCCACGGCTAGCATCATCGGCAAATATCTAAACCAGTCCCTGGCCTCACCTAGGTTGACTCGGCCTTAACGGATGTGTAAACATCAACGCTGGGGATACAAAGGCTGGCGATACCACCCCCCCCCGCCCTCGTGCAACTGTATGTATGTTGAACTTCTTTCGCTCCCTGTGTAACCCAACAGCGCTAATCGTAGGTGCGAGGGGAAGGACAACAATCGTGCCGACCTTAATAGCCGGTCGCTAGCACCACACGCCCCAGTGAAAACAGTCTGTGTGGCTACACGGGGGGCCGATCTTTGTTTTTTGCACGCGCAACGCGCAGGAGGCTTGGACGTGGTGATGACGGTGCAGTGCTCGGTGGCACCCATGGCGCGCCCGTGCCCAGCGCCCCGCCCCAGCGTGCCCACCAGCTTCTCCCCGACGCGACGACCTCTGCCCTCACCGGGTACGTTCCCACGCCCTCGCCAACGTTCGCACGTTGCGCCACAATGTTACCCAAGCTTCTTGGCAAATTTTAAAAGTGAGTGACGATGATCGCGATGTGTAAAACTAAAACTAAACTATTTTTTTTATTTTACCGGGTAAGGTCCCACTGAGATATGTAGCTGCTTTTCAGAAGTGACCTGGCTATAACAAATGATTGCCTATCATGTGGAAATTTATATCAGCCAAATACTCCAAATGCACGTTTATAAATGTGAAGGGAAAAACCAGGGGACTCGAAGAAAGAGCCACGTGACCATGAGAGAGACACGCGAATTCGAAATATACAGGCGTCACTTCGGGATCAAAGCCATGACCTCTCGCCACTGTGGTGCCCTTAATAACAAACGCACGCTGTCAGAAAAAATGTAACGTCACACAATCGCCTTGTTCCCACAACTACAGATTTTTGTTTTTACAAGTAACTAAGTTTAGTGGGGGATAGTTGGTTTACCTTTAGACCTTCGATCATTATGGTTAAAGTTTACTGCATTGTTGCAACCCCAGCGATGTGCTTTGTTGTTGTGTGGCAGGCGGCTCTCCCAGCAGGAACTCGCACATCCTGGCGATCAGCGACGGCGTCGTATCGCCCACGCGGCGCAACGTTGCGGTACGTCGTCCCGCTCCGCTCCCCTCGCCAGGGCACCACCACCTCCTGCTGCACGCCCAGCACGGCAAGCTGCAGCAGAGGCAGCAGCAGCAACAGCAGCAGCAGCAAGAACGACTGCAGGACAAGTCACAGCTTGACAAACAGCTGCTAGAAAAGCAGCAGCAGCAGAGGGTGCAGCAAGAGAAACAGCAGGAGAGGCAGCAGCAGCAGCCAGAGAAACAACACAAACAACAGCAGCAGCAGGAGGGACTGTCATTAGATAAACAGCAGAGACAGCAACAAGTCAAACAACCAGAAAAACAAACGCAAAAGCAACAGCAGCAGGTCAAACAGCAGGACCGCCAGCAGCCAGATAAGCAACAGCAAAGGCAAGACAAACAGCAGGCGGAAAAGCAACAGCAAAGGCAACAGCCGGAGAAGGAACAGCAAAAACAGCAGCCTGAAAAGCAGCCAAAGCAGCAGATGGAGAAGTTGCAGCAGAAACAGCAGGACAAGCAGCAGCAGTTGGAAAGGCAACAGCAGAAGCAACAAGAGAGACACCAACCGGAGAGGCAACAGCAAAAACAACAGCTCGAAAAGCAATCGCAGAAACTGCAGGACAAGCAGCAGTTGGAAAAGCAGACACAGCAGCAGAAACAGCAGCTGGAAAAGACACAAAAGCCACCACAAGAGAGGCAGCAGCAGCAAGAAAAACTGAAAGAGCAGCAGCTTGAGAAGCAGCCACTAAAACAGCAGGACAGACAGCACGCGGAAAGGCTACAGAAGCAACGTCAGGAGAAGCAGCAAAGGCAACCACAACTGCAGCAACAGCACAAGCATCATGAGAAACCGTCTCAGTCAAAACAGCCAGCAGAGAAACAGTTGAAACAACAGCCATCAGAGAAACAGTCGAAACAACAGCCAGCAGAGAAACAGTTGAAACAACAGCCTTCAGAGAAACAGTCGAAACAACAGCCTTCAGAGAAACAGCCGAAACAACAGTCATCAGAGAAACAGCCAAAACAACAGTCATCAGAGAAGCAGTTGAAACAACAGCCATCAGAGAAACAGTCGAAACAACAGCCATCAGAGAAGCAGTTGAAACAACAGCCAGTAGAGAAGGGTCAGAAACAACAGCCAGCAGAGAAACAGCCGAAACAACAGCCATTAGAGAAACAGCCGAAACAACAGCCATCAGAGAAACAGGCAAAACAACAGTCATCAGAGAAACAGCCAAAACAACAGCCATCAGATAAACAGTTGAAACAACAGCCTGCAGAGAAACAGTCTAAACAACAACCGGAAGAGAAACATCCGAAACAACAGTCATCAGAGAAACAGCCAAAACAATCGCCATCAGAGAAACAGCCGAAACAACAGCCATCAGAGAAGCAGCCGAAACAACAGCCATCAGAGAAACAGCCGAAACAACAGCCATCGGAGAAACCGTCTAAACAACATCTGGTAGAGAAAAGTCAGAAACAACAGTCATCGGAGAAAGCGTCTAAACAACAGCCGGCAGAGAAACAATCAAAACAACAGCCGGCAGAGAAAACTCCGAAACAACAGCTGGCAGAGAAACCGTCTAAACAACAGCTGGCAGAGAAAAGTCAGAAACAACTGTCAACAGAGAAACTTTCTAAACAGCAGCCGGCAGAGAAACAGTCTAAACAACAGCCGGCAGAGAAAACTCAGAAACAACAGCTGGCAGAGAAACTGTCTAAACAACAGCTGGCCGAGAAAAGTCAAAAACAACTGTCTACAGAGAAACCGTCTAAACAGCAGCCGGCAGAGAAAAGTCAGAAACAGCTGTCTACAGAGAAACTGTCTAAACAGCAGCTGACAGAGAGAAGTCAGAAAACACAGACATCAGACAAAAGTCAGAAACAACAGCCGCCAGAGAACCCGCTGAAACAACAGCATTTAGAGAAGCAGTTAAAACAACAACAACAGCAGCAGGCAGAGAAAAGTCTGAAGCAGCCAACAGAGAAGCAGCTTAAACATCCAGAAAGACAGCAAGAGAAGCATCACCAACAGAAACAGCAGTCCCAGCAGAAACAGCCACAGCAGAAGCATGATCGGCCACACGAGAAGGAGCATCAGAAACAACAACAGCAGCAGCAGCACGAGAAACAGCACGAGTTGTCACCACAAAAGCAACAGCAAGACAAGCCACGTGAGTTACAGCAGAATCAGCAGCAGCAGCCGCCACAGAAACAGCAAGAGCAGCACGTGGAAAAGCAGCAGCAACAGCAGGTTCAGCAGCTGAAACCACAGCACAAGCAGCAGTCTTTGACTAAACTACCAGACAAGCATCAGCAAGCCCCTTTTCCACAAAAGCAGCTCCAACATAGCCTACAAGAGAAACAGTCGGACAAGCAGCACAGGCAGCATCAGCTCACCCAACAGAAGCAGCTTCCCAGGCAGGAGAAGCCACAGCAGCAGCAGCAGCCGCAGCAGAGACAGCAAAAACAGCAGCCGGGCCAGCCTGAAAAACCCCATCAGCAAAGGACGCAACAGCCTACGCAAAAACAGGCGCACGGCAGCCAAGACAGCCAGCAGGAGAAACGACAGCAACACGCGCAACTGAGGCAGCAGCAGCAGCAACAGAAAGCGGACGTCAGGACGCCCGCCCCCAAAGCGACACCACACCCCCGCCCCTCCCTCAGCGTTTCCGCCCCGACTTTGACCACCACGGCGCCCGCGGCGGCGGCGTCTCTGCCGGCAAGCGGGCCCGGTGCCAGGATCCGGCAGCCGGCGCCGCCGCGGGGCAGGCAGCTCCTGCCGCCGGCGCCGCCGCCGCCGATCGGGCAGAGAATGGGGGCAAAACCTCCGTCGGCCTCCCCGTCGCCGGATGCCCGCCCGCAGGATAGACGCTCCGTCTCCAAGCCTGGTGGCGCCGCTCTTCAAGCCGGGGCGGCGCGGCGCACGTCGCCGGCCTCGTCCAGCGTTGCGTCGGTTTGCTTGTCGTCATCGTCGTCGTCATCCGATGACGACGACGATAAGAAGAAGGGAGGGAGGGCGAAGAAACAAAGGAAAATGACGGCCGCGGAGGAGGCCATTTTGGCAATGCCCCTTATGGCCATCCCTCCGCGCCCGCTGGCTTTGGGTCAACAAGGTCGGCAGAGCACGGTCAAACAGCCCCCTCCGCTCAGCACCACCCCAGCAACGGCTCCGGCAAAAGAGACTCCTGGCAAGCCGCCCAGAGGTGTCCAAACACCGTCCGTTCTGCCAAAAGGGTCAGCGGATCCCAGACACGGCGCGGCCGTCCTTGCTGCGCCGGCCAGCCTTGTCCCGGCGCCGGCAGCGGATGACGGCGATGAGGCGAAGAGGTCGAAGGAGGAGGCCCGCAGGGAGGTCGCTTTGGCGGCGACGGCGGTGAGGGTCGGGGGCGGCGCCACCGCTGACGATTTGTGCCACGAGGGCGACGGTGGAAAGGGACGTTCAAGCGAGGCGTTCGCGCCTGCAACGTCGGCCCCGTCGACCCCGTCGGCCCCCTCGGCCCCGTCGGCGCCATTGTCAAAGCGGGACAAGAAAAAGAAGAAGAAAGACAGCGGCAAGAAAAAGACGAAGGACAAGGATCGGTCAAGGGAGAGGCGGAGGAGAAAGTCGGCCGAACGGCGGTCGCGCAGCGAAAGTGCTGGCAAAGCGGCGTATGCCGCCGACGGAGAGGACGATGGCGACAAGAAGCAGGGGCCCAAGTCGCTCCCGAGCGACGATGCCGGCAGCGGCGTCGGTTCCGGCATCGGTTCTGGCAGCGGTGACGTCAGGGCGCCGGGAGGAGAGCCGGCGTCGAGCGTCCCGTGCGACCGGAGGGATGAAGCGCAGCCAAAAGGAACCAAGGTGTCCGTGGAGGCCTCGACTTCGACACCGGCGGGCGGACCGACGAGGGAGAAGTCGTCGGAACGCCGATCCGACGGTGCAGACAGCGTTAGGAAGCCCCCGCCCGCGGCAGCGGAGATGCAACCGCCCTCTGTCATGGCGGCGGCGGCGTCGGCGGACGGCGCGCTCGGCGGTGACGGCGAAACCCAGAGAGGCGGCGGTGAGAGGAGGTCGCAGAGCAAGGCGCGCAGCGGCGGCGATGGCGCCGGCGGTGGCGCCGGCGGTGGCGCCTGTGTTTCCGGCGTTTCTGGATCGGGCAGCAAGAAGGAGCGGGCGAAGATCTCGAGCGACGGTGCCACGTCGGATGTCGCGCCAAGCGCAGACACTAGCCGGTCGGCTTCCCCGGCAAAGACGGGCGCAAAGTCAGGAGGGGAGGATTCGGAACCGGCTCGGCCGCCGATGCAGCTGCTGGCGCGGCCGCCGGCGCAGCCACCGGCACAACAGAAGGAGCCGCTGGAGTGTCCGCTGTGCGGGCAGTCGTACTCCAACAAGTCACAGTCGCGCTTCGAGCGGCACGTGGCGCGGTGCAGGCACCGAGCGAGGAAGTCCAAGAAAGGGAAGGAAGTGAAGAAATCGCAGACGGCAGAAGCGCCATCCGCGTCAACCACCACCACCACCACGAGCAGCACCACCACCAGCAGCAGCACCACAGCGAGCGCCGCCATCACCACCGGCAGCAGCGTCGGTCACAAGGCTGACGGGGAATCTGAGAAAGACGCGACTGCGGAGGTGGCGCCGGAGCAAGCGCAGGCGCGCGATACCCGCCCAGAGAGGCAGCCGGAAGAGATGCAAGGGTGCGATCGTGACGCAGACCCGCCACACGCACACCACCACCACCACCGCCTTGCGGCAGCCGAGACCAGCCAAGCCGTTGAGGCCGGCGTCACAACGGACCGGAGCGTTCGGTCGCCCGAGCTCCAGGACGCAGTGCAGCCCGAGCAGCCGCACTCGCCGACGGCCAGCGGTGAAGCGAGCGCTGGGCAGCAGCAGCGGCAGCCTCGGCGGCAACAGGAGGAGGAGGAGGAGGAGGAACCGGCGAAGGTGGTGACGCCATTGCGCCGTCGCTACCCGAAGCGTAGCGCCCGCGCCCGTTCAGCGACGTGCTACGGGCTGACGCCGTTCTACGGCGTGCGCTCCTACGGCGGCGCCGATGCTGGGGACGCCGGGGACGCCGGCGCCTCGCCCTACGTCTCCCGTGGCAGGAGGGGGGCCGGTGGCAGCAAGGACCCGGCTACGCGCGGGCAGACGGACGGAGCCGACGATTACGACGACGACGACGACGATGATGACGGCGACGAGGACGATGATGACGGCGACGGCGGAACCCGTGGCCGCTTTGGAGAGCGCAGCTGCTACTTCAGTTACCCCCGCACGGTGCTCGGGATGGACGAGGTGGGTGACAACGAGGAGCGATTAGGAGGAGGGAACTGGTTCGGCGAGGAGGCTTGCGGCGACGATGACTACCTGCCGCGAATCGGACAGTTTGACGGGGCTGCCGACGACGACGACGAAGACGACGACGACGACGATGACGACGACGGCAGCAGCACCAGCTCCAACAGCGACGCTTCGTCGAGAGCGCCGTTTGACGACGACGACAACAACCACGGATCCGACGCCGCCGCCAGGTCGAGGAGCGGCAGCGACGATGGCGCCGGTAACGGTGAGGAGGAAGAGGAGGACAACGAGGTCAACGATGATGATGAAGGCGACGATGACGATGGTGGCGACGATGACGACGATGCCGACGACACGGAGAGCAGCGACGGGGTCGCTGATCGCAAGCGACGCACACACGCCAACAGTGACGATGACGACGACGATAATGATGATGACGACGACGACGAAACCAGCGCTGGCGGCGCCAGGCCCGGCAAGCACCAGGGCCACCGCATGCTGACCGGCCTCTCGGGCCTCACTCCACCAGGCGTTTCATTCGCGGGCGACGGTCTCCCTTTGGCGGCGGCACCAGCGCCGGTGGCGGTGGCCACCACCACCACCTCCTCTGCCACCTCCTCGTCATCGGCAGCGGGGTCGGCGCGGGCCGACGGGGACGCCGGTGCGGACACCTCGCCTCGCGGACCCTCCGACAAGGCCCTTCTGGAGAGCTTCGGCGCTGGCGGCTTTCCCGAGTCGGTCATCAGTGCCATCAGCGATGACTTTGGCAACATCCTGCCGTCTGACATCATGGACTTTGTGCTGCGCAACGACCCCGTGCTGGATTCCAGCGAGGAAGCAACGGACCTGGTGGCCGGCGTGGTCGCCGGCGTGGTGGCCGGAGCCAGCGCCGGCGGCGGCAGCGGCGCCGGCGCTGGAACGGTAGTGGTGCCGGTCGTCTCATCCACGCAGGGGCCGGCCGCGGTCGCCGCGGAGCAAGCGGTGGCGCCGCCTCTGGGCACTGTCCTGGAGCCGTCGGAGGAGCTGGTGGCAGCCGTGACGGGCGGGAGAGGGATGGGCGGCGACGGTGAGGTCGTGGCTGGTGGCGCGGCAGGCGTGGTCGCGGTCGCTGGCGTTACGGGCGTTGGCGGTGCCGGCGCCGGCGTCGGCAGGGAATCTGACGGCGAGCAGGGCAGCCTCATGGACATGCTGTCCCAGCAGCTCGCCGGCGTCCCGGCCGAAGCGTCGGCTGTGATCGTCGGAGCTGACGGGGCCGCGACCCCTGCAGTGGCGTCGCCGGTGGCTGCGCCGTTTGGTGAACTTCCGGCCGACCTTTGCGTGCTGACTACGCACGGCCCGGCCGGCAGCGCCGGCACCGCCCTCGCGACGGCGGCGGCAGCAACGGCCGGCGGCGGCGAAGGAGTGGCGTACGGTGCTTTGCCGGCATCGTCCGGCGGTCCCTCGCCGCAGGCGGTCGTGCTCGGCGTCCCTGCGCAGGCGCAAGCGCCCGCCGCGGCCGACGCCGGCATTTTTGCGGTGCTCGCGGGCGTTCACCCCGCGGCAGGGAGCGATGAGACACCGACCGTCATCTCTCCAGGGTGCTGCCCCAGCGCCGGCGCCGTGGCCGCTGTCCCCACCGCTCAGCAGCAGCAGCAGCAGCAGCCGGCCCTGTCAGTAGTTTCATCATCGGCAACGCCGGCGTTGCCGTCCGTGGTCGCTCCGGCAGAATCGCTCATCCCGCCGGCAGCCCCCGCTGGGGAGGAGCGCGACGGCGCCCAGGGCTCGTTCGCGTCGCCCCTCATGGGCGCTTCAATCGCCGTCGCCGGCGGCGCCCAGACGGTGCCGACCGCCGCCGAATCCCTGTCGGTAGCGCCGCCGCAGGCGTCGGCGCTGTCCTTCGGGCCGCTGATCGTGGTGGACCAGAATGGGCAGCCGCTCTACATCCTGCAGCCGCAGGCGTGCGGTGAAGGGCTCGGCGCCGGTTTCGCGCTGGCGCCTCAGCCGTCCGTGAGCTCGACTTTGCAGCAAGCGCTCCCGTTCGGCGTCGAGATGGCGTTGACGGCCGGAACGACGCCGGGCTTCTTGCAGCCAACGTCGGTGGCGGGGGTCAGCACGGGAGTGTCCGGCGCCGGCGCCCAAAGCTTCGTGGGCTCCAACTTCGTGCTGACATCTTCGCCGGTGACGCTCGGCGCTCAGACGCAGAACTTCGTCTTGGGCGCCGGCATAAGTTCGCTGCTGTCGCAGCAGCAACAGCAGCAGCAGCTGGAGAGAGCCTTCGCCGGGCTCGGCCAGCAGCTGGGCAACGCCGTCACGAGCACGGGTGCCGCGTACCTGACCCCCGGCGCCGTCCAGCCGGTCGGCACGCAGGCGGTGCTCGCGCCCTTCGGCACGCAGCTCTCGCTGCAGGAAGCCGGCATCGGCATCAACGCGGCGCTAACGGTTCCTGCGGCGCTCCACCACCACCACCAGCAGCAACAGCAGCAGCAGCACGCGCACGCTGGCGCGCAACTGCCCGCAGTGGCGGCACCACCACAGGCTCGCGTCGGGGCCGGCGCGAGTAAGAGGCCCGCCAGCGGGAAGTCGTCGGGCGCCGCGCGGAGGAATAAGAAGATAGCGCCGTCTTCGCGTGGCACGGAGCCGGCTGGGCCCAACATGGCTCTGCTCAATTTCACGCCGGCTGCTCAGACGGAGGCGAGCGGCGCGGCCGGGGTCGCCGGCTTGAGCGGCGCCGACGCGGCAGCCCGGCCCATTCAGCGCACGCTGCCTGCCATTCTACGGCGCTCGCAGTCGGGTCTGCTGTACCTAGAGCAGCAACAGCAGCAGCAGCAGCAGCAGGTGCCTTCCTCGGCCGCCATAATTAACCCGGCGCTGGCGTTCGGGGCCCAGGCGGTTTCCGGATTTACCAGCGCTGCCGTCTCGTCGGTTGCAGAACCATCCATTTCGTCGGCGGTCAGCACCGCGCTGACCATGAACGTGATGAGCCTCATCCCAACGCAGCAGCAACAGCAGCAGCTCGGAGCCACGTCCGCTGCCTCCATCTTCGGACCGCTGCTGGCGGCCGGCGGGGCCAGCAGCGCCTCGTCCATCGTCGCTCCCTCAACCTCGTCGCCAACCTCCACAGCGCCCTCTTCGTCGTTAACTCCTTCGCTGCTGGGAGCTGACGCCCAGCCAGGCGGAATCAGCGGCCTGCTGCTCAAGGCGAGCCAGCAAAGTCTCGGTCTGACCCAGCAGCAGCAGCAGCAGGCTCAGAGCCACATGCATCTGCAGTCGCAGCTTCACCACCAGCAACAGCAGGCGGTGCCGGTGTCTCTGGGCAGCTCCCTGCTGTCGCAGCTGTCACACGACTGCGCTTCGGCGCAGCAGTTTGGCGCGGCCTGCCCGCTGCAGCCGCCCCCGTCGCACGACGCCCTGAGGACCATCAGCACGGTCGACGGGCGCGCCATCGGGGTCATGACCTCGCCGCTCGACCTCCCGCTGCCGCAGCCGCCGCACGCCCACGCTCAGGGTCACGCTCAGGGTCACCAGGCGGCCTTCTGCCGGGGCGGTGGCGGCGAGGCGACCCCGTCGCACGGTCACCACCGCTCTCGCGGCAAGCGGGCCGGCTCGCCGGCGCCGGGCAGTGCCGGCAAGAGGGCCCGCGGGGTCCTCGTGTGGACCGACGCCTTCGGGGTGCAGCACGGCATGTTGGGGGCGGCGGCGGCGGCTCCGTCACCGGCCGTGGTGGTCTCTTCGTCGATGTCTTCGTCGTCGTCGTCGTCATCGTCGTCCTCGTCGGTGTCGTCGTCGTCTTCGTCGTCGCCGTCGGCTGGAGCCACGGCCGCGATGGCGAGGTGAGGGGGGGGAAGTTACAGAGGTCGCGATTTGTGGATTTGTCGAGTCGATGCATAAAAAATGCGGTTGCGGTCGATGAGCACAGACCCCAAAGGCCTAAAACCTGAAGCTGTCGACAAAAATAGCACGACTAAAGGTGTAATGGGTTTCTTAATTCGAACAAGGGTTCTGAGAACTTGAGAAAAGAGACGGTGGGTGGGAATTCCAAAGTGGAGCAGTGTGATGAAAGGAGCCGTAAGAGAAGTGTTTTTTGACCTTCGGCACGATATGTGTGGCTGTATGTTGGAACTTCTTTCGCAACGTACGTAACCAACCGTGCTAATCGTACTGCCTTCCCTGGAGATAGATCGCAGTACGGATGAAATGACACGGGCTGGTTGATTGTTACGCGAATGGCGAATGCTTTAATATGCCTCTAAGAATCGGCTACTTGCAGTTGCTTGGAGATTCTACACAGCGCACCGCCACACAGACGAATCGGTTCCAGCGACTATCGCAGAAATGGTTGAAGAACACGTACCGCTGTTGAAAATAGTGAATAAGAGGAATCCGCAATGGTTTGGATGCGTAACGTTGGACTTATCCAACATCACCTTCCAGAGCGTGATAGAAGAAAACTGAACAATAGGAAGAGGCGACATCGAATGGATGGCAAATGTGATCGTGTGAACCGGTATGCCAGTACCACACCTGACGCAAAGTCGGTTAAGGACAGGCAAGGAGTTGACAGCCACTGCTGTTCAGAGATGAATGAGAACGATGGTGAGTGGGGAAGACAGTGGGTGGCCGTTAGCGCTGTCCCTCTGCAAACTGGGCACTGCATATTTGATTCTTTTGAATGTGGATACAGAATTGAATCGAAATGTAAAATACACATTTTTTTCATATTTGCACGAGCTATTTATTTGTCATTCCTTGACCTGTGATAGTTTTTTTCTCCACGCATTGGCCGTCAAATCTACTAAATTGCCGTGCCAAAATCTCACTTGTGAACAAATGCCCCCGCCCCCACCCATTCTGGTAAAGGCGAAAGCCCTGTGGGCCCTGTTTTGTTTTTCTGTTATATTTAAATTTCTTTGCGTCCGTTTGCGTTTTCCCGTTGCAGCGCCGCGTCGCTGTCGAGCGCCGAGCAGGCGGTGCCGCAGCCGATGGCGCCCGACGCCCAGGTGGAGCTGTACGGGGACGTGGGCGGCGGCGCCGTCGGGGACGTGGAGGAGATGGACGGGACCGGCGCGGTGCACGCCGCTCACGGCGACTGCGAGAGGTTCATCGATGGTACGGCCGCGCCCCGCCGCCGTTGTCAAACACGCGCACGCCTGCTTTTGCGTGCGTGCCGAAACGCGCGTGTGCGCAACCGACCTCAAAAGAGAAATGCACGAGTGCACGCACGCGTGCACACACACACACGCGTGTACACTCAAGGACACATACAAAATGTGTGTTCAGTTTGTTGTCTTTCCCCCGCCCTCCGCCGCACCTGCCGACTAGCACGGTTGACTACGTGCGATGCGAAACAAGTTCAGCATACATGCATTAATATGAAGTTAAAGGTCCCCCGTGTAGCCTCAGCAGACTGTTGGAGCAAGTGCTGTTAGCGAGCACCTAAGAAGGCCGCCACGGCACACGTGGGGTTGGGTGGCCAACGCCACGCTCGGCCACCTTTGTCTCTCCAGTGGCGACGTTTACACAGCCCACTAGGTACTCATTTGAGGCTGAGTGGGCCGAGGGAAAACCCAGGACCGGTTCAGAAAATCGCCACTGTTGTCTGCCGTGAGCGAGAATCGGACTTGGGTTGCCGGTTTCGTAGCGCAGCGCGCTAACCGCTCCGCTACCGCTCCCCACACACATACACACACATGGACACAGACGCATGAGCTCAAGACGCGTACACACAAACAGAAACGTCAAACATGCGACAAACCAGTCTCGAACAAAACTTGCATCCGACTCCTCTCCCTTGCACCTCCTAGCCGGCTGCGACGACGATGAGGACGACGACGACGACGACTGCGATGAGGACGCCGGCGACGTGGTGCACACGCTGGAGGCTGACGCTGAGGAAGAGGAAGAGGAGGTGGGGGGGGAGGAGGAGGGGGAGGAGGAGCAGCAGCAGCAGGAGGAGGAGCAGCAGCAGGAGCAGACGGTCGGCGATGACGACGACGATGGCGGCGGAGACGATGGCGGCGAGGAGGTGGCGTTCTCGTCCCCGCTGCTGGTGCTGCGCGAGCGGGAGGAGCGCGAGGAGGAGACGTGCGGCCGCTGGGAGCGCCGCCGCAGCAAGCCGGGCCTCCTCTTCGAGATCACGAGCGACGACGGATTCAGCACCACGTCGCACTCCATCGACGGTGACGCTTTGCCAACCATCCGCCACCCGCCTGGACTTGTCTGTTGCGCTCGGCGCAGTGCCACTCCGCGCCAGCCAGGTGGCGCCGGCCACGGCTCGCTGCACTTGCAAACTAAACGAAAAACTCGCGGCAATGGGTTTTTCTTTTCGTGGGGTTATACCCTCCAACACGCCGGTGTGCTGAAGTCGCAACGAATTGGCACTTCTTTTTTACGTGACAAACCTTACTAATTGGCTGTGTCGGGTGGTGGCAACCAAACGCTCGAAACTAAACACTCGAAGCGCGTGATGTTGATTATACATGTGGAGGGATAAACCGGAGGACCCAAGGAAAAATCCTTGCAACCACAGGGAGAGAAACATGCAAACTCCAAAGGCATCGGGGTCGGGATCAAACCCACGACCTCCTGTATACCAGGCGACGTAGTTAACATCTCACCAACGTGAAATCCCTGTTTTTTAGCACGATGAAAACCATTCGCTATATTGAACTCACTCGCTCGTTCACCCACTCACCCATCTCGTCCGTCTCGTCCGTCATCCTTGCCTCGTCTCTCTCTGTCTCCAGTAATTACGTCTCAGTCGGTGAGACCTTGAACCAGTCTCCTAAAATTGCGTGCCCGTGCGTGTGTCTCTCCCCGTATCTCCGCGTGTCTCCTCGTGTTCTCCCCCCCCCCTCCCCCACGCGTCTTGGCGTCTCCGCCCCCGTACAGAAGCGTGGAAGGCCGTCACGGACCGGGTGCAGGAAGCGAGAGCCAACGCTCGCATGAAGCAACTCTCCTTTGCAGGTGGGATCCTTCAAACTGTTACGTCTGTGGAAAAAAAGAGCTTTGTAGCTCGTCGGATTTCTCCAGGATGAATAAAGATTCTGATTCGGAAACCCCCCTCACTCCCCCTCACACCTCCCCTCGACCTCTTTTGACCCCTACCCCCCCTGGGCCTCACACCACCCTTCCCCCCGAGCCCTATCACGTGCTGTTTACTTGTACGCTCATTGCTTTGACAAGTTCACCCAGAATGCACTTGATCTCATTAGATCTCGGAAGCTAAGCTGGCTTTTTGATCAAGTTTTTAGACATCCATAATAGACATTTCTTTGTATTCAAACACGTAAAAATATATGTTATTTTATTCTTCCACGGAATACAACTTGATTCTACTTTGCTACATTAACCGCAGATGGCTGTCTAGTTCTGAACACATGAAAACTGCAAGTTTGAACTCAGGGCTTTGACCTCTGAACTGCCCAATCAGCTGACCCAGCAATGCGCGTCTCGATATTCATGGTCTCTCGTGGCGATTTGTAAAATCAGCGAATTTCTGTAATCGCACTTGAGCGGGGCGACACACGTTCGATTCCCACTCGCGTCCAACACCAGTGGCGATTATCTCAACCGCTCCTGGGCCTCCCCTTGGTCGACTCGGCCTCAAATGAGTACCTGGTGCGATGTTTAAACGTCGCCACTTGGAAGACAAATGCGGGCGGGCGTGGTGCTTGCCACCCACCGCCTCGTGTGCCGTTCCTCCGGCCTTCCCAGGCGCCACACGCTAACGCTACTTGCTTCCCAACAGTCTATTGAAGTCTATGCCGGGGGGGGGGGGTGATGTCTGTCTTTGCTCGTGCGTCAGGTGTGAGCGGCGTGTGCATGCTCGGGTTGGCTCACCACGCCGTCATCTACCTCATCGAGCAGCTGGTGGGCGCTCACGCATGCCGGGGATACAAGTTCTGCTTCCACCAGCAGCACGAGGCGGCCGAGCTGCCGCTGAACCCGCACGGCTGCGCACGCGCCGAGGTTTACCAGCGGTACGCGCAAGCGGGGGGGGCTATCGCTTCGTGGGCACAAATACGACGAGGATTTGACCTCTCAGATAGAGCCATGCTTTACAGTAAGAATGCACGGACGTTTGTGTGTCTGCGAGCTTCTTTCGCGCCGTACGTAGCCAACCGTGCTAATCGGAGGTGCGGGGGAAGGACGACAAAACTGAAACACAAAAATGCAGTGAGAAAGAAATTCGTTTTCAAAGTGCATAGCCTCCAGTGGCATAAAATAATAAAAATTATTAAATTGTAATTATTTAACACTTAGATTTTTGCGCCCAGTGTTACGTATTTTAGTTAAAATGTACGTCATTTGAAGAAAAATCGATTGTTATAGAACCGACGGGTTATAATCTACCATCCGGGCCTATGGGATAACCGCTGAAAGCAGGGATCCTCTATGGTTGCAGTCGACAGTTTGTTATTCTGTCGGGGATAACAGAACGGTATCTCCCGCCACAGGCAATCGTCCTTCGACATGTTCAACTTCCTGGCGTCGCAGCACCGAGCTCCTCCGCCATACAACCCCCACGAGGAGGAGGAGGATGAGATCCAGCTCAAGTCGGCTCGGTTCGCACGCCCGTGGCTCATGTTCGCCTGCTCCCTCCCTCCCTCCCTCGCTGTCTCTCCCTCGTTCCATTCATCCATCCCTTCCTCACTTCCCGCTTTCCTCCCTCTCTCCTCTCCATTCTTCGTAACCTCTATCCCTCCCTCCTGCCCACCCCCTTCATCCATTCCTCTTTCCCTCCCTCCCTACACCCCGTCCGCTCACCCGCTCACCATCGCTTACCACCGATTGCTCGATTTCGCGATTAAATAACTTGTCGCCAATGGAGCGGCTGGTGAGCAGTGGATGTTGCGATGTTGTTTACAGTCGTGCCACCAGTATGGATCTGCCCATGGCGATGCGCTTCCGCCACCTGAAGAAGACATCCAAGGAGGCCGTTGGCGTTTACCGGTAATGGCAAACGAGCCAACTTAGACACACCACCGATCATCTCCTGTAATCGTAACGAAACAGCCAAACGAGAAACTCGGCTCACGCTCCGCACTAACCACACCGGCCAACCTGACGCTCTGACCCTAACCATAACAACACTCACCAGCTGGGCAGAAAACATTTACCCCTAACCACACGAACCGCAACTAGACACTAATCCTCTCCGCTAACTGTAGCCACACGAGTCAACCAGACACTCATCATTTCCACTAGCCCTAATCACACCAGCCAATTGAACTCTAACCCTAACCACACAAACCAGACAGACACTAATCCTTATCCCTAACCATAATCACACGAGCCAACCAACCAGACACTCTCCCTAACCATTAACCCTTGGCTATACTAGTCAAGTATAAACTAGCTTTACCTCTAATCATAACCATACTAAACAAACCCTATTCTTAACTTTGTCCCTTACCACACTACTAATCAGACCATCCCCTTACTTGGGAAAAAACCAACAAACCCGCACATCCGGCCTGTAGCGATAACCCCCACTACCCCGCTGACTCTTACCGGGGACACAAATTCTAGCCCACCTCTGGCGCTCGCATGGACCCTTTTTTTCACTCTGAATTCTTTTTAACTTTTAGTGCTCTCAGAAGACCTGATTTGTGTGCGCCTACATACGCGTGTGTGTGTGTGTGTACGTGTTCGTGTGTGGGGAGCGGTAGTGTAGCGGTTGGCACGCTCCGCTATGAACCCCCGGCGACCCAAGTTCGATTCCCGCTCACGGCCACCACCAACACCGGTGACGATTATCTGAACCGGTCCCTGGGGCCTCCCCTAGGGCGGATTCAGCCTCAAATGAGTACCCGGTGCGGTGTGTAGTAAATATCGCCACTGGGGAGACAAAGGCGGCCTTCATAGGTGTTGCTGCTCGCTAACAGCGATACGTGGGGCGGCGGCGGGGGGGGGGGGTGGGGGGGGCGCGCGGAATCTTTGTCTTTGTAGCTCTGCCATACACGGGCGGGGCCTGTTCTGCAAGCGCAACATCGACGCCGGAGAGATGGTCATCGAGTACTCGGGCATCGTCATTCGCTCGGTGCTCACCGACAAGAGGGAGAAGTACTACGACAGCAAGGTAGGCGCCAGCGGCACTCTGTGCACGACGAGTCGGAAAGCTCCGGCTTTAATTTCCCCTTGCGCGGCCGGTGGTGTCGTGACACGAAGTGTTGCAATTGTTGAGAATCGGAATTAGAATATTTCTTGAGCTTGGAGGAATGCGATGAGCTGCAAGGCTCTTTTCGCAGTCCTCTTGTAATAAGCAGTGCTGTGGATAGGCTGGTCACCACCGTAGAAATGTGGAATTTCCACCATTGTTGGCTCTCAAGCAGGAATGCAGTTGAGCATCGGCAAGTGTCTGTGTGCTTTGTCTTTGTGGGCAAGCGTCACACCTATTTATACATGTTGTAGTATTGTGACACGAGGGTGCAGTGCGTCGTCCCGTGTTATAGAGCGGCCCTCCAGAAGAAACAAAACTGCTTCTGGATTCGCTTCCAGTGCCCTCCTGTGCAGACGAGTGGCAACCGCTGTCTCCGCTGCCGTCCTCACGACTGTCCCCACCGCTGTCCCCGTCGCCATCCCCCATCGCAGGGCATCGGCTGCTACATGTTCCGCATCGACGACTTCGAGGTGGTGGACGCGACGATGCACGGCAACGCGGCGCGCTTCATCAACCACTCGTGCGAGCCCAACTGCTACTCGCGGGTGATCGGCGTGGACGGCGCCAAACACATCGTGATCTTCGCGATGCGGCGGATCGCGAGGGGCGAGGAGCTCACCTACGACTACAAGTTCCCCATCGAGGACGCCGGCTCCAAGCTGCCGTGCAACTGCGGCGCCAAGAGATGCCGCAAGTTCCTCAACTGAGAGCCGCTGAGCCGTACTTGCACCGACCCCCCCCCCCCCCCCCCAGCGCATCCCCCCCCCCCCGTGTCCGGCACGAGAGGAGGGACGGACGCGCCTCGCGGAAAGGGAGGAGGAGAGAGCGGAAAGGGGGGAGCGGAGAGAGTCGCGGCGGCATCGTCGGCTGCGGCGGCGCCTATCGCCAGCGACGGTCCCGAGGATCGGACGACCGGGTTGTGCGACCGCGACGACGGAGTTGGTCGGGGACTCGATGGGAGAAGTGAAGTCTCCCGTTCGTGCGCCTCGGAGCTGAGGGGCGGTGGCGGCGGCGGCGATGGACCCGCCGAGCTCGAACTGCCTTCATGTCTTGCCGGTTTGAAGCACGGGGCCGATTTATTTTTTACCTGGGGTTCAACCGGTTGTTCCCCATCTCTGGGATCTTCGCCACCAGAGACTTGAGGTCGGTCGGGTCGGGTTGGTGGTATGGTCGGCACGCACACCGAGAGACGGCACAACGTGCGCGAAGCTGGCCCGTGTTGGGTCGTGACCTCCGAGAACATGGCGACGCCGTCGCGTGAAGAGGTCACGCGTCGCATATGACGTGGAAAGCAAAAGCTCGATTTGAGTCGCGCTTTAACGATGATGATTTTAAAACAACAACAACAACAAAGAAGAAGAAGAAAAAACACGGCGGCACGTTTAAGTAGCATCCCGTCAATGGATTTTGGAAATTGTGTGGATAGTGTGTGCCCGGTCGTTGACAAAATCAAACGTACTCGGACTGAAACAGTACTCGCTCCTGACTTGCCGGGGAATGTGTCGTGGTAGGGTCGCATACGTTGCGGACCGTGCCGTGCCGAGTTTTTTTTTAATTGCATATATATTTGTATTCGTTGCGTAGACCATCGTCGAAATTCGTTGCCCTTGAGTGACCAGCTGGCCAGAAGGCCCCCCACCGACTTGTCTGGTTTGCCAGCACGGTTTAAAGTAAAATTCTGTTCCCTTTTGAGAGGAGAGCATTTTGCCGCCAAAATATATTTGCAAGAGCCCCCCATGCAACTATTTGCAGTGAGTAAAAAAAAAGTCCCCTTGCCAGCGGTTTCCGCGTGCTACCACCGCCACTGCCGTTCGTGTCCACGCGAAATCACGTCCGTGTCGTGCTCTGCACGTTTGCCAGTGGGGGGGGCCGGTGGGGGTGGGGCGGTGGGGGTGCCCAGAGAGTGACCATTCGATTCCCACCACCACCCCCCCCCCCCCCCCCTCGAATAAACCAAAGCGTGCCGTCTGCCCTACGGGGCTGACGTTAAAAGACTCGGCGACGTCGTCGTCGTCGTCACTCGCAACAGTCGATTCGTTGCTTGTCGATTGTCAAGATCCCAAGTACTAAATTTCATATATATACGCACAACTAAATTGTGATTTAAAAAAATGTACTGTCCTTACGCGACTGCGGCACTCCGGGTCTCCAGTGCAAAAGATCTAGACCGCGTTCTGAATTGGCTTTCAACCCGTTAAAACGAAAGGGACTTTTGTTTTCTTCCATCGTTCCCCATAGAGCCGTGGCGAAAAAGCCAAGGATGTGTAGCGTGGTTGGCATGGGCCCTAGTGCAGGCATTGAAGTGGGCTCACCTTGTCCAACTTCCCCCCCCCTCCCACTCCCTCCTCATAGCCCGGTACCCGTGGCGCCCCCCTCCATCCCGTGGGGACCCCATTGCAATTGCAGCGTTCGCGTGCGAGAGGTTATAACTTCCCATCCGGGCGAGGGGGTGGATGGGGGTGCTGGCGATGTAGAGGCAGCCTATTGTTCCGCCGAGGTTGTAGAAATGTAACGCCGCTTCTATGACATTGAAAAGTAGCCCTTTTTTTGGGGGGGGAGATTGATCACTGCCACAAGGTTACAAAACGTCCACCAGTGGCTCGGGCTCCACCGATTGGGGGTGAACCCTTCTTAAGAGTTCAGGAGCGGTTGTACGGCGCAGATCTGTCGCCCGCGTTTTACCCGGGGGGAACGCTGCGAGCTCTGTAAGGGGGAGGGACCGGTGTTTTTTCAGGCCACGGAGCAAACGATGATGCCACGATAAGTGATTATTATTATTATTGTTCGCGTCACCGGGCACCACAACCGTTCCGTGGCGTGCGTGAAACATCATACGCCCGTGCATTCTTACGTTGAGCCGAGCGAGCGCGATAAGGGAAGTCGCCCAAGGGAGCTGTGGAGCAGTGAGAGAGAAAGATTCGGCACGAGTTTGCGCGCGTGTTTGTGATGTGCCTGTTTTGCACCAGGACGTACGTAACAGGTGGGGGTGCGTGCGAGCATCGAAGGCAGGGCGGGACACGCATTGTAATGTAGATGCTTGCCACATGCGCTTACTACACATGCTTGCACACTGACGCATACGTACATGTACAGGTCTGCATACGTTCACGTGTACATCCCACAACATGATAATAATGCCCATATTCACACGCATCCAGATGTACATTCACGTGAATACTAAAAACCATGTATGTATGTATGCAGACTGATAGACACACACGCACATGTCTGCATAATGTATGCATACCACCTAATATTGATGCCCACATATTAACGTACAGAGATGTATAATAGATAACACATATACGTGCCACCTAACACTTTTATACTGTTTGTTTATACGTAGATTTATGTGTAAACATACTGCACAATATTGATGCTATCCACTTATATAAATACGTGTGTACATACCACCAAAATTTGATTCAAACATACCCAAGTACGTAAGTACATACGCAAGTAAATACATGCACGTAGAATACACGTGTGCGTACAATTTAATACAGTATACACATATATGAAAGTCCGATTCTATCCAGGTGTACATCAACTTGTGTACAAACCCATATGTACACAAGTCTGCGTACACATATGCGCCCTAACACCCGTGTACACATACTAAGGTTGCCGCGATATGGCGACACCACCGCATGTCATACGATCCACTATTATCGTTTCGGTCATTTGGCAAGATGTTGTCATAACGTGATAACCGTTGCTCGGAAAAATAATTTTCTTAAATATTTCAATTCCTGACAAAATATTAAACGCGACAACGATTCGGTGAAGTTCATAATGATGATTTAAGTTCTAAAGGAAAGCAACCGTCCCCCGTTAAAAGTTATTTGTAGAAAGAAAATAATAGGTAGCTATTGAGGGCACGCATCCCGATTGTGTAACGTTGCCATTTTTCTGACAGCGTGTGTGATTGTTGTTAAGGGCGTCACGGTGGCTAGGAGATGTTATCACCCTCGCCTGGTGTACAGGAGGTCGTGGTGTTCCATCCCGACCCTGACGCCTGCTGTATATTTGGAGATTCCGTGTTCTCCAGGATTTTGCTCCAGGTCCTCCGGTTTTTTCCCTCCACATTGAGAATCAACGTTTACCCATTTAGAGTATTTGGCTGCATATAAATGTCCACGTGATGACAAGCCACTTAGTTGAGCTGTCATTTGTGGCCAGGTCGCTTCTGAAAAAAAAGAGCTGTATAGCTCAGTGGGCCTTAGCGGGTAAAATAAAAATAAAAAAATTCGTTGAGTTATATATTGTAGTTGGTTATAATACGTAGCAGGAGTGAACTGCAGATGATTAACCTTTCAGCCATCCTTCAAAAACAATAAGACCCCAAAAATTTGTACACAATTACGTTATGGAGAAACCGAGCTTTGCGGTAAAATAAATCGTAAACATTTGGTGTGGAATTCGTTTGTGAAAATTAACGATATTACAGCAGGCCTTCCTAACTCATACCCACATAACAGAGACAAAGGCATCCCCGCTCCCCCGTAACAGCACTTGCCCCAACATACCCACAGCTACCCATAAATACAGGAATGCATATGTACATCCAGATACCAATTGGACTACTTATGCACTCGCCCACGTACGATATGTTATAGAAGCTTATGTACACGCACACTTTACCTGCGCAAAAATGACCACATGGCCATACGCATGCATACTTATGCATTTAGTTAACGGGCATCAATACACGTATGATTTGCATGCTTTGCATACAATAAACATATGCACACACGTGTAAAATGTAAATACACTTGCATGTTCAGTTTTAAACACGTTGCACTCGTGCGTATGCATACATGTACACGTATACATACACACGTATACATACACACGTATACATACACATGCAAAACACACGTGGCAGGTGGCAGGTTTCCTGGATATGGCGTGAATTGAGAAAATTAATACCCAGCTGTTACAATAGAGCGAGAGAGAGAAAGTGGGGGGGGGGGGGGGTGCATGGGGGGGGTGGTTAGGAGGGGGGCAGGAGCCCCCCCCCCCTCGATTTTGCTGCAAATTAAAAATAAAAAAATTTACGTATATAGCAAACTCAACCAAACCTTACTTTCGTACATGAAGGCATTTATAAGATTTACATTTTATATTAACGGTTTCGCTAATTTCGTTTTTAAAAAAAAATTCGTGGGGTAAAATTCCCCGTTATTTAACTGTTGCCTTATGCTGTTGTGAATGCGCATATGGGGTTGCGTTTGTGCGTGCGTGCGCGTGCGTGCGTGTGCGCGGGGAGCGGTGGTGCGGCGGTTCGCGCATTGCGCTGCTATCCCAGCGGCGACCCCCTGGGTTCGATTCGCAACCGTGTGGACAACGTAATTGGCAAAGCGGTTTAACCTGAACCTGTTCTGGGCCTTCCCTCGGACGACTCGGCCTTAAGTGAGTACCCGGTGTGGTGTGTAGAACATCAGCACTGGGGGAGACAAAGGCGGCCAGGTGTGGTCCGGGCCACACCAGCCTTAATAAGTGCTCTCGCCCACAGCTCTTCACCCAACAGTCTGTAAGGCTAACTTGGGGGATCTTTGTCTTGGCGTGTGTGTATGTTTTCTTCTGTGTGTGCGTGCGTGCGTGCGTTGGGAGTTTTACCATTTCGGGATTTTTTGTTGTTGTTGTCGATGAACACTTAGGAAATGTTAACAAACTGCAGTGAAATTATGAAAAACGGGTTTTTCTCTCCCATCATCCAAAACAAAACTTGCAGCAAAATCATGGGACAAGCGATAACTTTGAACGTCACTCGTCGTTTCTGCGTTTGTCCATTGTCGTCGTCGTCGTCGTCATCGTCCGTGTACTAAGTTGGTCGCTGGGGTTTTTATTTTTTAGCGACATTTTAATAACCGTAGATGTGTATTTAAAATTAAAGTAATGACAAAAAAATACAGCGATCACTAAAGGCGGACGGGTAAGTTCTTTTTAAAAAAAAAATAGTCAAATGGAAAAAAAAATGGAAAACAAAAAAATACCCATACTTTTTAGAACTAGTCGCCTAAACCTATAGGGATCGTTCGTGAATGTATAATTGTGTTCTCGCTTGAGGCTGTGTTTTTACAGTACTGTCATGTTGAAACAGAAAAGCACTAACAAGGATACCAGTATTTGTGGTCCTATCTTTTGTAAAAAAAAAAACTTTTTTGTCGAGTCGGTCTATCTTGTGCTTTATATTATTATGCAGTATTATTATTCGTATAAACTTGGAGAGCCCTATAAACCATCGTGTCTTGTTGTTGTTGGTGCTGCTGAACATGTGTGGGTGAGCGGTAGTGTAGCGGTTACTGCGCTACGAACCTGGCGACCCGTGTTCGATTCCCTCTCACCAGTGACAATTATCTGAACCGGTCCTGGGCTTCCCCTAGGTCGACTCATCCTCCAATGAGTACCCGGTGCGGTGTGTAAACATCGCCACTGGTGAGACAAAGACGGCGGGGGCCTTTGTCATTGAGCAAGTACCCCCAGCTGTCCTGAAGCCACATGCATGAGCCTCCACCAGCACACAAGAGGCTGACGGTGACTCCGCTTGAAGAATGGCGATGCAGGTTCACTCATCTGCGGGTCCTCCTTCACCACACGAGCCCATCTCTTCCCCAGCCCGTGCCGCACCTGTGCAGCACAACCCTATCCCAAAAGAGGGCTGCTTGCATCTTCATGAGCCAGCGGTTGGCCACCTACGGTCTCGAAAGAAGTTCAACATACGTACTACCAACCACCTTTGTATCCCCCGCTGCTGACGGCAACCACTGCCTCCCAACCAAGGTACTCATTTTATGATGGGCGTTCGACGTGATTCACCCCCACTGATCCATGATTTATCACGATAGGATTTCACATGTGAAGGATTTGGGTGTTTTGTTGTCTTTAACTGTGTCCGTTTGTATTCTAGGGCTAATTGCTGAGACATGCATTTGGCGTCGTCTCCAAGGGGTCCTGGCGACCCAAAGGGGGAGAGGAAACCCAAAGACTTGGTGGTGGGAGACTGCCAGGGCAGTTTCTAAAACTACACATTGAAAAAAAATGTTGTTTCGTTTTAGTTGCACGTCTCGTCTACCTGTGTGTGCAGCAGCTGCGGGATTCTGGCGGAGGGAATCATCTGGGGAGAGTGGAGCGTTAAGCGAGGGGTTGGCGGTATTCCCCGCGGCCTTGCCAACAAATGACACCTTGGATTTTAAACGCGCGCGGACGCATCCAGCCAAAGACTCGAGAGGCAAGATCTTAACGTTTCGCCTTCAAGGCTACACTTTATTGCTTTCAACGAAGCATCTAAAACGATTATGAAGAATTAAAAAAATAGGGGTGAGAGTTTACTAAGCAACCTCCATAAACCAAACATCGCTCACCTCATCATCATCGTCGTCATCGTCGTCACAGCTGCGTTAGAGCCAGTTTGAGCATTTTAACACAAAAACAATGCATCCCGTGCCTAGTTAATTGCATTTTTTCTTACCAACTTAACTCGATCCGGCTCACATTTCCCCTAACCCCCCTTCCCGCCCCCCCCACATCTCCCGTTTACCTCCCATCAAGTACGAACGCGGTCTCTGAACAGAACGAAAATATCGCGCAGATTTAACTAGCTCGCTCGTCGCGTAGATTTAACGAACTCAAGGCATTGAGGACTTTGCTTTGCAACCCTTGTGTAAAACACCCCCTACTACAGCCCCAGATCCACTCTTCAGGGCATCGATTAATATCGACTAATATCGATTTTAAAAAAATATCGACATACAGTACATGTACACACATCGGTGGCAGAGTGGTTAGCGCACTGCGCTGTGAACCCGGCGACCTGAGTTCGCATCCCAGGCCAGAGCTAACGGCAGTGTAGGGCGAGCGACATCTGAAACGCGTCTCGGGGCAACGCCTTTCATTAAAAACGTTGCGCTAACCAGCGTGGTGAAGTATGGTCAAACAACTCGCCCATTCATCCTTCATCCAAGCATATAGAGGCCTTCATTCAGCAGTGGATTGACTAAGAGCTTTTCATCGCTATTACATATACGTGCATGGAATCTACGCGCTTCTTGGATTCGGTTAAGCAGCAAGTGTAATGGGTTCTCACAACGCATCCAATCACTAAAGGCTGCAACATACGTGACAATAGTAAAACAAAAAACATGGTTATCGAATCGCCAGAATTAATTGAAATGGTGATGTAAATCTTTACACCCCCCCCCCCCCCCCGAACTCATTGTGAATTTAAGAGAAATCTAATTCACGCTTGAGGATTTAGTTTTTATGTCTCCCAAATCGAAAACTATTTGAAGATCGAAGCGGCGAGCAGTTCGGTTTAATCGACGACGGAGCGAGCTGTCTCCGTGGACTGCCCAACGACCAGAGACGTCCCGGCATTGTCGCAAGTAGGGGGGACATTGTGAGCCTGGTTTTTTTGTTTTGTTACATACGGCGATAGATATGGGAGAGAGGGAGAGAGACCGTCCGGAGAGGGTCCCACAACACCCCCACGTGGCAATGGGGGTCACCTGGGAATAGCGCGGGGTGTAGCAGTCTGCTTGGGCTGGTGGACATGGTGGGCCAACAGATGGCAGCAGAGCAAATACATTCTTGAATCAATCTGTGCGGAGCTCTGAGCGTTACCCACCCCCCCATCCCTCCCCTCGTATTGGGCGGTGGGTTTTTTTCTGGTTTCCTCCAAACATGAAGCCGTGGCTCTGTATTAAGAGATGTTAACTACCTCGCCTTGTGTACAGGAGGTCGTGGGCTCGATCCCAACTCTGACGTCGGTATTTGAGAGAGTTTGCATGTCTCTCTGCTCGTCGCTTGGATTTTTCTCCGGGTTCTCCGATTTTTGCCTCCACGTTTATAATCAACGCGTGTTTAGACTGGTTGGCCACTGTACATTTCCACATGATGATAGTCCACTTCGTTGAGCTTTCGTTTGTGACCAGGTCGCTTCTGAAAAAGAGCCATATCGCTCAGTGAGCCCTTTACCTTGTAAAATACAAAAATTGTTCATAGTTTATTCTTGAATCAGCCAGTGCGGAACTCTGAGCGTGACCCGACCCGCTCGTATCGGGTGGTTGGTTTGCTCAAGAGTTTTTTTTGTTCTGGTTTCCTCCAAACATGGAGCCATCCTCCGCATCAATGGGATTCACGACCAAACATTCCCAATGTCACAGTCAAGTCTCGAGACTCCGCGTGCGACCTTCCCTGGGGTGACCGCCACGCGCGGAGAGGACGCGGGTAGTGGACGATGTTGGGCAGCCAAGGGCGCAGGGCAGACAAACCCCCACGGTCCTGGACTATTTCACCCAAAGCACCCAGAATGGGGACCCAATCTCGTCCCATCTCTGGAGCGAAAGTCGGATTTCAGCCTGGACCGTGTGCTCGGTTGGTTGGGGAAGTCGTGGTGCAGCGGTTGGCGCTACGCTGCGCTACGAGCCCGGCATCTCCAGAGTTTCCAATTGCCGCTGACGCCCACCAACGCCGGTGACGATTACCTGAACCGGTCCTGAGCCTCTCCCCTGGGTCGATTCGGCCTCAAATGAGTACGAGGTGCGATGTAAACAAAAAACACATCGCCACTCGGGAGACAAAAGGCAGTCCGGGCGTGGTGCTGGCCACCCACCCCCTCGTGTGCCGTGCCGGCCTTCATAGGTGGTGCTCGCTGGCAGCACTTGCCCCAACGGTCTGTTAAGGCTGCACGGGGGGAATCTTTGACATTCTGTAGGAGCGAGACCACCAAGCATTCAACAGGTGGCACGGGCATTCCTCAACTTGCGCGTTTGGTGAGTTGAGAGAGGGCAGTGCAGCAACATCTATTGTTGTACTGCATTTTCTACGCGTCCCATGTCTAAGCACCCCCATCCCCCTCACCCCCTCGACTTCGCCAACCCACACCGGACTAGGGTTGGGTGAAGTGTGCTCAGACTAATCTCACACTCTGTAGCCAACCGTGATAATCGGAGGTGCGATAAGACGCAATACCCCCAACGTTTGTTTTAAGAGTGGGGGAGGTGGGGGGGGAAGTGCGTCTTATAATCGAGAAAAAAATCAGCGTTGTCTCCAACTAAATAACATACATTTAATGTACAGTGCTGTGTCAATCCACTGCTGGATGAAGGCCTTCCCCATGTCTTGTCGGTAATGGCGGTTGCTTGACCATACTTCACCACGCTGGTCAGTGACGGTTGTTGCCGGGGAGGGGGATGGGATGGGGGGTTGCCCAGGATCGGTTTTAAGATAACTCACTCGCCACTGACGTTAGCCGCCGCTGATGAACTCAGGTGCCCCGGGTCTGTGGCGCAGTGCGCTAATCACGGCACCACCGCGTCACTTCCACGACGATGTAAAGTGTGCCAAACCATGATATGAGCAACGTTTTATTTATGCTGGCCAATTGCCCTTTAGTCATCATCATCAGCATCTCCACCACCACCTCCCACAATCCTGTGATGTAATCATCCACCCAGCAGCTGTAGTCATCATCATCATTACTACCAGCCAAGGTCAATCCACTGCTGGATGAAGGGTTTCCCTCCATGCCCATGTAATCTTGTACCCAGCGCCTGTAGATTCACTGATTTTTTTTATATTCGTTGGGTCTTTCGGTAAAGCTACGTAGAAAAATAAGAAAAAAAATCTATAATAAAATAATAAAATACGTGGCTTTACCGAAAGACCAAAATAATATGAATTCCTGCAGTCACGAAAGCTTTACGTCAAGATTTTTAGATTTCCGTCTCCTCGACGCGTTCCATTCCTTGGCTGCTGCCACTCCGTTGTTACCCTTGCCCACCTCGGCCATCGTCTCTTCTGGACATGGCGTGACTTGCCCAAATCCCCAAGATTACTCTCCTTCGTACTTTTGAGAGATGTCATTAAAGTCACGTAGAAAGAAAATAAATAAAAGAAAATACATTTTCTTTCTACGTGACTTTACCGAAAGAACCGAAAAGTAATTCCTGCAGTCACGAAAGCTCCAAATCAAGTTTAGATGTCATTAACTTTCGTATGATCTCCAATCCACGTGTCTCTCTCGCTCTCTGTCTGTCTCAAAGTAATCCCTTAATATTTTTTAGAGATTTCATTAACTTTCGTATGTTCTCCAATCCACGTGTCTCTCTCGCTCTCTCTGTCTCGATGTAATTCCTTCATATTTTTGAGAGATGTCATTAATCATCATTAGACCTCCTTTGCCAGTACCAAAATGTAATAATAGGGTTTTTCCCCTTTTTTCTGGCAACCAAACTGAAA